TAGGACTCTTGATTTTTGCCGATAAATGTTAGTAGTACATGATATAAATGATGTTCAAATAATAGTAAAGCACATGTATAGATAAAGGTGGGAAATTTGCATGCATGTATTACGTATCTGCATTATGGCGGAGCTAGAATTTTTATTTACCGGGGTTAAAAAAATTCAATATAAATTTAAACACACAAAAAAATTAATATTTATCATTTGTGTATTTCTTAAAAACATAACTAATATTAGGTGGTTATATTTTTTACTTTACTTTAGCCATATGGATAAATTTGTAGCTGAAATCCAACTCATTAGTATCTGGACTATTCTATTTCATGTATTTGTTTTTTTTCTTATGTATCTAAATTAATTTTGAATTGGGATCAATATAATTTTCTTCAAAGGATATAACTGAATTTTAAAAAATAACTGGGATCAGCTGACCCCCCTCTTACCTTATTGCATCCCCTGATAGTCAATTGTTAGATTTAAGAACCATCCTCCAATATATAAAAGTATAAAACTGTTTGACATGATGCAAGTATCTTCCTATATTATACGACGTCTACAATTGTAGAAAATTACATTCGTGATTCGCCATAATTTATTGACAATTGTTTTTTAAAATTTATTTCCTGAACATCAAACCATGCACAAATAGAGATGATCGGAACAATTTACTGCTCATTTCCTTTGTTGAGGATAGGTATGTGATAGAATAGTAAAGAGTTGGTATGCATTACGTAAAAATATGTATTTGTGGAATTATTGTTGGAAGCTTCGATCTAATCATAATTTTAATCTCAGTTTACTTCTTATGAATATGTTGGTCCACGTTTCTGGTAAAAGTTGTAATTAAAGAGAAGATGGAATGTCAATGTGAAAGCAAATATGTGAAGTTATAGATAATATAAAAGAAAACCAAGCTAATAGGGAACATAAAGTAGTATTTAGGATTTTTAAGAAGCTTCAGACTTATATTATAAGCAATTTGGTTTCCTCCAAAGTGGAAAACACAAGTGCTTTGTTAATTATTATTGTTATTTTTGTTTCTCATCTTCTCTCTATCTTCGCAAAAGAAACATGATGTTTGTTTAAAGACAAACATTTTTGTCGTTAAACCCTTTTTTCTTATAAAATTGCTTTTAACTCTTTCCTTTTTTTCATTATACATCATTTAAAAGAATTTATTATATAGGTTGGCTATTGACAAAAGAAAAACTATATAAGATGGCTTTTTAAACAATGGTGATGAAAGTATGAAAACATCAATACGAAGTGTCGTTTGTTTTCTCTACTAAAATTACTATATATATATAATAAATCGTCAAGTTGTAATTAGCAATCAGTATTAGCAATCAATATATATACATATATATCTCATGAAGGTTATAAACTGTATAATTCGTTTTTATTTAACATCCGAAATTGATTTATCGAAGAAATTAAAAAAAAAAGTGCAGATCATATCATTTCCATATAATCACGTACGCCCATATCGCTCAAACTTCGACAATAATGTCTTCCATCTTACAAGTCTTACGATTTATACTTGTTAATTAAAATAAAGTCTTACGATTTATAAAGCTGATAAACATAAACGCACACGTGGGATAACTGAGACCACTCGACACTATCCATATCGGACTGAACCTACTAGGAACATTATTTAATGAATATATAATATCCATATCGAATCTTTAAGAGAACTCAAATATCAAAAATAAAATAAAAATTGTTTGTTAGATTTTGACTCTTAACTCAATTTGATATACTTTAATAAAAAACAAAATCGATTTGATATTTGACGTGTCCTCCGATCAAATTAGTCAAAGAGCTCTTCGAGTTAGTCACAACCCACTCGTGCGTTTGGAGTCTATTGTCTTTGTTGCCAAGTCAACAACGGAAGCTTTGCTCAAAGCTCATAAAATGATTTAATGTACTTTTACATTATCTAATTTATAAGTACGTGATTTGTCTAACTAAAGCACTTTCTCTTGCATGATGATTAAAATAAAGTTATGAACATAGTTGAATAAGAATGTTTCAACGATTTTCTAGGTCCTAATTACGTGGTCGTTTACTCGTTTTCATATGGTTTAAATATTCAATTAGATTAATATAAAATGTTTGATTTCCATTTAGTCGTCATAGAGCCAACAAGTTATTAGTCAAAGAATAGTTTATACCACAGAAAAGGCAAAAAAAAATCAGTGAGAACCCCATTTTTAATTCAGATGCGGAATGCGGATCATAACACATTTGTGGTAGAAGTTGAAACCAGTTTTGCATGAATGATTAAGTTGCTCGTGCTCCTAAGCAAGACTTGTTTAGAGCAGGGCCTTAGTTTTTTTCTTTTAAGCTAAATGGCAAAGACCAGAGAAGTTGTGTGTGTATATATATTATGTGTTTAATCATAAATGTATATATCCAAAAGCCAAACTATTGTAGTTTAGTGGTTTTTATTACTTCGTCGATGTGGAATTCACATGATGGGTTGGATTCGAAGATTAATATGAACTTCGGAAAACAGAACCTCGTACCGGGGGAAAACAATAATAGAAAAGGGAGTGAACAAGTCAAAGATAAGCTCATAATGCTTATGGAGAAGTAACCAAATATGAATAAATTAAAATGTGGTCAATGAAACATTAAACGTCGCTGCTTTAGAAAGAAAATTAGCCATTGAGCCGATTCGGGGAAGTCGGTAAGATATTGAAGTCAAACACCAACTGTTTTGTTGTTCCAAAATAAACAACACATTCAAATTGCGACTTCTCTACATCGAGGCATGCTTAGGAGTTTTGGGCCAACACTTATGTTGCCTATAAAAATGTGGATTGTATATAGGATGAGCTAATTATGTTTTCCTCTTTTAATTTTATGAAGCTAATAATATATTGCATTAAAAATTACATTTTTTTGTAGCAGTATTATTTTTATTTATATGAAATTTGATCTTTTTATTTTTGTAATTAATACGATCATTATATTGTATGAACAAAACATATAGATGCTAACCAATAAGTAAGCTATATGTTCATAGGGATATGTTCGGCTCCAATGGCCGACTTATGGGGTATTTATTATGGCTTATACATAGCATGAGAGCATCGAGCTAGTAGAGTGGAGTTTGAAGTGGATTCGCAAGTGGTGGTTGGTTATCTTACGACAGGGATAGGTGATACTCATCCGCTGTCATTCCTAGTACGTTTGTGCTATGACTTTTTGATGAAGGACTGGACAGTCCATATTTCACATGTGTATAAGGGAGGCCAATCGTCTAGCCGATGGATTGGCAAACTATGCATTTTCCATGCTTTTAGGTTTTCAGTTTTTTGATTATTGTCCGGATTGTGTTAATTCGATTATGGTAGACGATGCGAGTGGTTTTACGAGACCCCGCAATGTGAGATTGTAATTTTTTATTTTATGAATAAATTTGGGGAGACATTGTCTTCCCCTCTCCGACCAAAAAAAAACTAATAAATAAGCTAACCAATTCCCCTAACAACCTACCCAAATCCCTGAATGTTTATGTTGTATAAACAAAACATATAGATGCTAAAGAAACAAAACAACTATCCGAGTAAGAGATGAGCTTTTCTATAAATAAAAAATATGTTCCATGAAAAATTTTTATGTTTTATGAAAATTTTGTGTTCGATGATCATATAATTACCATTTCTTAATGAAAAAAATTATCTTCAAAAATTGTGCATAATCATTTTTTTTTCACTTACTTTTATCATTTTACTAACTGCAAAAATGGCTGAAAGCAAAGAACGTCTAGGTTGGCTATAATGGTTGTGATTTATTACATCAGTGGACTCATTCTTGTGTTGTTCACACACTCACGTCTACCCTACAAAGATCTATTGGATGTGCCGGTTGAAGACGCTGCTCCTAATGCGGTTGCACATCAGGTGACTCTTGGTAAGCTCTTCAACAACGACCAGAGAGAACTGATGCGCTGGTTGAAGACGCCGACGCCGACGCCGACGCCGACGCCGACGCCATTTTCAACGAAGATGCCACACCGTTGAAAACAAAGACGCCGACGCCTTTGAAGACGAAGACGCCAAGGCTGTTGAAGACGAAGACGAAGACGGATGCCATCTTTGACGAAGACGCCGCTCCGGTTGAATTGAAGACGCCGACGCCGACGCCGACGCCGACGCCGACGCCGACGCCGATGCCGACGCCGACGCCGACGCCGACGCCGACGCCGACGCCATTTTCAACGAAGATGCCACACCGTTGAAAACAAAGACGCCGACGCCTTTGAAGACGAAGACGCCAAGGCTGTTGAAGACGAAGACGAAGACGAAGACGAAGACGGATGCCGTCTTTGACGAAGACGCCGCTCCGGTTGAAGACGCCGCTCCTAATGTGGTTGCACATCACGTGACTCTTGGTGAGCTCTTCAACAACGACTAGGAAACTGTGCGCCGGTTGAAGACGCTGTTTTGGTTGAAGACGCCGTTCGGGACGCCGCTCCGGTTGAAGATGCCGCTCCTGATTGGATGTGATTTTAAGCTCCACTCAAATGCTCGCGAAAAGCTTCCATCTTAAATAGTACATTACTCTTCAAGTTGTTCGGTAATCGGTTGAGGGTATGTAAAATGGAATCTGGATAAGTCCTGTCTTGAACACTATATAGAAGTTAGTTAAAGTCTGTTGATTTTTTCTTAGCCTAAGTGAGTAAGTGATTCAGACAAAGAAAATAGCTTTGTTTTTTTTAATTAAGAAAGAAAATAGCTTTTCTTCATAGTTGTGATTTGATATGACTCTTAACTAATTTACCAAGAAAAGAGCTTTTCTTTAGATGGCTTGTTATTGGGAATTCACATGAAATCTGATATTTTTCGTAGGTACGATGAAATGAGCAAAAAAGTTCAATGTCGAATACATTGGTGGAGGTAAATCATCCTTTGCGCTATTGGACATGTGGTGGTGTTAATGTGCATTCGCAGGATTCTAATATCTTCTTAAATCGTTGGGCTTTCAGGTGCTACCCAAAACTCAATTAAAGTGGCCCAGGTAAAGGATGATTACACCTTATTCTTCATACTTGCTTTTAAAGTTACTACTTTTTTTTTTTGCTAAACAAATGATATCTTTGATTTCTGCAGTGGATGCTTCAAATCCCTGGGGCAACCAGTTACGTGGGATCCATTGGAAAGGACAAGTACGGAGAGGCAATGAAGAAGGATGCTACAGCAGCTGGTGTCAATGTGAGTCTACTTAAACTTTTTTTAAATATATTGGTGTTTGGTTCTGATTTAAGTCCACTCCAAAAGGTCATGAAATAGAAGCCTGTGTTAAAATCTGCTGGTGTTCTATATCCAGGTCCACTATTACGAAGATGAGTCAACACCTACCGGAACTTGCGGTGTCTGTGTTATGTGTCCATTGGAAAACAAGGCTCACTGATCTTTCTCCCCGAATAGTATGTCTTTAATACGAAAGATCCTGACATGCTCAAATATCTGACAGGTGTTCACGATGAACCAACCTTTCTGCTCCATTCATCTGTGAATTCTTCAAAGACGTTCAGGATAAGTGTCTACCGTAAGCAAATCCTGATACCATTCTGTCTTATAGTTTGGTAAATTAAAGTAATCAATCATTGGCGATATACTGAAAAGCACAGACTCCTGCATGCATCTAATGTCTTGCTCCGACCAGGTACATGGACTATGTTTTTGGCAATGAGACCGAGGCAAGAACCTTCTCCAGGGTTCACGGTTGGGAGGTAACTGCCAAAAATTTCGCCTTGTTTTTTGGTTTTAACATAGACAGTTTAGTAATCTTATTTGCTTCTATATATATTTTGTATAGACCGATGATGTTGAGCAAATAGCCATCAATTTAACGTATAGTTCTTTTCTTATAAAAAAAGGTTTTTTTTTAAAAAAAATACAAATTTATGTTTTTCAGGAAAAAAATGATCTGACACTATTCGGACAATTTTTCAAAGTGGGTTTTCCTTTTTCTTTTCATTATTGTGTGTGTCATTTCCTTTTATTCAGAATATAACTTTTTGAAATAAAAAACTTAAATTTGAAGAAGGTAAATACAGTAAAATATATAATTGGAGAAGAGCGAGTACCACACGATGACTCAAAACACTCGTAAATTAGCAAAAAACAAATCTTAATCCATGAAATTAGCGGGCAACTTTTTAGTAAATGTTATTATAATTAAAAGTTATCCATATATCATCAATTTTTTTGCCGATGCCAAAGCCAATCCTCTCTGTTTCTGGATGTCCAATCATCTGCGACGTTCCCGTCCAGTCGATGATAACGGTGGAGAAGCGACCGGAGGCGACAAAGGAATCTGATAACTGAGATTTCGAGCAAGTCTCGACGACGTTAGGGGAATTTTGGTTTCTTTGGTTAATGGCTGTGAAGAAGGCCAGCGAGATGTTTCCGAAGAGCTTGATCGAGGATGTTCACAAATGGGGCTGCATGAAGCAGACCGGTGTGAGCCTCCGATACATGATGGAGTTTGGTTCCGAACCCACCGAGCGAAACCTTTTGATTTCGGCTCAGTTTCTTCACAAGGAGCTTCCGATTCGTGTCGCCAGGAGAGCGATCGAACTCGAGACCCTCCCTTACGGCCTCTCTGAGAAACCTGCCGTCCTCAAGGTACTTTCCGAAATTCGCTTTCTTCGTTGTGGGTAATTATTGAATCTTGTTTCAATGTTTCTGGAAATCGAGATTCTGGTGATTTAAATCGAATTGGTCTTGTGGAACTGTGGTGTTTGATCGTTCAATTGCGCCACCTGCGTGTTGCTTCTCAAGATATTGTTGTATGAAAATGGATATTGTAGATTTTATGGCAAAGTAGATATACGATTGATTCGGTGTGATTATTATTGTTTTTCTCTATACTTGTGCAGTTGTGCTACAGTGAAAGGGAATCCTTAGAAGAGTTTTGTATGCAATCTTTAGAATGACATAAGATTTGGCAATTTTGACACCCAAATAATCCTCTTAAAGATTCAACTTTGCTGTTTTATAGGTAAGGGATTGGTATGTGGAATCATTCAGAGACATGAGAGCGTTTCCTGATATCAAGGATACGGCTGATGAGAAAGAGTTCACTCAGATGATTAAGGCTGTCAAAGTAAGGCACAACAACGTGGTTCCCATGATGGCTCTGGGCGTTAATCAGCTGAAGAAAGGAATGAACTCCAGGATTGTCTACGAAAATCTTGATGAGATTCATCAGTTTCTTGATCGCTTCTACTTGTCCCGAATAGGGATCCGTATGCTTATTGGTAAGACTTGGTATTTGGATCTCTCTCTCTCTGTCTTGACTGAAAAGTTTTCGTTTGCTATTGTTGTGTTAATACTTTTTGAGGTTATAATGAAATTCTCAGGGCAGCATGTTGAGTTGCATAATCCAAATCCGCCACTTCATACTGTGGGTTACATACACACCAAGATGTCTCCCATGGAGGTAGCAAGGAATGCCAGTGAAGATGCTCGATCAATTTGTTTCCGAGAGTATGGCTCTGCTCCAGAAATAAACATCTACGGGGATCCCAGTTTCACATTCCCGTGAGTTTCAATTCAAGTTGCCCTTTTTTTCCTTTCTTTTTCTTTCTTTTTTGTTGAAATTCATTCCATAGCTTTTGTTTTGAACAATGTCTTTTTCTACTCCTTTTCATAGGTATGTTCCAACCCATTTGCACCTTATGGTATTTGAGTTAGTCAAGAACTCTCTACGTGCTGTCCAAGAGCGATATGTTGACTCTGATAGAGTTGCACCACCAATCCGCATCATAGTTGCTGATGGAATCGAAGATGTTACAATAAAGGTTGTTGTTTTCCTTTGCTTTTTCTCTTTTTGTGCTAGGCCTTCAAATCTTGTTGATTGCACCATTTTGAGCCAACAATTGTTGTGGGTTAATTTAACAGGTCTCAGATGAAGGTGGAGGTATACCAAGAAGCGGTCTCCCCAAGATATTCACTTATCTCTACAGCACCGCAAGAAACCCGCTTGAGGAAGATGTCGATTTAGGAACAGCTGATGTTCCCCTGACTATGGCTGGTTATGGTTATGGTCTGCCAATTAGTCGCTTGTATGCTCGATATTTTGGTGGAGATTTGCAGATCATATCCATGGAAGGATATGGTGAGTCAATACTTGTTCCATAAATGTCTTTTAACCTGAAATATCTCAATCAGATTTGAAGATCATATCTCAGTTTTGATTTATGTGTATCGTTGATATGGTGCAGGGACTGATGCTTACTTGCACTTGTCTCGCCTTGGAGATTCACAAGAGCCTTTGCCCTGAGAGAACCTCCAAGTCAGGCTATGCTATTTAGTTTTTTTTTTTTTTATTGTACAGACATTATTTCTCCATTTATGCTTTCTTGATTCTAAACTCAGATATGGAGATTTTGAAGTGATTTAATCTCCTCTGATTTGATTTCAATACCTTGTACTCGGTGCAATCTCTTGTATCCGAAAGTATGCAAAACGTTGTTGGTCTATATAGTATGTATTGATAAAACAGTTATGGTCCTAGATTTGGATCGGTTATTTGATATTTGTCACTGGTTCAACTATTTATGGATCGGTTTAGTTCTGAAACAGATGAAAATGATTGGTTAGCAACTACAACTTGCGTGGAAACTTTTGTGATGGACTGAAAGCAAGGAAGGATTTACCCAAAATTATGTAGAACAGCAGTGAGAGAGAGAGAGAACAACAAACGACGGTCGTTTTTCGTTTCGTTTTTCGTTAAAAATTTCATTTCAACAAGAAAACGATGATAACGCCGTCGTATTAAGGATCCTTCATTACGACGTCGTGTGGCCTCTCTTCGTCACACTTGCTTCTCTTTCGTGAATCCCAGCCACACTTCTCCATCAATACGCCGAACTTAGCCCGTGTCTCTGCTCCAGTCTCTACCTCGCAGTGACCTTCTTCGTCCACCTCTGTATCATACCGGAAAAACATATTTTCTTTGTTCGCATAGGAGTGCCGTTGCTCTTTCATCGTCGATGTAAGTGTCCATATCACAAACCCTAAATCAGCTTCGGGGTTTCTTCACCTTAAAATTTGTTTCTCAATTGCTTAATTCGCTTGATTTCTTTAGTTTGCGATTGAGATTGTGATTTTTGGATTTCTCGGCATGACTGTGTTAACTGTTACGGTCTCGTGGAAGTAGATGATGTTTACTAATGTGCGCGTGAGCCTAGCTTGACTATCTCGTTGATCAATCATGTGGCATAACCTTTTATAGAGTGAAAGCATAGGTCGAATTGGGTCTCTGGAAAATACTCTCTTTATGTCAAAGCTGTTAACATGAGAATTTCTCTGCTTTCAGAGCCTTTGCCTATGGCCACGACAGAAGCAGCTCCAGCTTCTGCTGGTCCAAGATATGCCCCTGAGGATCCAACTCTTCCCCAACCATGGAAGGGGCTTATTGATGGAAGCACCGGCATTCTGTATTACTGGAATCCTGAAACGAACATCACTCAATATGAAAGACCTTCTGCACCGGCTCCACCGTTACCTGCTGGCGCTCCTCCCCACTCTTCCACAACACCGAAGCTCGCTCAGATTCCTATACCTTCTGCAAGACAAGGCCACCAAGCTCAGCTCGAACAAGCAAAACCAGTTGGTCATGCGTCTCAGCCGCATGGTTTACAACAGCAGCCACCGCAATTTCCATCTCAACATGTAAGGCCCCAAATAATGCAGCAACAGCCTCCGGGCCAGCAGATGCCTCAACAGTTTCCCCAGCAACAAAGCCAATCGATGGTGCAGCAGCCACATGGGCATCCTTCTCTACAGACTTATCAGCCAACGCCACCGCAGCAGCAGCAAGCAATGCCTCAGCAGCTAAACCATCAGTATGCACATTCACAACAACAATACATGGGTTATCGGCCTTACATGCAACCACAAGGGCTTCAAAACTCACATCACACACCTCAGGTTGGTCCCCAGACTCAACAATTTCCGAGCCAGCCAGAGTACAACTCGTTGGCGCTTAAGAGGGAGGGGGACGAGTTCCAAGGGGGTAAGAAAACTGGGTTTTCTCAACCCCATTTACACAATGTTGAAGGCTCGCCATCTCATAATACCCCCTTTGAAGCTAAGGCAGCATCACAAAGGACAAATGCAAACTTGGCTCTAGCTCAGCAATACAATGGACCTCAAGCAAACATGCAACCTCCTTCTACAGTCACACAGTTTCAACAGCCAGGGGCTAATCTGGTTCACCAGCAGCTTGGACCTAGGCCTCCAAATCACATGGACCCGATGTTGCACCAGAAGTCTCATGCTTCCCCTTTCCGATCAAATAATACTTATGACAATAATCTGCAATCTAGACCTGGGAATGACCCGTACGTTAACGCAAGAATGGAAGGGCCGGTTAGGGGCACACAACCACTTCATCCTGCAGCAATGCCTAAGGTTACAGATGATCACTTCTCCTATCTCTGTTGTGAAATATCCCTGCCTCACAATCATTTCTCACGGAAAGAACCAATTTTAAAATGGTATGCAGGATATAAGGATAGGTGGCGGTCCACCTGCAAATGCTGATCCCGCCACGGGACAAACAGGTCATGGAACATATAGACACGCTGGTCCAGCTTTTCCAACCGAAGGGAGGCCTCATTTTGTCACACCTTCTGATGTTCCCCATCTCTCGCCTGTTGAAATCTACCTAAAACAACATGAAGTCTCAACAACTGTAAGCTCACATTTCTTGGATTGATTTGCTTAATTTGTCTGTTATGTTCATTAAGCTGTAATGTGCTGTAATATTTTTCAATTTTGTTTCAGTGAATGTTTGTCCATAATACTCTACTGAGAATGTGGGATTAGACGAACTTCAACTGGACTAAGTAATAGCATTTGAGAATAGTGTTAAACCTTGCACTTTCTCATCTATTATAATCTGTATACCGCCTTAAAAAAACTTTCTTTGTTGTGCAGGGTGAGAATATTCCAGCACCATTCATCACGTTCGAATCTAGTGGTCTCCCACCTGAAATACTTCGAGAGGTCAGTTTTATTATGAACTTTATTAGTGGCGTAGTTTTTTCATACATATGGTGTGTTAATGTTTGTAACTTTGTTTTTCAGTTGCTTTCTGCTGGATTTCCATCACCAACACCGATCCAGGCTCAAACATGGCCAATTGCTCTGCAGAGCAGGGATATAGTTGCCGTTGCAAAAACTGGTTCTGGTAAAACATTGGGATACTTGATCCCTGCCTTCATTCTTCTAAGGCACTGTCGTAATGACCCCCGCAATGGCCCAACAGTTTTGATTTTAGCTCCCACTCGAGAGCTAGCCACACAAATACAAGACGAAGCCCTTAGGTTCGGTCGGTCTTCCAGGATCTCGTGCACTGTGAGATTTATATTTTGAGTCACTTTCAAATAGAGCTTACCTGAACGTTTTAGTTTGAATACTAATATATATATATATATATATATATATATATATATATATATTTTGGTTCAGTGTTTGTATGGTGGAGCTCCAAAGGGTCCTCAATTAAAAGAGTTGGAACGAGGAGCTGATATTGTGGTGGCAACTCCTGGGCGTCTAAATGATATATTGGAGATGAAGCAGATTGATTTCCAGCAGGTTTCCCTTCTTGTGCTTGATGAGGCAGATCGGATGCTTGACATGGGTTTTGAACCCCAAATCCGTAAGATTGTGAACGAAATTCCTCCTCGGAGACAGACTCTTATGTACACAGCAACTTGGCCAAAAGAAGTACGGAAAATTGCTAGTGATCTTCTTGTGAACCCTGTCCAAGTTAATATAGGCAGAGTAGATGAGTTGGCTGCAAACAAGTCGATAACACAGGTGATTATCATCTAAACCATTTTTAATCACTCTTAAACATCCTTCTACAGAAGTTGGTGATGAGGTTACTAATCCATGCTTATTAACGCAGTATGTTGAAGTTGTCCCACAAATGGAGAAAGAGAGACGCTTGGAGCAAATCCTGAGGTCGCAAGAACGAGGTTCAAAAGCTATAATATTCTGTTCCACGAAGAGACTCTGTGATCATCTAGGACGCAGTGTTGGACGTAATTTTGGCGCTGTTGTAATCCATGGAGACAAATCTCAAGGTGAGAGAGATTGGGTACTTAACCAGTTCCGAAGCGGGAAGTCGTGTGTTTTGATAGCTACCGACGTTGCTGCCCGGGGACTGGATATAAAAGACATAAGGTTCGTTATAATAAGTATTGGATATATCTCTTTGCTTGTTTGTTATGAAGATTCCTTCCTTACATTTGATTATGTTATGACACTACAGAGTTGTGATCAACTATGATTTTCCAACCGGTGTTGAAGACTATGTCCACCGTATTGGGAGAACTGGTCGAGCTGGTGCAACTGGAGTTGCATTCACTTTCTTTACAGAGCAAGATTGGAAATACGCGCCTGATCTGATCAAAGTTCTGGAAGGAGCAAACCAGCAAGTACCGCCTCAGGTGAGAGACATTGCAATGCGTGGTGGTGGTGGTGGTGGTGGTCCAGGTTTTAGCCAGGACCGAAGAGGTATGGTAAACCGTTTTGACTCTGGCGGTGGTGGTAGCCGTTGGGATTCTTCAGGTGGGTTTGGTGGGCGTGACGGCGGGTTTGGTGGGCGTGACGGCGGGTTTGGTGGGCGTGATGGCGGATTTGGTGGGCGTGATGGTGGGTTTGGTGGCCGTAGTGGCGGATTTGGAATGAGAGATGACTCATTCGGACGTGGCGGGAATCGGGGTCGGGGTTTTCCTGGTCCTGATGCTAGTCATATGAATGTGGGTAGAGGCGGATTTGGTCGGTTTGGCAATAATAATATGGATGGCCGAGGCTTTGGTCGTGGTCGTGGTGGTGGTGGTAGAGGCTTTGGTCGTGGTGGTGGTGGACGGTTTGATAACAGGAGAGGTAGAAGCCGTAGCAGAAGTCCTGACTTGGTTCGGCCAAGACGCCCGAGCTATAGCCGGAGTCGGAGCTATAGTCGTAGCCGTAGCCGTAGCAGGAGCTGGTCACGCTCAAGGAGCCGTAGCCCTAGGCGTAGCCGTGACCGTGGTGGTTATAACCGGAGCAGAAGCTATAGCCGTAGTCCTAGTCCGGTTTATGAAAGACGGGATAGGGCACGGCGTGTGTCTGGATTTGATATTAAACCACCAGCTGACATTGTAGCAGCGACGGGTCTTGAAACCGTGGTTCCTACGCCATTGTCTGAGAGAAGAGAGAATGGGGTTGTCGAGACACAGATAGAATCGGCTTTTGTACGACCGGTGGTTGATGAACCCTAAAAGTCAGGACTCGAAACAGAGAATGAAGAATTTCATAATTCATCCGAAAATTTTTGGTTATTGAATGGATCCATCAAATCAGACAGCTGACGTTTCTTTATTTTTTTTTCTTTATATATATCGTCATTTTTGTGTTGTATTATGGAGAGTTAGTCTGTAATGTATTAAGAATTTTATCGTTTATGTAACACCAGCTGCTGCCTTCCAACAATTATGGACTACAAAATAGAATTGGAGAATGGTGGACAAACGTGTGATTGAAGATAGACAGAGACAGCATTTACAAAGCTTAAAATTAATTCCTAATATATGATTAGTCACAAACTTGGTATAATTTAACTAAAGTGCTCAACTCTTGAAGAAACGTTGGTTGGTGAAACTTATTTTCTTGCATGTATTCTCATGATTTATGTGACATTTTGATACATTTTGTCAATCTTATTCAAGAAACAATTCAAAACTAACATTTCCAGAAAACACAACACATCAGGAGACCAAAATTCCAGAATAATCAATCAAAATTAAGATCAATTTTTTTTTTTGAGGGTGGAAACGAATCTAATCGCGTTTTTTGCGGCCCTCTGTTCTTGTCATTTTCGAATAGTTCTTGGAATGGAAGTTGAAGAAGAGAGCCAAAAGAGAAGCATTAAACGCAGCGTTGAAACACCATCCCCAAATTCCGGAGCAACCCGACCCGAAAAAATGCTCTCGGAGCATCCAACCGGATAATCCGAAGCTGAAAACAAACTGCACGATCTGACAATCCGTCACCAACCTCTTCCACTTGGGCCTGTATCCGACGGCGCAGAGGAAGTAGTAACCATACATGATGACATGAACCGTCGAATTCGTCACGAGCGCAACCGGAAACATCGATTGACGGGTTCGGAGCCAGAGGTAGCACATGACCACAACCGTCGCGTGGTGGTACACGTGAAGGAACGAGAGCCGATGGATCGATTTGCCGATTATGATGAGGATGGTGTCTCCGAACTCGAGGATCTTCGAGAGGTAGAATACTTGAGCCCAGAAGAAAAGCGGTCCGTTAGGTTTCACGTAGACGGGGAAACAAATGGCGTGCGCCGTCGGATCTGAGGGCGATTGAGATGAGGTGATTGAGAGAGTGCAGCCGATTGCCATGATTACGGAGAGGAGGCAGAGGATTAGGCTGTGAACGGCCGTGATTGGTTTGAGTATTCGGGGACCGAGTGAGGGGAGTGAATCGATGGCGGATCGGAGGAGGAATGTGGCGGAGAGATAAACGGAGACGACGACGGAGACGGAGAAGACGGTGGAGCCGAGGGTTTCACCTTCGGTCCACGTGAAATTGGCGATGTTGGGATGGTTCACGAGCCAGTAGGTGAGGGTGGAGTAAACCGATGTCATTGCGTGGAATCTCACGCGTCTCCGCTTACTGGCGGCGGATAGAAAAGTGATTCGCCGGCGAAGTTTGGAGGATCTGAAGTTTACAGATATGGTAGAGAGAGACGAAGCGTTACCCAATCGGGCTATCTACGTTCGCAAGTGGGTCCCAAGGAATCATATCTTTTTTTTAGTTTTCCAAAATCGTATTTTATATACCATTTAAATACGTTGACCATGCCATTCAAGTATCGGATTAAATAGAACAATGCATGGCATCTGTTAAGATTTTTTTTTAATCATGCTCTAAGATATAGTCAGTTTTAGAGTTACTCGGTTTGGAATTGGATCTACTCTAAGATATACTCAGTTTAAGGCCACCACCTATATTTAATAAAGTTTTAGAGTTATTTCTCCAAGAGTTGTGATCTATCTTTATGGTCTTCCAAACTAGAAAATTCTAAACCAAAAATTGTCTTCTTCTATAGGATATAGCATATTAGCATGCATGATCTTCGATCTTCTCTCTTTTTCTGTGGACAAAACATTTTCTATAAAATGATAAAACCCAAACGACCGGGGAAACGTAACATTCAAAATTCAAAATCTTAATTCTCTTGAATCGGAGAGAAGAAATCATGATTCAACTTGAGAAAACAAAAGTTATGGATGTCTTTAAGATGGACAGTGATTAATTAAGAGTAAAATGGCAAATACAGCATTTAGAGGTATTAAATTAATAGTTGACAAGTCACAAACTTGGTGTAATTTATAAACTAATATCTCAGTGTTCAACTCTTAAAGAAAAAGCTGCTTGGCGAATGCCGCATAGATCACAGAAAGATGTTTTCAATCTAAGAATCAGACGGCGAAGCCATTTCATGATTTATGTGCATGACATTATATAATATGTTTTGTCATCTTATTAATAATAAAAAAAAAACAATTTCAAACAATCCCAACATTTTCCAGTTACAACAATGCATCAAGAGATGGAAACTCCAGAATATAATATTACAAGAAAGTCAAGACAATTTAACCATTTCCTTAGAATAATAAATATCAATGGCTTTTTTTGCACACCTCTCTAGTGTTGTCTTCTTGACATAGTTCTTGAAATAGAAGTTGAAGAAGAGAGCTAAGAGAGAAGCATTAAACACACCGTTGAAGTATAATCCCCAAATCCCGGAGCAACCCGACCCGAAAAAATGATCTCGGACCAACCAACCGGCTATTACGAAGCTCAAAATGAACTGCACAATCTGACAATCCGTCACCAACCTCTTCCACGTGGGCCTGTATCCGACGGCGCAGAGGAAGTAGTAACCATACATGATGACGTGGACCGTCGAGTTCATCACGAGCCCAACCGGAAACATAGATTGGCGGGTTCGGAGCCAGAGGTAGCACATGACCACAACCGTCGCGTGGTGGTACACGTGGAGGAAGGAGAGCCGGTGGATTGATTTGCCGAGCAAGATGAGGATGGTGTCTCCGAACTCGAGGATCTTCGAGAGGTAGAAGACTTGAGCCCAAAAGAAAAGCGGTCCTTTAGGTTCCACGTCGACTGGGAGACAGACGGCGTATAGGAAACGCGCCGTCGGACCACCGGAGGGCGCGTGAGACGAGGCTAGGGAGAGAGTGCAACCAACGGCCATTATTAAGGAGAGTAGGAAGAGGATCAAACTGTGGACGGCCGTGATTGGTTTGCGAATGCGGGGAGAGAGTGAAGGGAGTGAATGGACAGCTGATCGGAGGAAGAATGTGGCGCAGAGGTAAACGGAGACCACGACGGAGACGAAGAAGACGGTGGAGCCAAGGGTTTCACCTTCGGTCCACGTGAAGTTTGAGATGTTGGGATGGTCCACGAGCCAGTAGGTTAGGGTGGAGTAAACCGATTCCATTTCTCCGGCCAAGTTTGAGGATATGACAGAGAGATAAAGGAGAGATCGCGATATCTATTTATATATAAATATTTCGCTAACGAAAACCATTGTCATTGCGTAAACCGATGCCATTGTACCGTGAATGTAGGAACATGGCATAAACCGATGACATTGCGTCGCCGGATCTCACGCGTCTCCGCTTTCCCGGCGCTGGTCGGGCTTACAGGAGAAGCTGGAAGATATGGGAGAGAGATCAGAGGCTTACCCCATCGGCTTATTTTTCTTTTATCATGCATAACGTGGGAATGTAATATCGTAAATAATGCATCATCAATATTTCTTATCATGCATAACGTGGGAAGGTAATATATCGTAAAAAAGGCATCATCAATTTTTTTCTTATCATGCATAACGTGGAAAAGGTATATCGTAAAGAATGCATCATCAGTTTTTCACTTTTCTTATCATGCATTACGTGGGGAAAACGTAATATCGTAAGGGATGCATCATCAGTGTTTTCTTATCATTTTGAGCAAAAATGAAAGTCTTTTTTTTTTGTCTTCTTGTCATGCATATCGTAAAGAATGCATCATCATTTTCCTTATTATGCATGACGTGAGAATGTCAAGGTGATATCGTAAAGAAATGCACCATTTACTTTCATCCTTGTACATATTGAGGTTTATTTGAAGTCAGAATCTTTAATGGATTGATATAGTCGATGGCTTGATTATGAGAACATGGTTGCTCTGTGTATACTTGAGAAGACCGTTATATGAATTATATAAGCATTAACCTTAATCGAAACATTTTCGGCATATTTTTTTTATTTTCTTCTGCTTATATAACAAGTCACATTTCAGCGTCTAGCTAAAGTTGAGTGATGGTGTTATGAACATTTTGATGTTCTTGTTTATTAATTTGACTTTATTATAACTTTATGTTAGATGTCATTGTTTAGTTCAATTTATTTTACGATTTGAACAACTACAATTTCTTAAAATCTAAAAAATTTGATCAGAATTTGATGTATCAAATTTAATCTACAAAAAAATTATACTCAGTCCAAAAACAGAAAAACCTAACCTAAAACATATTTTGGCGACACCTAAGAAGAATTTTAGGCTTGGAGTTGGAGCGACACTTAAGGTCACTTATAATTGTTTGTCATCTAAAAGGATATGATGCCAGTAAGTAATGCAAAGGATATATATATTAATTAGGAAAATATGTCTAGATAAAAAAAAATGTAAGACAAACTGTATACCATGTTAAACCGTCATTATCAGAAATGAATCTTTTTTGGAAAAGTTTCAAACTCTTCTATCCGAGGAAATGTATGACTCAAAATCAAAAACAAAAAGTCTTAATATTATTCAAAAAGTCTCTTGAACAAAAAAAAGAAAGAAGGTAAAGAGTAAAAAAAAAGAGAGATTGTAAAATGTAAATGCCGCGTGAACCAATCACGAGCACTGTCTGAAACCCGAGACAGAACAGAGACAGACATCTCTCTCTCTCTTCCTCCCATAAGATCTCAACATCACAGTCACTTTTTTTTTTCTTTCGTAATTCAACTTTACAGTACTTTTTTTTTTCTTTTATTCACAACATTTTTAATCTGCAGCAGTTTAGATAAAAAAAAATCTCTCACGGCTCTTGTGAGGAGGTCAAGAGCAGAGACCCAAACCTGTTCATTTGCTTATTCTTCTCTCAGTCTCAGAAAGCTGTCTTCTTTTGGGCATTTTGAGCTGTTTTTTTCCTCTGGTAAGTGTTTTTTCTTTAATCTATTTCTGAGTCATTCTTGAATCCAAACTTAGTTCCTATGTTAGTCATTCTGTATTTCGCTTTTTTCGATTCTCGCCAGCTTTTGATTTTTTTCTTTCTTTGAGATTTCCGTCAAAAATGTGTTGTAAAGTTTTCTCATTTTTTGCCACACCAAATCTACTGTACTTCTTTTAAAGACTCCATCCGCAATTAGCGCTATGAAGACATTTATTTGGGTTCTCTTCTCTTTTAGCTTCCTGCAAAAATATTCATATTTGGATCTGAGTTTCTTAGTAAATTGAATATTCCGTTTCATTAGCCATTAGAAATAGTTTATTTTGGTTCTAGTGACTTTTAGCTACAAGTAAAACCAGTTTCAGCTACATAGGAAAGTACTAAATCTGATTCAGTTGGATTTAGAATTCTAGTCTTGGTTAATAGTGTTTTGTCTTAATCATTCTTCATAATCTTTTGTTCAATTTTTTAACTTGTAGGACACTGTCAAGTAGAAAACACCAAATCGATATGGACGAGGCAGAGAGCTTTGTCCCGTTTCAAGGTATAAAGAATGATGTCAAAGGGAGACTCAAATGCTACAAGCAAGATTGGATCAGTGGTCTCAGAGCTGGATTTAGGTTAAAATCAACTTCTTTTCTCTTTTGGTTTACAAAAGTGTTAATGAGGCCTTGATGTGTACTTTATTTATGCAAAATCTAGGATTCTGGCACCAACAACTTACATATTCTTTGCATCCGCGATTCCGGTGATTACATTTGGAGAACAATTGGAAAGAGATACTGGTACATCAAAATGACACTTTTGCTCCCTCTTTCATATTTACTTTCTCTGCTTTTGATGAGAGTAACCGAAAACTGTAAACTTTCTGCGTTTTGTTTCTTTTGCAACTCGGCAAGATGGGAAGATCACAGCTGTTCAAACCTTAGTTTCAACTGCATTGTGTGGAGTGATTCATTCCATTATTGGAGGCCAGCCATTGTTGATTCTTGGTGTTGCAGAGCCTACTGTTATAATGTACACCTTTATGTTCAACTTCGCCAAAAGTAGACCGGATTTGGGCTCTAATCTCTTTCTCGCTTGGACTGGATGGTAAACTCAAAATCATTCTCTTTGCATAATAACATAATTCCTTTCAAGAAGTTTTTTAAGTCTCAATATTGTTCTTTTGTTTTTCTACATGGATGATTTATTTTAAAGGGTTTGCTTGTGGACGGGGCTGTTGTTGTTCTTATTAGCTGTATTAGGCGCTTGTGTCTTTATCAATCGATTCACTCGACTTGCCGGGGAACTGTTCGGTATCCTAATCGCCATGCTTTTCATGCAAGAAGCCATTAAAGTAAGTAAAAAAGCTTTCTTTATTCAATTACAATCACAACTTTATACTAGCATTTTTGCATCGAAAAGCTCGCTGAAACTCTACTTTTCAGGGCATTGTGGATGAGTTTGGTGTCCCCGGAAGAACAAATCCGAGATCAGCTGAGTTCCAACCTGCTTGGGTGTTTGCAAATGGAATGTTTGGTTTGGTTTTGTCTTTTGGACTTCTGTTTACCGCACTGAAAAGCCGAAAAGCAAGGTCTTGGAGATTTGGTGCTGGTAAGGAACCTTAGTTTTCATTCTAACCTTTAAACAAAACCAAAAAAGACATTTAATTTTCCTAGCAAGAACCTCAGGATTGTTGGTGTCCTTGTAATTGCAGAATGGTTGCGCGGGTTTATAGCAGATTACGGTGTTCCAGTGATGGTGGTTGTGTGGACTTGTGTATCATACATTCCTTGGAAAAGTGTTCCTCAAGGAATACCAAGACGTCTAGTTAGTCCTAATCCATGGTCTCCCGGTGCATATCAGAATTGGACTGTCATTAAGGCACTAATCACTTCCTCTCCACTTATTATATTTCTCTCTACTATTTAATGCATTATGATTATTTATCATAAGTGCTTGATGAATAAACTGCAGGAAATGGTGGATGTGCCTGTGCTTTACATTCTCTTGGCGTTTGTTCCAGCGTCAATGATTGCGGTTCTTTACTACTTTGACCATAGTGTAGCTTCACAGCTCGCACAGCAGGAAGATTTCAATCTGAGAAAACCTCCTTCTTATCATTATGATCTGTTTCTTCTAGGCTTCTTGGTAAAAATGATTGTTCTTTTACACTCTGTCTCAGTTTCCTTGAATTACTTTATCAGCTTATTTGACGGTCAGAGAATATGAACATTCTTCTGTAGACAATCCTATGCGGTCTCCTCGGGATTCCTCCATCGAATGGTGTCATCCCACAATCTCCAATGCATACAAAAAGCTTAGCAACACTGAAACGCCAGGTCTGATTATCTCACTGTGTATATATGTAGGCCTCTAGTTGCATTTGTCAAAAGGCATTTAAAACCGGTTGATTGATGTGCAGCTACTTCGAAGCAAACTCGTGGCAGCTGCGCGCAAATGCATCAGAAACAATGCAACTTTAGGACAAGTCTATGGAAGCATGGAAGAAGCTTACCAGAAAATGCAGAGCCCTCTGATACACCAAGGGCCTTCTCGGGTATGTGCGGACCAATCATCTATATCAGTTTATAATTAGACTTTTAGCTCATTTCTGATCAATCCATCACGGGGCAAATCAGATTCAAGGGCTCAAACAGTCACAAATGCAAAAGGCTTCAAGCTTAGGAGACGCAGACACACTGGTCAATGAAACAGTGTTCGATGTAGAGACTGAGGTTGAGAATATATTGCCAGTAGAAGTAAAAGAACAAAGAGTAAGCAACTTTCTCCAAGCTATGATGGTGGCTGGATGTGTTGCAGCAATGCCCCTAATCAAAAGAATCCCAAGCTCGGTTCTTTGGGGTTACTTCGCTTACATGGCCATCGAAAGCCTCCCAGGGAATCAATTCTGGGAAAGGATCTTGCTTCTCTTCACCGCCCCAAGCAGGAGATTCAAGTAAAAGATCAAACTTTCTTCCTCAATCACGAGTATATCTTGTTTTACCTGAATTGTGATCTTTTTTTTTTCAGAGTTCTTGAGGATAATCATGCAGTGTTTGTTGAAACGGTACCGTTTAAGACGATGGCGATGTTTACTCTGTTTCAAGCGGCTTACTTGCTGGTGTGCTTTGGGATCACGTGGGTTCCGGTGGCCGGAGTTCTGTTCCCGTTGATGATAATGTTTCTTGTTCCGGTTAGACAGTACGTGTTGCCTAATTTCTTCAAAGGAGCACATCTCCAAGACTTGGACGCTGCAGAGTATGAAGAAGCACCTGCTCTCTTATCTTTCAATCTCAAACCGGTAATAAACTCTCTTCTTCTTCCTCTCTACAAAAAGTTTGAGGCTTTATCGAGAATTAGTAGATCTTGGTCTTTGTGCAGGAAGGGGAAGTGAGCCGTGCGACGTCGTTTGCGGACAGTGGAGAAGTGATGGATGGAATGTTCACAAGAAGCAGAGGAGAGATAAGGAGGTTGAGCAGCATAAAGCTCGGTGGTGGCGGAGGAAGTGGATCGGCGGGTGGTTCGCCGGCGGGAGGAGTGGAGCTGATGAGACGAGTGGTGAGTTTTCAGAACCCAAGAGTGTCGGAGAAAGTGTATATACGGAGCTTAAGTGATTTCAGAGGAGGAGGAGGAGAGATAAGTCCAAGGTCGCCCGCCGGAAGAGCTCCGCTAAGTCCACGATTCGCCACCGGAGGAGGAGTAGAACAGAGACTTTCTAATTTGGGAAAGTCTGTGTAGTAAGCTAAGCAGTGTCCAATTCCATATATTCCTATCAACAGATTCCTAAGCTAATTAAGTTACTTCATTTGTTTTTCTACTTTGAGATTTTCTTAGATGAAAAATATCTCCGAAAAAATGGGAAATAATTCTGGGCTCCAAAGTCAACATCTTTGAGAAATTGTTTGTTTCAGAAAAAATGGGCTCCAATGTAAATAACTAAGCGATTTGGTTTTATTACAAAAGACAACAACGTTCGAAGCATACCAAACGACACAGTTTCGTTCGCTACTTAATGAAACGATAAAAAACGACAGCGTTTTATCAAAAGGCATATCCCACTCGCAGCAAGTGCGCGTTGCGCGCGTTAGGCCTTATTTCGCAGGTTATATATAGACCACGAATTTTGCTCATTTTTGGCCAAAATCAGAACACCAGCGAGTAGCCTGCGTTTTACTCTATATTGGATTGTCGTTTTGGTGCTTATTTTAAGCAAATAGGAGCATGTCTCCTCTATATCACTGCCCGTCAAATTAATTCCTGTGATACAATAACATTATTAACACATTTGATATTATGTCACTGCCTGTCAAATTAACATCAATTTATATTATCATATGCGTTTTACTTCTCATCGGTTGCCGTTTTGCTATCCGATCTCTCCATTTCAGTGTTCATCATCCTGAAAGAGCCATTGATTTCAAAAACATCTTACAGGTAAATCTCCTTCCTAAATGTTTTGCTCTGTTTGTTTGAATTTGTGAATCTCTCGTTAGTTTGTGTGTTGAGCTTCGGTGATATTCGTTCTGGGTTTTTAGGTTTTACTTAAGCTTCCAACTTTGTCGCTCAGCTAAATTGGTTTGATTTCTCCATTCATGATAAAACATTATCGAACAAATTTGAATCTTTAGCTTTGGGAAGCATAATGGTTTCATTACAAGATATAGCTACGCCTGATATCTTCATCTCTTTGTCTTTGGTCAATTTCACTTATAAACTCTTATTTGTGAAATTTTGCTTGTCGATATCTTCCTTAATTTGGTTAATCAGATTTTTGTTTTTATCTGAAAAATTCACAAGAAATCAAAATAAAGCGGGTAGGCTTCTCTCAGTAAATGAACACAGCTTTTCAGTTTGTTGAAGTAGTAACTTAGATGTTCCAAAAGCTATCCTTTTTGTTTCTTCTTCCCGTTAGTTATAATTTGCCATGTTCTTGCTTCTGGGTCTACTTGTATCCATCCAAGGCTGCACTTTTCTGCACCAGTTCGGTTTTCTTTAGCTTAATGTCTCGGATTCGGAGAATGAGAATCGAACTGTGCTAACTCTAATTCGGCATCTGGGTTTTCCTTAGGCGGTAATGTGATGTCAATGGTGAAATTCAAATCTGGTTTCACTTCAGCCAGAATGAAGAGTGGGTCGGCGGGAATCTGCATCATGGTTCTTACTCTGATATTTATCATCCGTTTTGAGAAACCTGTTCACAAACTTCCGTCGAATCACACTGTGGATGATTCTAGTATTAGTTTAGAAGGAGAGAGTATCCATGAACCAGCAAAGAAACCACATTTTATGAATTTGGAAGATCTTGATTACCTCTTTTCAAACAAGAGCATTTCAGGAGAAGGAGATACCAACGGATTGCTTGTGTGGTCTCATATGCGTCCGTTTCTCGAGAGACCAGATGCTTTGCCAGAAACTGCTCAGGGGATCAAAGAAGCTACATTGGCAATGAAAGATTTGGTTTTTCTGATCAATAAAGAGAAAGGAGCCTCTTCTTCTGCTATGGTCTCTAAGGATATTAGAAAAAACTGTCCACATTTTGTCACTGCAATTGATGGGGACTTGTCTGGTTCAAGGCCTGTACTTGAGCTTCCTTGTGGATTAATTGAAGATTCTTCAATAACTGTCGTTGGTATTCCTGATGAACATTCGAGAAGCTTCCAGATTCAGCTCGTTGGCTCAGGACTATCAGGAGAATCCCGTCGTCCAATCATCTTGCGTTACAATGTAAACTTTTCTAAGCCATCCATAGTGCAAAATACATGGACAGAAAAGCTGGGGTGGGGAAACGAAGTTAGATGCCGATCTCGTGGATCAGTTAGGAATCAGATAGGTAGTAAAACTCTGGCCTTAACATATCTTTGCTTCTTTTTTTATGTCATCTTGAAGGATATTGTTGAAAAGTCTCTTTGCAACCATTGTAGTTGATGAACTTCCTCTCTGCAACGAACAGACCGGTAGAATCACTTTGGAAGAGAGTCCCAACGAAGATACAACTATAGAGTTTGCTCTTTTAAATGCTGATTTTCCATTTCTTAAAGGGAATCCATTCACTGCCACACTGTGGGCTGGCTTAGAAGGTTTTCATATGACGGTTAATGGTCGTCATGAGACTTCATTTGCTTACAAGGAGGTAAAGAGTGATCTGAAGAGTTAGTTTTGAGGTTGTTGTTTTGTTTACACCAACATTTTTGATTTGCAGAAGCTCGAGCCGTGGTTAGTCAGTGCTGTCAGAGTCACAGGTGGTCTGAAACTGTTATCTGCCTTAGCCACAAGGCTGCCCGTTCCCGATGACCATGCTTCTTTAGCCATAGAAGAGAAACTTAAAGCTCCATCTCTTTCCAGAACAAGAATAGCATTGTTGGTGGGTGTTTTCTCCACTGGAAATAATTTTAAGCGACGTATGGCATTGAGAAGATCTTGGATGCAATATGAGGCAGTAAGATCTGGAAAAGTCGCTGTTCGATTTCTCATTGGCCTGGTAATTACTTGTGCAAGTGAACATTTCTCCTTGGATGTATGCATTTTTTTTAGCAATAACTTGGCGTTTTCTGGTCAGCACACCAATGAAAAAGTCAATTTAGAGATGTGGAGAGAAGCTGAGGCATATGGAGACATTCAGTTTATGCCATTTGTTGACTACTATGGTCTACTTAGCTTGAAAACAGTTGCACTTTGCATTCTCGGGGTAAGCTACTGTTTAAACAAAACATAGAAACTGGTGAGATATCACTTCTTGACTTGTCTCGGTGAATTGTGCCTCTCTGATGTTTTCTCCATGTTAATACAGACCAAAGTCATCCCAGCAAAATACATAATGAAGACGGATGATGATACTTTTGTTCGGATTGATGAACTGCTATCGAGTCTACAAGAAAAACCGTCTAGTGCCCTGTTGTACGGTCTGATATCATTTGGTTCGTTGCCAGACCGTGAACAAGGCAGCAAATGGTTCATCCGTAAAGAGGTAACTATTGAAGATTTCTCACATTTCTCTTCTCTCTAACTTCTTAGAGAATAGAGACTCATATTGCGTTCTCTCTTGTAAAGGAATGGCCTCTAGATTCGTATCCTCCATGGGCACATGGCCCTGGCTACATCATCTCTCATGATATCGCGAAATTTGTGGTTAAGGGTCACCGTCAGAGAGATCTTAGAGTGAGTTTTGCATTTTCATTATGGAGTTGAGATATAAGTAATCTAAGAGATGGTAAATAAACGGTGTTCTTATTTTGTTTTGCTGAAAGCTTTTCAAACTGGAAGATGTGGCGATGGGCATATGGATTCAACAATACAACCAGAGTGTAAAAAGTGTTAAGTACATCAATGACAAAAGATTCCATAACAGTGGCTGTAAATCAAATTACATTCTTGTTCATTACCAAACTCCTCGGCTGGTATTGTGTCTGTGGGAGAAGCTGCAAAAGGAGAGCCAATCTATTTGCTGCGAATAGGATCTCTCAATCTTGTTGCAAAGATTGAGACTTTGTTGAAACGTTCTACAGGGAATCTTGAAATCTTGTTGCTGAGGATCAAATGTTATGTAATTATTGATGTTGTGTATAACATGATGCATGTTTATGTGTCCTTTTAAAAAAAACATACAGTATTGTATAGATTATGGATGTTCATTTAATTTACTATCCCAATAAAAACCAAGCCCAATACTGTATGGTTTAGCATGGTTGTTTGTATTTATTTATGACTCTTTCGATTTTGTATATGTTTTTATGTTCATGTCTTCCGTTTGTTTATTAAATGTATGGCTGGAGTTTGATGAAACTATGGACGAGTATTGTAAAATTTGTAAGAGGCCTTCTTTAGATTCTTTACACCACCGAGTACCTAAACGCAATCCACGAATCATCGGCATGACCATGTGGTAGTAAAGCAAAATGTAAGTTGAAAACAAAAATAGCATGCATGTTGAATTAGATCATCAAAATAGCATGCATGTTGAATTAGATCATCAAGCAAAAAAAAAAGGCATGCAGGTTGAATTCGATGCAAGAGAAAATCATATTTATTAATTTATCTTGCTTTGGGATGGTTGGAGTGGTACAATGAACAAACGTAAAAATGGTAATCTTGTTGATGTTACTTTCTCTTCTCTTCTTCTTCTTCTTCTTCCTGTTCTCTTCCTCCTTTTTGCCTTACTCTCCTCACAGCAAGAGGAGTTTTGAAAAATGGAGAATAAGTATTAGTATACTTTTTGTTACATAAAAAAAATAGTATACCAGAAACTAGTATAATGGGAAGTTGCGTCCATGAGCCTCGAAAAAGATGACTTTGAACTACTATAGCTATAGTGAAAAAATCATCTGCTAACCCAAAATCTTGTAGCATGTAGAAGAATTTTGCAAGTAAAACAAGATGTAGGAAACCAAAAACTAAAACTAAAACCAAGAAATAAGAGACATTTGAATGTCATCAGCGAAGTGCTCTAAAAATCTTATGAAACGGAGAACTGTAAACTGTAAAGCTGTTTACCCAAGTCCATGAAAATTTTGAAGCTTCTTGAACTTGGGATTAGCATTTTTTGGTAGTACCAAGTTCCACCAGATCATGTGGCTAATGAAATGCATCTCTGATCAGTAAACCTGTTTTGTGGTTTTACATCTTTGTTTTGGTATCCATTTACCAATATGGTTTAAAGACTCATTTTACCAGTATAGTTTGAGACCTTTTTACCACTATATTTTGAGACATATTCTCTTGATAATCCATAAAGTGATAAGATGGATATCATGGTTGTATGGATGATCAAGGAATGAGTGAAAAAGATGAATTTCTTATAAAAAAATATATGTTTCATGAAAAAATATAAGTTCTATGATCATGTAAATTATTGTTTCTCAACCAAAAAAAAAAAAAAAATATTCTAAAATAATGCACAAACAACAATTTGTTTTTTATTATTTCTATCATTTTAAATTTCTAACCTGATAAAAATAATTTATGAATCCGCCACTGATACTAATGATGTTGATACTAGGGTCTAACTTGACTCTCTTTGCCCTTGAATATGATTCCAAAATCCAGCTTTTCTGGTTCTGTTTTCTCACTCTTTTTGTTTTTCTTATGTATATCTATTGTTTCAATCACCTTGGAGAGAACTACAGATTTTTCAGTTTCTATTGATGTATTACTCCATGCATTCTCTATAATTTGTCAGGTCAATTGATGTCGGTTACAAGTATCTGAGAATGGCTGCTTTGACTCTCTTTGCTCTTGAATATGATCGTAAAGTCCAGCCTTTTTTGTTCTGTTTTCTCATTCTTTTTATTTTTCTTATGCAAATCTACTTTCTCAGTTACCTCCAAGGTAACTACAGGTTTTTCAGTTTTTATTGATGAATTATTTCATGCATTCTCTATAATTAATTTGTCAGATTTGGTTGTTTATTAGTAGACTTTCTCTATATATATCTTCTTATTGTATTTCATCTTTTTTTAGTTATCACAAGTGTAATCCATTTTCATATGGACATTATCTGATGTAATGTAATGTCGCTTAATGAAGAGTATTTTGGTTTTTACTTATTATTATGTTTACATTTTATCCATCGAATTAAAGGCGTAAGTAACAAACAAAAACCAAAGTTGCTTGGCCAATTAAATTAGGTTAGCAAAATGCATATTAAAACCTTTACAAACCTTTACAAACCATAACAAAATTATACGTATTGCTTACGATGTTAAATTGGTCTTGTCATTTCCAAAACCTTTACAAATACTTATCAATGTGAAACTTCATGTATTCAGTAAAATTGAGAAATCTTAGTGGGGTAGAGTCATAAAGACTATAGAGTTCATCGTTGGACGTTGGTTTGGACTTATGAGAATATGTTACCTAATCTCCTTAGACATTTGCTTAGAGAGTTAGAGGTATACAGAGTTGAAATGATTTCTCTTTTACACAATTACACTGTATGTTGTTCTTGAACATGCGAAACGTCACTTGTGATTTTGTAGATACTACTATTTTAGAGAACAACGTGTAGTTGAACTTTTGTAAGTTTGCTTTTGGGTAAACAAACGCTCTCATATTTGGTTTGGTTTTCTCATTTCTTGTCAAAACGCTTGCTAATTTATCACTCCGGTTCAGTTTGGTAATTTAGCAGTTTTAAATTTTCCCATGATTATTCAATTCGGGTTTCGGGTTCGGTTATCTGTAACCGGCTATTACCATATCCAACCGAAATGAGTATTGACGGGAATTATCCGTAACAGAGTGACAGCGAGGTGTGAAGGAAGAAGACGATGGCGTCAATGTCTCTCTCGTTTTCTTCTTCGCTATGTTCGTCTCGAATTCCCCAAGGAGAGCGTAGATTTCTTCAGAGAGATGTGAGCTTCGTACGATGCGTTCTGGCTGCTTCAAAACCTTCTCCGGGAGGTGCTACGAAGAAGAGGCTTTGGAAGGAAGGCGAGTTTCCTGGAATCACGGAGCCAGTTAATCCCAGACGAACCCCGATCAAGAATGTGAAGAAGAAATTGGACAGGAGAAGCAAAGCTAACGGATGGGTTTGCACAGTCACTGAAACCTTGTCCGATCTCATCGCCAAAAAGCAGTGGTTACAAGCTCTCGAGGTATCTCAATTTCTCTCTTCTCAATCCAAATTCAGTGGAATTTTGAAACTTTAATGTATCTGAAACTGGAGATTCTGAAGTTGAGTTGCTTCAATTGGGTATTCTTATGGATGAACTTAGGTTTTCGGTATGTTGAGGGAGCAACCATTTTACCAACCAAAGGAAGGAACTTACATGAAGCTGCTTGTTCTGCTGGGGAAATCTGGACAACCCAACCGTGCACAGAAGCTGTTCGACGAAATGCTTGAAGAAGGACTTGAGCCCACTGCTGAGCTCTACACTGCTCTTCTCGCGGCTTACACTCGCAACAATCTCATCGACGAGGCCTTTTCAATACTTGACCGAATGAAAAGCCTGCCTCGATGCCAACCTGATGTTTTCACATACAGCACTCTGCTCAAGGCGTGTGTGGACGCTTCTCTATTTGACCTGGTGGACTCGTTATACAAAGAAATGGACGAACGTTTGATAACTCCAAACACCGTGACCCAGAACATAGTCTTAAGTGGGTTTGGTAGGGTCGGAAGGTTTGATCAGATGGAGAAAGTTCTGTCTGATATGCTGGTGAGTACTTCTTGCAAACCTGATGTGTGGACTATGAACATCATCCTTAGCGTGTTTGGCAACATGGGAAAGATAGACATGATGGAGAGCTGGTACGAAAAGTTCAGGAACTTCGGGATTGAGCCAGAGACTCGAAGCTTCAACATCTTGATCGGTGCTTATGGGAAGAAGAGAATGTATGATAAGATGTCGTCCGTGATGGAATACATGCGAAAGCTTGAGTTTCCATGGACGACATCGACTTACAACAACATCATCGAGGCGTTTGCGGATGTTGGTGATGCAAAGAACATGGAGTACACGTTTGATCAGATGAGAAGCGAAGGTATGAAAGCAGACACAAAGACCTTTTGCTGCCTCATAAACGGATACGCCAATGCAGGTCTTTTCCACAAGGTGATAAGCAGCGTACAGCTGGCTGCAAAGTTTGAGATACCCGAGAATACATCGTTTTACAACGCGGTTATATCAGCGTGTGCAAAAGCCGATGATCTGATAGAGATGGAAAGAGTGTACAAAAGAATGAAGGAGAGGGAATGTGTATGCGATTCAAGAACGTTTGAGATCATGATCGAGGCGTATGGAAAAGAAGGAATGAATGATAAGATCTATTACTTGGAACAAGAGAGGCAATTTGCAGCTACGAAAGAGGAGGAGAATCTCCCTGGATGATCGAGGTTTGTGATTTATTCTCTGCATTGAAACAGTAGAAGTAAGAGTTTTGTAATACACTTGATTGTTCGTTCTTGCAGCTTATGTGTATAAAAAGCTTTTATTTATGAAAGTCTTGTGCGTTGTTTGATGTGGGCCAAAATTTATATATATTGGGCCCATAAATAAAGCCTGACTTGCCCAGGAAGTCGGATGAGTCCAGTTTGACTAGCCTTGCGGTAACTGCTTGGCTTTTTCTATAAAATCTGTCTCGTTTTTCTCTCTTTCTCTCTCTCTTACCGTTTCTTCTCAAACAATCAAAGCGAACCACCCGAAAGGAAAATTCTGAACACATTCTGCTCTCTGCAAAAACCAATCAGCTTCGGTCGGAATCATTTACCGGAAATCTACAATGGGGATTGTTGTCAAGTCTTTCAAGGATCAATTCTCCTCTGGTTAATCTCTTTTCTCTCTCTCTTTTCTTTAGATTTTCCAGCGAAACGTAAATGTGCGCAGATCCGTGCGGATTTTGATGGGTCTTGCTTTTTGGGGTTGCAGATGAGCGATTGAAGGAGTCGAAGAACATCATTGCGAAATATCCGGACAGAGTTCCGGTGAGTTGATTTCATGATCATCGTTGATTTTCTTTCGTGGTGGTTCGTTCGTCTTAGTTGCCGTGTTATTGTGGACTTCCCTAGGTTCGAATAATTAGTCCAATTTTTTGTTTCTATAATTGTCTTCTAAATTATATGAATCTGGTTTCAATCCATGAATTTCTGTTGCCATTTGTTGATGAAGTTCGACTGATTTTGTGCGTTTTTTTGCTGATACGATCACTCTGGTCAATCTTTCATGTTTTTTTTTTTTTTGATTAGAGACTTGCTCTTTTCTTCTTTCTTAATTATAAATGCCAGATTTAGAGATCTGGCGTGGAATTATATAAAGATTGTAAGTTTGTGACCGACCATGTTATTGTTTTCTTTGGCTATTTATTAAGAAAGTTGCACTTAATAAATAATCAAATGAAAACAACTATTCTGATTATCTATAAGCATATGATCTCTGATTAATGATTGAGTCAATCATTGACAGGTGATTATTGAGAAATATTCAAACGCAGACCTCCCAGACATGGAGAAGAACAAGTAAGTTGTTTGTGACTTCAATTTAGCTTTTGGGACAAAGTGAACATTATCCACAAATTGAGTGATCTGTGTTGATCATATTTCAGATACTTGGTCCCACGAGACATGACCGTTGGACATTTCATTCACATGTTAAGCAATAGGTTACAGTTAGATCCATCCAAAGCTCTGTTTGTTTTTGTACAGAACACACTTCCTCAAACGGGTAATTAAGCAGCATCCATGTAAAGCCTTTCCCTAATTCTTCTATAAAAACATCCATTTAACTCTTTTCTTCTCTTGATTTTGCAGCTAGTCGCATGGACTCTTTGTACAATACTTTCAAGGAAGGAGATGGGTTCTTGTACATGACTTACAGCACCGAGAAAACATTCGGCTAACAAAAAAAGATTCGTTGGTTTAATAATCGAATCGGAAAACTCTTTTCTGAATAATCCATTTGTTTGATTCGTATGTTTGTGAATAATGAATGTCAGCTATTGTCGTTGTTAGCTGCCCTTGTACAGAAAAATGCAAAAAAAATATTTAACTTTGTAAATCATGTTGACCCAAAGGCAATAATAAGACAAAGTGATGATTCACACGAAACCATTTTTGTTTTTGTTTTTTTCTTCCCTCATAGAAAAAAGAACAGAAAAAAAAGAAAAAAAGAAACATAGTTTCGTGCAAGCACGTTAGTTTGGGTAGATATAGTAAAATGAGGACCTAAGAAATTTCAATGTCGGCGCGTTAAACGTGTCCCGTACGACTTTCATTAACCACGATAATGTTTTGAGCTGCACCGCAAACTTTAGAATACTGTATAATTTGTGTATATCCTCTAGTCACTTTTCTCTAAAAAAATGCAATATATGTATTTCCTTTGCCATAGATAATTAGATATATAATTATGTTCTGATTACAAATTTCAAACATTTCTAGTATGTCGTTGACCCTCAAAAAAAAAAAAAAAAATCGTTTTAGTCATGCGTTGGTTTTAGTGTTAAGATCACAACAACTGAAATTTGAAACCATGGAACAAAACACGTTCAAGTTTTGGGATTTAACGACGCGATAGATGGTCCATACGATTGTATAAAATCATCTTTCTTTTTAGTTGGCCTAAAAGCATCCATTAGGTTTTGGAATTTTTGTGCTTTTTTTCAATCTTATATATAGATCCGGATATTCCTTGCTGTTACAAACACGATACTATACCCAGTTAGATATATGTATTTGCTGACCTCAAAAAAAAAAATGACAAAAGTATTGAGGACTCTATTTATTTTATTTTTTTAAATTACTTTTATTTTTTGCGATTAATATGCCTTATTGATGAAACAAAAAAATTACCAAAACTTCGTATTTTCGTAACGTGACGACATTGTGAATATAGCGGGAATTTTGCTTGGTCAATATACTGTAGCTTTGTTAATTTTGACTTTTGCCATTTTTTGGGTCATTACCAAAGAACGAAATTGTGCGTTTCTTTGTTATTCGGACCAGATTGGGCCTGTTTGAATAGAATATGGGCCTTTGTAAAATGGACAGCGAATTTTTTAATTTCTTTTTTTTTAAGTCAGCAAGGGAATTATATTTGTTGTCGACAAACAATATTTTCTTTAAATACCCTGATGGGGTTATTACATATTTCTTCCGTTGATCATAATCTTCTAAAATTTGTCCGTACTAAAACGCTCGAGATACATTTCTATAGAGTGAGTTCTGAGTACCTATCTTACTACAGTACTACTGATCATGAGTTGTGATTTGTAGTTCGAACAAGAGGGTTTAGTCCATACGCCGCTTTTGAGATACTTAATTTGGGGTTCGTTGGTTTGGAATTTGGAATATTTGATTATGTATGTTATGTAATTAGAGGATGTACGTACATTGGTTTTTGTGAAATTTCCTTATGTTTCTGATTAGGAGGAATCAAAGCATAAACTTGAGGGTAAAGCTATTTTGTGTTTCAGGGATTTTGGAATCGAGAAATAACAATTCAACACATAGAAGCCTCAATTTGAAGATGTCGAGGTATCTGTCCACTTTGGTGCTGTCTGGATAAGGAATAAAATTTTCGAATATATGTGTTATTGACTTGTTCCTTGGACCTTTTTTCATCTTTCTATGGTATCCTCTGATCAAGATTGGCTACAAAACTTTCAAGCTTCACATATATGAAAAATAAAAACAAAAAAGAATAAAGGCTATATGATATGTCTTTCTTTTTGTTTTTCCCCCAACACAATGATTCTACAATCTTTACGAGTCAATGTCTCTTCTGTGTATTCCTGTCGGTATAAGTTTTTAGAATAAACAGAAAAACTGTGGATGAAGTTGTTTGTGTTGTTTACTGAAGCTGTTTGTGATATTATAACAATTGTCTTTTGGGATTTATATGCTTGTCTAAAGTTGATTTTTGAAGTCGCATGATTCAAAAGCTTCACAAGTGCTAATAAATTGTCATTATCTCTAGATGATATTACTAAAACTGTAACAATCAAAAAGTACTTGTATAGTTTTCTTGAGTATATAAAAAAAAACTGTTAAATACTCCCAACAATATTATACTGTATAATCAAAACCTCATGCAACAAATAAGACAACGATGTAATCGTGCCTTACTCCGCCGAATATTGTGATTAATTTAAAAGTTAGAAAATTATGTATATTGAAATTTAATATTGAAAAGGTAAATCTGCTCGCCGACATTTGGTAGACGAAGAAAGGAGGGATGTTATGGTCCAAAAGATCCTTTGGGGAATTACACAATCTCCAAAAGCTGGTCACATGTGGCTCATTCCTGTCCAAGTCAAAGCTTCTACTTTCTTTATTTTACTACACAAATTTATTAAACTTATTATTACTCTAATCTTCCTTTGCAAAATGCCTTTATTGCTCCTTAGACTTATTTATACTGACTGTTGACAAAAAGAAAGACTTATTTATGCTGACTAATTTTCACTTTTCGACTTTACAAACCGAAAAGCTTTTATTTATTACGATGAGGTGACAGGGAATTGATACTCATAGTTGCGAAGTATCTCATATTTGGTCTTACCGTAAAGACTTTTTATTATATATATCTATGACTAAAGTTAAATTTGAATTTTGGTTATTCGTATTTGATATGAAATGTCTTTTTGGTGTGCAAGATCTTGGATATTTTTTATATATTTTCAAGTATGCAACATATCCAAATTGATTCCATCGGTGGCATCGATAAATATACTGAGAACCTTGGAAAGTTTCTTTAAAATCTTACAAATTCACACATATTTCTATACATACCAAATTGATTCCATAAGTGGATTAATAAATTCTAAAAATTTGATTCTTTTCATTGTTCAGATTAACTCTCATGGAGTTATCCTACGTATTAATTGAATTTTTAACTTTAGAATGGGCTTCTTTACCTACTACACACAAGGGGTTCGTTTGGTCAGTAGTTCAATGGACAGTGACTTTGGAGTAGATCTGGGCCGTTGGTCATCGGCTTATTGCTTTTTGATGCCGTTGGATTGGTCGTTTCATGACCAGACCAAACCAATTTGACTTCTTTAAAGTGATGCAAGTAAAGTCATCGTTCTAAGATTAAGTCACGCGCCTGCCCAAGCAACTGAACGTCATACACTATATAATAGATCCAAATTAATAGAAAATGGGAAAACGAAAGATTTTAATTTTTCTGGGAAATAATACAGTATCTATTTTTTTTTTTAATAATACAGTATCTAAGCAATACTTCAGCGACAAAAGAAAATATATAGAAATATATATACGATTATACGACAGTTGTTATGTAAAGTAGTGTCTACAAAATTTCCTACATCAATATCTTCTTTAACGATTCCTTTGGAAATTGTCGATAAAATTGAAACAATATATAAAGATTCAAAAGATTATAAGACAATTGGATGCGTTAACGTTAAAATACTACTATCTACAAACAAAAAATACTAAATGTAACCAAAAAAAATACTACTAACTTAATTACAGTGCCTGTTTTTTTACTATTTTTAAAAAAAAACTAAACGTACTGTTTGTTTATTTCCGACTCTTTGTTTTGTAACAAATTGTATCGCACAAGATCTATCAATTTATGGCATTAATTTGTAAATACCATAGAAACCAAAAATGAAAAGTTTGTAATACTGACCGGTGACCAAAAAATCTGTACGAAGAGGTTTTTGATTGGTCGTATGTATTTTGTTTTAGCTGTATATCATCATCAGTCAAAATCACTGGCTTTTTATTCGTTTTTCTTTTAACAACTGCAACTTACAAATTAGTATAGTAATTATATATACATGTAAATCAATAGAAAATGGATATTAGTGGATGGAACAAACAATTTTATTCTGCCCATGCCATGGGCTGTGATGGACATTATGCATTATTTTTCTTGAACAATTAAGACAAGAAGATTCAATGCTTTTTATTTTTTTCTTTCTTTTTGTTGTGGCCCTTGTCTTTAATTTGATCCATAATTCCAATTTCTCCATGGACGTGTCCTGATTAAAATAAAGGTAGAGGAAATGATCTCTTACTTGCCTTTAGATAATCTCTGCTGGTTTTCTCATGGTAGGAGGAGTTCTTCTCCCTCTTTCCTTTTGTGAGATAATACATAGGCCATTTAGAAAAAAAAAAGAGGCAAACTATAAACATTTGAGACAAAATTATCGATTCATTGTAGAAGACCAAAAAGGGTCAATCAAAACTTAAACTAGTTGCTTTCTACATCTTAAAATTACAAAAATATATCACAAAAAAAAACATTCAAAAAATAACCCTCTCAATGTAACGGTTACAATATTTTTCTAATATATATATATATATATATACTTTTGTAACTGTGAGAAATGAGCGATTAACCTAGTTAGTTAATCATAATGCTCACAACTTTGGTAATGAATAGTCAGGCGATCAGTAGAAGACTAAAACTTAAAACGACTAATTGAAATCTATTAGATTGGCGACACTCAAAGTGTAGTGACTGAGCTAAAAAACGAAGTTTATCAAATTTTATAAAATTGTGGATTGGACCGAGTATAATCGGATTAAAGCGTCTAAATCGAGCAACCAATTCAACTGACCAATTTTCTTTATGAGCGTTTAGACGAGCATTTTAATAGACGCCTAGACCAATTTCTTTAGGCCATGGTTACGAGCAAGACCAAATATTAAGACTGTAAATACTAGTATTTATAAAATACGAAAAGCAATTTCATTGTCAAGTAGCATTATATCAAGAATGTTCTGGATTTTTAAAAATAATTCGGGTTCTAACTTGCCACTGTGGTATTGTTGAAATAGCATTAGCATTATTTACTAAAGATAGTAACCTGTAGACAATCACGAGTGATGTAAGAAAGTTGCAGTTTCTTGTGATATTTATATATACACCATTTAATTAAACAGGAAACAAACTTGGCCATACAAAACTTTCTACAATCTAGTACTGTATTTATCCATACTAAAATCTAATCAACGTCCCTTTCCCATATATGAATGTACAAATAAACAACAAATAAAACAGGTCAAGATCTGTAGACTAAATGGTTTAAAGTACTACCCAATATGGCAGCCTAGTGATTGGAGATAAGCTTTTATAAAAAAAATTTTACCTGAGTTTAAGCTTTGTAATTGTAGTTTATAATATAAAAAATTATATACCTGCAAAAAAATATTTTAAATTTACGGTTTTTCTACTTGCATTTTTGAAAATCTGTTTTTGATATTTCCCAAATGTTAAAAAAAGAGAAGGAAAAATAAATAAAATAAAGAGAGGTCACTAATTCTATGTTTGGCGCGTATATTAACCACCACCGGCAAAACACCCACGAAAAAGGCGAGCACGCATAAAGAAAGATCAAAACCTCCCATCACTTCCAAAAAGAAAAAATAAAACTTGTTACGACATAAAGAAAATCGAAGCCGAAAATTATATAAATTTTTATTTTTTTTAAAGTTCAAAAAAGTTTCAGCTTTGAAGCTAGGGATCAAGCGAGTGAGAGTGGTGTGGAAGCGAAACCACGATCTGCGTTTTTTTTTCTTTTCCTTTTCCACTTAGATTTCAACAACACTCTTCTTCGATCGGAGCTTCCGACATTCCAACAGAAGCTAAACAAAAAAACAAAAAAGACATCTTCTTTCGGTCTGAGGGGGATTTGTCTCCCTCGGCAGAGGTTAGGTTATAAATGGAGCGGTACGGTCGCGCCGGTGAAGAAGGGTCGCGATCGGATCCATCGCTTGAATGGACCTCCCATGGAGGCGAAACCGGAGTCGAAGGTAAAGCTATCGATTTCCTGCTTAATCTGCGATTAGCGTTCTGAGATTAAATGATTTTCTTCCAAATGCGTCTTCTTGTAGCTTCGATGTGGCGGTTAGGGTTGAGCGGCGGCGGAGCTGGAGGAGCTGGAGGAGGTGAATCGTACCCGGAGCGACCCGACGAGCCCGATTGTATCTATTACTTGCGAACCGGCGTTTGCGGGTACGGGTCGAGATGCCGGTTTAATCACCCACGAGACCGTGGAGCGGTAAAAAAAATTCCCAATTTTGATTCTCCTTACTCACGATCTTCAATTCCTCGGTTTCAGATGATCAGATCGCTGAATCAGTGATTTAGTTCTTGGGCATTGTTAAATTTAACATTAATTTTTTTGAAAAAAATTGAGAAATTTATTGGTTTTTGAAAGCTGTTTGATTTGATGTTTAGGTTATTGGAGTTGTGAGAGGAGGAGATGGAGCTTTACCGGAGAGGATGGGACATCCGGTTTGTCAGGTTTTTTGATGATGTGAAGTTGAAACAATCTAAACCATTTTTCCGGATTTGAGCAATGCATTTTCAATTTATCTGCTTTTTGTTTACATAAGAAATCTGTGAACTTTAGACTTTTTTTTTCCCTTTTCATTGTTCTTCCTCAGCATTTTATGCGAACGGGAACATGTAAATTCGGTGCTTCTTGCAAGTATCATCATCCTAGACAGGGAGCTAGTTCCGTTACGCCTGTCTCGCTAAGTTATTTGGGATATCCATTACGCCCGGTTTGTGTTCTATATAGTCCCATGAATGTTATTTGGTTTATCAATCTTCCACACATTGTTTCTTGTATGATCTCTTAAAAGCTCCTCTGAATTTGGTTGCAGGGAGAAAAAGAGTGTTCTTATTACATGAGAACCGGTCAGTGTAAATTTGGTTTGACCTGTAGATTCGACCATCCCGTGCCACTCGCTGTACAGGGCCCACCTCAGCAGCAGCCACAGCAGCAGCCGCAGCAGCAACTACAGACTATTTATCCAACACTTCAATCTCAACCCGTGCCTTCGTCTCAACAATATGGGTTAGTTTTGGCAAGGCCTTCTCTTTTACCTGCTTCATATCTTCAAAGCCATTACGGTCCTCCAATGGTTCTGCCTCCTGGAATGGTTCCATACCCTGGTTGGAATCCTTACCAGGTATTCTATTATCAAAATTCGCTTTTTGAAATTCTTCATTTGCTACCTTTTTCTTTTAGCTTAAAGAATCAAATCGGTTTTGTTTTTTAAGGCTTCTTTAAGTGCAATGCCTTCCCCTGGAACTCAGCCCTCTATTGGATCGAGCTCTGTTTATGGAATCGCACCGTTATCTCCTTCAGGGACTGTTTATACTGGAACATACCAATCTGGGGCTTCCTCGAATACCTCAAAAGAACAATCTTTTCCTCAGCGACCTGATCAACCTGAGTGCCAATACTTCATGAGAACCGGAGATTGTAAATTCGGATCTTCGTGCAGATACCATCATCCTCTGGATGCAGTTCAACCTAAAACCGGTGTTCTCCTCAGCTCCATTGGCCTTCCACTTCGTCCCGTAAGTCTTTTTCCTTTTTCTGTGGACGCAAAACTCGATCCAATATGATAATTGTTTTTGCTAGTTTTGGTATGAGACAACATTTCAATATGTTTTGACGCAGGGCGTAGCGCAATGCACTCACTTTGCACAACACGGAATCTGCAAGTTTGGACCGGCGTGCAAGTTTGATCACTCAATGGCTTCTTCACTTAGCTACAGCCCGTCTGCATCTTCGCTTACCGATATGCCCGTGGCTCCATACCCAATCGGATCATCCTCACTCAGCGGAGCATCAGCTCCAGTAAGCTCAAGCAATGAACCCACCACAGAGGCTGTGACTGCTGCAGTTTCTTCTCCTATGGTCAGTGGCTTGAGCCGTCAAGAGCCAGCTGAGGCCAGTGGTGACTCTGCTAGCGTCAGTGGCAGCGTAGAAGCTAAGACTTCTTCAAGTTAAACATAAAAAAAAAGAGAGGAAAATATCCTCCTCAATTCTTCATGAACTAAGCAACATTAAGAAAAGAGAAAAGAAGATTATTTTTGGGGTCTGAGATTTGATGGAAGCAGAGAGACCAAAGCTTCTGTCATTTACCATTTGTCCATATATAATATAATTCTCTCATACGGCCTTCTATCTCTCTCTCTCTCTTGTTTTTTCTTTTTCTCTTTCTTGAACAACGATTACTAAATAAATGGCCGCCTTGTTCACACGACATTCGATTCCTGAAAACCCCCTGTTTTTTATTCGTCCATTCGTTTCATGAATCTGGAGCATCAACAACAACTCCACGAACTTATTAAGAAGCAGAAACGAATCTACGATTCACGTTTTCTCTTAATTTTTTTAAATTTTCGTATCCTTGACAATATCATTACTCATGACAAGAATAACGTTACGTATCTTCTACCAGAAAAGATTCAGCCGATAATGCAAATGTTGACAAAAGAGAAAACAGAGAAAAATAGGCAAATAATGTATAAAAAATATTGTGTTCGCGTCCATCTGACACTTGATAAACTTAAGTTTTTAATCCTCTGAATCTCAAACTTTTTGATCCTTTTCTCTTGTTAATCACGAAACTAAAATTTTGTTATGTATACACAAGCATAGAAGGGACTAATTTTCGATAAAACAAAATTAAAATTAATTCATACGATTAAAAACTTTTAAAATCCAAGTCAACAAGGACAACATTTTTCACCCAACCAGACTGACATTCACTTGCTATGTTTAAAATTACCTTAGTTATATATTTGACAAGAAAAACTTAGCAAACTGATATTCTGGAAAATGCGTAAACAGAGCTCAGAAAATCATCTCAGATGCTTGCGCTTCTTCAACGATGAAGGACTCTCACTTGGTTGCCTTCCTAAGGCTCGCTTTGATGGTGTTGCACTCTTCAAAGATTTAAAAAAAAGAGAAGAAAGCATAAGCATCCAAAGGAATCAAATCAAAAGACACTACAACTATATATATGTTTTAACTCTTACCTTTGCGAGCTTCTTCTCTTTACGGGCTTGCCTCTCTCTCTCATCAAATTCTTGGTTTTCTTTCTCAATCAGTCGAATCAGAGTGTCGCATCTTCTTGCGAGTTCCTGACTCGTGCGGGATTTCACAAACCAGTCAAATCTGAACAAAGGCGATGTCCTGAACGCTGCCTTTAGCTCATCCCAGTTCCCATACCCAAGTTTGTGGATCATGCAGATCTGTTTTAAAACAAACAAAAGTTTCCAATCAATCAAAGCTTCATAATAGATAATAGAAACATAAGGAGCGAAAACGAAACGATGAAAAAGACAGACCATGAAACGGTCGCACTCTTCATTGTAAAGCTTTCCTTTGTTCTGACCATATTGAATCTTCAGTTCCAGCCAAGGGTTTCTGTAGCGATCGAGTTTCTTCCCTATGGCTTTCATGATTTCATCTTTCCTAGAGATTCTTGCCTCTCCCCTCTCTATGTTCTTAATGATTCTATCATAGTCTGCCAATTTAGAGGGCATAAGCTCCTTCATAAGGTAAGAATTACTTTACTTAGCATCTGAAGGTCTTGTGTTACATACCGTTCAGCTCCTTGTATCGCTCTTTGAATACTTTGGCGTATCTTTCTACTTCTTCCTCTGTTTTGCCTTCCATCTCCGATGCAATGCTTTTGATGTCATTGCGGCCATACTTCTCACAAGCCCTAAGGAAACTATTGAAGTCTCTTCTGCTCCATGTTGAGAAACCCTGGAGATTAACAATTACAAACAATTAAACAAGGCCCGGCGAAATCACAAATAATTAATCATCAGACGTTGTCACTTGCCTCCTCCAATAAACCCTCCTTTTCTTCTACTTCTTCAGCAGTTAAGGGATCTCCACCTTCAAACATAGATTTCTTAATCAGTAATAGGTTCGCTGGTAAAAATGTAAGCATAGTTGGCACAAACTGAGAAACTGCTTGACCTTCTAGTTCTTCTACATCAATTGTGTCTTTCAACTGATTCTTCTGATGTGTTTGCTGAAAAAGAAGCAAGTTGCTTTTATTAGCCGAAAAACTCGCTCTTGGGCACAACAAACCAGTGACAAGTATTTTACTTAAAAGAACCCTACCATGAGATAGCGTACTTCCTTTTCATACAACTCGGTCAATCTCTGAATGTTAAAAAACTGGAAATCGTGCCTGCAGGACAAAGTAAAATACCATTAAGACAGGGAAAAGGCAATTCACCGATGCAGAGTAGAGTTTATGAGGTTCTCACAACTGGGGCATGCGCGGAATTCTAGGCTCTTTAGGTTTAGCTGGAGCACCTTGCCGCAATGTTTGCTTAAAGTATTCAGATTCAGAGTAACTGAAGATACAGGAGATAAAGGAGAAGGGATTTTTCTGTGAGATAAAGTTTACGAAAACAGGCAAAGTAGGAGTGCACAACGTATAGGCACAAAGAACATTTACTTGCGCTTCCTCTCCCGCTTTGGTGGATCATTCCAGTTGTCGCTCACAATCTTTTTAAAATCAAGCTTGTTCTCATCCTATAAAACATAATTATAAAAATCTCAGTAAATTGATTTTCAGTAATGTAGATCAAAACCAGGGTATGACATGAAAGCTTAAACTATGCAAAGAAATATACCTTATTGTCATCATCAAAATCATAGAAGTCAGCACCTGCAACAAATCAAATAAAAATATCCAATTATTACACTATTAATACAACAGAGAAGGGGAAAAAGGTCCATGAAAACCCTTACTGTCATCCATTTTAAACTGTATCGCATCTTCTGTGAATTTCTTCATCTTGGCATCAAGTTCAGCTGTTGCCTCCTCTCCTTTCGCAATGATTCTATCAATATCCTCGTCTGTGATTGTGCTATCTTTAGAACTGAACACCATCTCAGCCCCATATCTTACCATTTGAAGCAATTCATCCTTATTGACAGCTGCAAAGTAAAAATAAATATTAATTCTCTTAGAGATGAACCAATGCATGTTGCAAACTCGGTATAAGAAACTTACTTTTCTGCTCTGCCAATCGCCCTTGTTGAATTACCAGAGCATCAAGCGCCAACTTCTTGTAAGCTCTCTCAATCACTTTCTCCTCAATAGCAGACTGTAAACAACCAATACTTTATTAATCCGAACTCTCATAGTCTGTTCTTACTTGACATACAAGGGGATAGTATAAAACCTCAGTGCAGAATCGAAACACTTGAACTTCTTTTTTTTGACCAATCCTATGGGCACGATCCTGAGCTTGCAAGTCGACTTGTGGGTTCCTGCCAAAATCCGCCAGACTCGTCAAAAGTGAAGAGAATACTCACAAACTACAATGGACAGAGTAGAGACTTACCAGTCACTATCATAAAGAATCACGACATCTGCAGTAGCAAGATTGATACCAAGCCCTCCTGCTCTAGTAGATAACAAGAAAACAAATTTCTCACTTCCTGGTTTGTTGTAGGCTTCGATGGAGGCATCTCGTTCATCACCACCAGTATTTCCATCAATACGGCAGTACAGATAACCGCGATACATTAAATAATCCTCAAGAATATCCAAAAGCCTTGTCATCTGACATTATATGAGCAAAGAAAATAACAACGCTCAGACTTAAATAGAGAAAATAAATAGAGAAAAGAAACAGAGAATATGAACCGCAAGAAACAATTATCTCCCGCTGTTCTGTACCAGCGATTACCTGAGAGAATATCAGAACTCTCGAATCACGTTCCTTCAACTTAGGAAGCAATTTATCCAAGAGAACCATCTTACCTGAAAATAACAATATAAAGATGCCTTAAAAGCACATTTACACATAAATCTGAAGGATTTAGTTTGAATGCTAGTCTTACCAGCGTTTGTTATAAGGTGATCTCCGGTGGTATATGGGGGACCAGGCTCTGCACCCTGGAAGAGATAAGGGTGATTACAGCATTTACGAAGTTGCATTGCAATGTTTAGCAGACGTTTGCGTTCTCCGCCAGCATTAACCGCTTCAAGATCCTTCTGCAGTAACGCCTTATAGTACTGTTTTTGCATCTGAGACATGCCAACTTTAAGTATCGTCTCCTTCTTTGGAGGCAAACCTTTCTCAACATCTGATTTAAGTCTCCGAAGAAGAAATGGTCGAAGGACCTAAGAAGATACAGGAAGTTAGCCTAACAATTAAGACATGATAAACTCGATAGATGCAATAGGTACATACTTACCTTGTGAAGTTGTTGAACAACTTCCTGCTGGTCATTTTCACCAGAAATCTGAAACCATTCATCAAAAGTCTCTGCTGAACTAAAAATCTCAGGCAGAAGAAAATTGAGAAGAGCCCACAGTTCATGAAGATTATTCTGCATATACGAGAAAGCATGAGGTAAGAGGAATAGAAAAGCAAGAGTACAAACAAACTCGTACAAGAAAGGTTGTTTGAAATTACAATTGGAAGCAACTTAACAACAAAACTTCAGTGTCCAAATAATCAAGAATAAGATAGAGCAAACCTGAAGGGGGGTTCCCGTGATAAGAAGCCGATAATTGGTGCTAAAAAGTCTCATGGTTTTAGAAAGGAGTGAATTTTCGTTCTTGATTCGATGCGCTTCATCGATGATAATATAACGCCAGCTAAAGCGACGCAGTGCTGTCTTTTCTTTTATGGCCATCTCAAAGCTTGTGACACAAATATCAAATTTCCCAGCAACTAGGAGGTCATCACGAATATGTCTCTGCATTATTTAGCAGATATCTCAGAATCCCGGGGAAAACATTTACATAAACTCTGAGATGGCATACAGCTCGTGACTTACCCTTTCCTCAGGATTACCAAGGAATTTCACAGCACGCAAGACAGGACAAAACCGGCGAATTTCGTTCATCCAATTACCAAGGGTTGATTTTGGAGCAACTACCATATGAGGACCATTGATTCCTCTGTATTCATGAAGGTAGGCCAACAAAGAAATCGTTTGAAGCGTCTTTCCCAGACCCTAGACAACAGAACAAAAAACAGTTTAACGATTAGCATCACAGAAAATAGAGAACTAGTTTTGCTTGTATCCTTGGGGGAGCCATTGTTTACCATTTCATCAGCAAGAATTCCATTTATGCCATTTTCATACAGCCGAATGAGCCAGTTTAAACCAGCTAATTGGTAATCTCTTAATTTCCCTTGAATACCTGTAAGTTGGGAAGAAAAAGGTGAATATCCTAATCTTAGAAAATTTACACTATACGACCTAGTAACTGTGAAGTCAGATAGTTATATGTTACAGAAATGGAAGGAGATCTCAATAATATTGCACCGTTTGCTCTCAGACAAATGATCAATATGCAATACTTCCAGACTAAAGAGAAATATAAAGATACTTACAAGAGGGCTGTGTGAGCAACCTCGTGTTTCCAGATCCAGTTAAGCCATCCTCTTCTTCCTTTAAATACTCTTCATCTTCCTCCTCTTCAGTTACTTTGGATGCATGACGACCCCTGAAGGTAAAAGTTAAAACCCAATAAATCAGGGCTTTGCACACCATTTTTATTTAGAGACCAGAAACAATGAAGAAACCAATAATTAAGGAATCAATTGAACCCAACACACCTTCCTTTCGTCTTCTTCTGAGAAGAAGATGGATCACCTTTAGCAAAGTGTGCAAATAACTCAGTTTGCTGCAGAAGATACTTCAGTCTCCCTTTTCCTTTGTTGTTCTGAATGCATGGAATGGTTTAGATCGTCAATTTCATAAGCACACAAAAAGGTAAAAGCAGCTCAAATCGTGAGAAAATTATTACTTCACACAACGCACCATATCCGCATCTATGGAAGCATTTTGTGAGTCCAGCATCTCTTGAATTTTTTGCTTCTTCAACTTCTGCATCTCTTTAAGCCTGGCTTTCTCACGTTTGCTGATCTCAGCTTTTTCATCATCTTCTTCGTCCTGCATATTCCATATTACCACAATGAGCGACCATGCAGACACTTTCAAAGTAAACAGAAACGAAGCGGAATTAGTAGACTAAAAGCAACGAACGTAGCAACACAAACAACAAAGTTAATTCTCGCACTAGCGAACACCGAAACCACTACACTCAATGGAAATTCAAGAACAATAAGACGCAGTGACACTGAGAAAGCGAAAATCACAGCATCGAAACGAAATCGGGATGCACCTACCTCGTAATCATCTTCCATAGGGGCGGCCTCTTCGTCGGAGACTGGGGGTTCTTCGGGTACGGCCTCATCATCGGAGTCAGAAGAGCGAGCGACAGCTTCGAGCTCCTCCTCGTCTTCTTCTTCTCCATTGTTCTTAACCGGCTCTTCATCCTCCTCCGACGAGTAAGCGTCATCAGAATTCGAAATTCTCGCCATGTGAGCTGCGAATCCGGATTCGCCTTGAGATCGAGGGTTCGTTTTGGGGAAAGTACGAAACAAATCAAACAAACAAAAAAAATGAAAATTTAGATACAATTGTGTAAAGTGCAGACCCCGAAACGACCGAAGCTTCAGGGTTATTCGCTTATTAATGACCGTTGATTAGGGGTAATAAAATCGACGGCTACGATGTGTAACTAGTCGCTTCGTCGAATAGTATTTACCCGCCACCTGAGGAAGAGAGTTTTGGAAAATTCCCGCTTTGGATTTCGTTTGGTATTGATTGGGCCTATTGGCTCCTTAAGGCCTATATTGAAGCCCAAATTGTTTGTATTTTGGGAGGATGCTTGAGCAAAGTTTTTTACACATGTTATAATGACAATAAACTTTGTCTCTTCAAGCAACCACATCCAGATGTGCTTCCTTTCTTCTAACTTCTAGTGTATTACTTGAGTTCATACTACTCAAAACTCCATTTAATGAGATGGGATCATTTCTCACGGTCTGTGTAGTAATTATATCCAAACTTGCAAGTGTTGCTATGCTCGCCCAACTCGATCTGATTCTACTCCATCTTGGCTTACACGAACTTTTCTTTCTCGGCCGTGTATTGCCTTGCTTACTAGTTTGGAATCTCTTAATCAAGTTTTTGTTATTATAATCTGACTCGTCTAGTCTAAACCCACCTAAATGAATGTTGAGTATGGTTTCGTTCAATAAGCAAGAACTAGAAGAACAAGAATATGACCTCATCATGCTCTCTTAATCCATTTAATTAATGCCTTAGGAAGAAAATAAAATACTCGATATATAGCAATCAGGAGAAAATCCTTTTACTAGCATCTTGATGAAATCTTCGAATTGTTACTATTTCAGAAACTTTTTAATATACTTCGAATCTTTTTGTATATTTTGTTTGAATATCGCCACAAATCATCTCTTTTAATTTTAATTTAGTTGAATACGGAGGAAATAAAGAAACCATGATACATATTCATTGTTAGGCCTGACTTCTTTGTTGGCCTGATAGTGTTTGGTGCTTTTGTTAGGACACAAATCTGTTCTGTTTCGTCTAGCTGATTAAATAATTATTTCTTGATGTGAATAAATAGAACCTTAAATAATCTGTTCTGTTTCGTCTGGCTGTTATCTGAAGAAGTTTCTTCTTCGCGTTAAAATATCATAGTATAATTGAGAATTGGTAATGCTACTGTTACTTGCAGTTCAAGATTTTAACACATCTACATAAGATAAGATATCATTTACATAATATACAGCCGCAAGTAGAAAGCAAAGTAATACCTAAGAGCACATAATAAAATTCCTGTTTTATGCAAATGATTGTTTAACTTTAACCACTCCCCATTTTTCTTTCCTTTTTTAATTTGTTTTGTTTTGTCATATTGGTTATCAACTTCCAATTTCCTCACCAACCTTAAATGGGGTTGGCCTAACATATTCATATACTGCATTATCCACAAATGCCTACATATATATATTAATATAAGATCAGATGCAAAGCTTTTTTTTTGTTATACGAAAATATTAATTTAACTGTATTTTAGGCTGGTTTGTATTCTCGAAAACATGACTTTTTTGGGCCGTTTCCATGTGTTTAAACTCATATGTTAAAATGTGTGTTTACTTACTTTCAAACAAACCATAGTGTTTTATTTCAAACGTCAGAAAATTATATATGTAAGTTTATAAACGCAAACAAAAAAATTAACGGGAATTAAAAATAATAAACTTTTTATTCGCAATTCATGCCCATGTATAATACATACTTATTTCTTGCCGTGAGGGCAACCACAATCCATCGCCGGGACTATATATACACACGTATTATAATGTATCAGCCAATTTGATAACTCAACCTCAGTCCATACTGAACCTCAAATTAAAACCTCCATCTGCATACACAACAGAATAAAAGTATATATCATCTATAAATAAACGTTTTGATGGCATCTACCGAAAACCCTGATCCAGAAACCGGTAAATCCAAACCGCTTCCGGCTTCAGCTGAACCACCACCACCACCACCACCGTCTTCAGCCGCCAGTTTCCTAGACTGCCGGAAAATAGACGTCACGTTAAGAGTTTTGCTTTTCTCCGCCACATTGACTGCTCTTATAGTAATGGTGACCAGCGACCAGACCGAGATGACTCAGCTCCCTGGAGCTCCGTCTCCAGCTCCTGTCTCCGCCCAGTTCAATGACTCGCCCGCTTTCATGTCCGTCTCTTTAGACTAAACTCAATATTTGATCATCATAACTAAACAAGAGACTTCGTATTATATGCTTTTCAGTTTAAACTGTAATGTTAATATTGTTGACTATATATATGTGCAGATACTTCGTGGTGGCTCTTGTAGTGGCAAGTTTCTACGCCTTAATCTCAACACTTATTTCCATCTCTCTACTCTTGAAACCTGAATTTGTTGCACAGTTCTCGATCTTCCTAACCTCATTGGACATGGTAACTTGTTTCACAAGTAACTTTGAATCTTCCACACCAGGTTAAGTTTACTTAAACATATACTCTGGAATATATCATATACACATGAACAGGTGATGTTGGGGATTTTGGCGTCTGCGACGGGAACGGCGGGAGGAGTCGCGTACATAGCGTTGAAAGGAAACGAAGAAATTGGGTGGAACAAGATTTGTAATGTCTACGACAAGTTTTGTGATTACATCGCAACTTCGCTTGCCTTATCTCTCTTTGCTTCTCTTCTGCTTCTAGTTTTATCCATTTGCTCTCTTTCCAAGAGATCTACATGAACAAATACTAAACCCATATGAAAAGTCCTATCTCGTAACGTGTTATTTGTTCACACGCGCGTTTGTGTGTGCCGTGTGTATCTTTGTGTCGGATTTGGTTTGTATCGTTGTGCTAAGTATATCTCAATATATCTATCTGCGTTGTTCTGACTTTTTGAGCATAATCCATTCATTTATCTCTTTCTAAACTCGTTAGTTACTGCTGTAACTGCTGAAATCAAGCAAACGATTTAGATGCCGCCACGATCCTCTATCTTAATTGACAATTTCTCGAGTCCTATATATCTTTATCTTACTTCATTTTGTGAAAAACAAAAAAAAAGCGTATCAAATTCAGAGTCAATGTTTTTTTTTTTTTTAGTAAAAGAAGATTATACGACCGTTATTGCGAACTTAGTTGAATCTGGTCGTGTTTTTGTTAAAGATCAAACAACCACAACACCTAAACGGTGTTAGTATGTTAAAAACAAAAAGCCCTAAACGGTGTAAGTTGAATATCATCAATTTTTGTTGTTGAGTGTGGCAGAAATTGTTGGCATCATCAATCTCATCTTAATGCTGATTGAATTATATTTTTGCTGATCGTAGTTAAATGTTAAACGCAAAAAAAAAAAAAAAGTTAAACGCAGTGTTAGCAGATAACGATGATTACAATGTGGTCTAAGAGGCCAATTATCGTGGGACTCATTTATCTAGGCCCAATAAAGCTATACTTATCAAAATATTTTCTTTTATTTTTTTTTATTTTTGTCTGTAATATTTGGTCGCGCCAAGTAAAACGAAAAAGAAAAAACTAAAATTGATTTTTACTCAGAGACCAGTGAGTGATATGACGTCTCCGCTCCCACTGTAAATGAGCTGTTTTTCACTTTCAGACTTGAAGTTGGGGTTTTCCGATTTTAGGGTTTTTTTCTATAGAGGAAGAAGAAAGGCGGGCTTTTTCTATTTTTGGCTTTTGGCTTTCTTTTGTTCTGAATAGTGTGAGTAAGGAACAGCAAAATGATGATAAAAGACTGTGAGGTAGAAGTGTGTTCTGAGGAGGAAGGTTTCGAAGGGGCTTGGTTCCGAGCGGTTTTAGAGGAAAACCTTACTAAATCAGGACGAAAGAAGCTTCGTATTCGCTACATGACTTTGCTAAGCGACGACGGCTTCTCTCCTCTCATCGAATTCGTCCAACAGAAGTTCATTCGGCCAATCCCGCCGGTGGATCTACAGAACACTGTCGTTTTGGATGAAGGAACGCTTGTCGACGCAGATCACAAAGATGGGTGGTGGTCTGGCGTTGTTGTGAAGAAGAATCTTGAGGATGACAAGTTTTTGGTTTACTTCGATTCACCACCGGACATTATCGAGTTCGAGAGAAACCAGTTGCGGGCTCATCTTCACTGGACCGGTTGGAAATGGGTCATACCAGATTTTAAGGTACGAGGCTGTGATTTTGATTCAAGCGGGTTAATTTTGTTTCTTAAATTTTGCTGCTTTCTTGCAAAAAGGTTGAAGCTTTGTCGTCTCTGTTTTGTTTTGTTGCATGCAATGTTTAAAGATCCCTTTTTTTTAATCCGTTTTTGCTTTCTTTGCTTTTGTTGCATCTAAACTTAAAAATGGTTAAAGGTTTTTCAGCATTGGTTTTGAATCTGAGAGTAGACCTTTCAACTTCTCTGTTTGTTTTCCTTGAAGGATTTGGATAAGTCGTCCATGTTCTGCACCGGGACAATGGTGGAAGTCAGCTCTGTCGAAGATAACATGGAAGTTGGGTGGTTCCCTGCAATGATAGTTACAGAGACTGAAGAGGATGACGAGAAGAAATTCATTGTCAAGGACTTGACCTGCAATGGTGATGATGCAACCACGACTCTTGATCCGCACCGTGTTAGACCCACTCCGCCTCCTTCTTCAGTTGGACTGTATAACTTGTTGGAATGTGTGGAGGCGTTTCATAATCTCAGATGGCGTCAAGGGCTTGTGAGGAGAATTCTCTCTGAAAAACGCTACATGGTTTTCTTAGAGGCTACAAAGGAGGAATGTGTATTTAAACACTCGGATGTTAGACCTTTGATGGTGTGGGAAAATGGGGTTTGGCGTAACGGAGCAAAGGTATCGATTTCACTAATTTCAGTCAACATTCTGTCAACTTTGGTTCATTGGTCTGAATTGAAGCTGATATTTTCTTTCCATTTGCAGCAAAAGCCCGCAAAAGAAACTCCTTCCAACGTCATAAACAAGAATCCAATGCGCTCTTGTTCTGGTGCTAACCAAATGACTCCTATAGGAAGATCCCTGAATCCAGATGACGGTGGAGAGACACTCGCTACAGCTAAAACTATGGCTGTAAGTTAGACACTCAATAATTTCGTTTGCTTTTCATCATGTCTGGTTTTACAAATATTGTTACTTGAATATAGTCCACTGGAGATTTGAGAAAGAAGAGGGCTGATGCTGTTACGTATAAGAAAACTCCTCCGGTCATAACCCCACAAGTAACATCAGCAGGTAATTGTGATCTTCTTCACCTCGCTAAGTTTAATTCTTGAATTCCTGCATCATGAATTTTGATCTTTAATCTCAATGTTTTTCAGCAGAAGAATCTGGTTCACTTGTAACTCCATCCCCAGTCATAACTGCAACAAAGCTGAAACATACGGAGACTGAAACCGAAGGAATGAAATCCTCTGAGAAGACGCTTGAGCCAACAAGAAATAAGAACAGCTTGGGAAACGATTCCACTCGACAGAAGGTAAAGTTTAGTTTTTCGTTAGAAACATAATCGCTCTCGCTTTCACTAGATGGTGCTTATCATCTTAGCCTCGTTTTACACTCTTTATTCAGATGCCTGAGGAGGTGAATAGCGAAGCTGAGAGTAGAAAAAGGAAAAGAGAACAAGAACAACATTCAGCCGTGAATGAAACTGGTATGTTTCAATCAGCATCAGCCATATTAGTTTTGGTATCTTTGTTTCTTGCCAAATCTGTTATCCGCAACGATGATGATGTTGATTATTAGCTGCTCTTTACTTGGATAGGAAATCTATCTACTGAGTTGGAAGATGGGACACCCACTTTAACTGTGAGCTAGATTCTTCTTCTTTCTCTCTAGCTTTTTGTTTGCGTTTCTTCATGTGTTCGATGTTGTTTTACAAACTTTATTACCTGAAAATAGGCCACTAGAGGTTCGGGAAAGGAGAGAGCTGAGCCTGTGATGAATGATAACACCCCTCTGGTCATTACCCCGCAAGCAACATCAATAGGTAGATCTGATATTCTATAACTCCTTTTGTTTAATCTCTTCACCATGAATACTGATCTATAATGTCTATATCTACTAGCAAAAGAATCTGTTTCAATTGTACCTTCGTCTCCGGTCATAACTGAAACACCATTGAAACAAACAGAGGCCAGTAGTGTACGAATGACATCCCCAGTGAAGGCACTTGATCCAGTGAGTAATCGGGATGGTTTGGGAAATGATTCAACTCCACATAAGGTAAAGTTAGTTCCTCGTTTAGAACATAATCAGTCTCAGTTTCTTGGTAATTTGTTAGACGATGCTTACCATATTAGTCTTCATGATTGTTGTTTATCTTTGAAATGATGGTCTTACACTCTTTCTGCAGATGCCTGAGGAGGAAACCAGCGAAGCAAAGAGTAGAAAAAGGAGAAGAGAACAAGAACAACACTCAGACCTGAATGAGAATGGTATGTCTTAAATAGGCATTAGCCATATTACTTTTGATATCTTTGTTTCTTGCCAAACGATTAATCCTATCCTTGGTTGTAATTTGTAGATGGGACTTGCATTGGTTCAAATGTTGAGAATGGTACAAGTAAAAATATGTGCAACGATGGTGAAGTTGTTGATCAGCCTCTCTCTACGTGGATAGGATCTACTGGTTCGGCTATCTTTTCATGATACTAAAGCCGTTTCTTTCCAAATTAGCTTAGATTCATCCACTAAAAAAATTGCCTTGTTTATTTTTTTTTGCATTGATCTGTCCAGAGGAGACACCGAACGTGGTGAATAATTCTGCTGCTGTCACTTATGTGGAGGAAAGACAACAAAACGACACACTAATGACTTTGCCTTTTGCAAAGAAGTCGCCGTATTGGAAGACATATGAAAAGACGGAAGGCTTCAAATCAGTTCCACAACGCCCTCACTTTAGCCCACTGGTTGAAGCTAAAGACGATATCCGTGAGTGGTCAGCGGTTGGCATGATGGTGACCTTCTACGGGTTACTAGACGAAGTCAAAGATCTGAAACTCGACGATTCCGTGAGCAAGGTCAATAATCTGAGCGTTTCCTTGGCCGATCTAGAGAAGCATGGTTTCGACGTTGCAGCCCCTCAGTCACGGATCAGCAGAGTGTTGTTTCTCAAAGATGTGCGAGCAAGGAAAGCGGAAGAAGGAACATCTTTTCAGAAAAGGATTGAAGAGGAAGAGAGTGGAAGTCGCAAGTTAGAAGAAGAAATGGCTGAGTTGAAACTAAAAATTCTTGAGCTGCAGAGACAAGAGGCAGTTGCAAAAGAGATGAAGGAAGCCACTGACAAAAGGACACTTGAACTGAAATCAAGTGCCGCTATGGTTTTCCAGGAGATGGAAGATGTGGAGCTTGAGTTTAAGAAAACTGTGTCGGCTCCATGGTAATAAAACTATGACTACCTATAAGCTCTCTCTCTCTCTTTCTCGCTTTTGGTATATGAAACGAGTAGATTAAGTAGAAAAAAGCTGTGTTAGATTGTTGCCTCTTATGGAATCAGCCACTATAAACGTTTTTGTAGATCCTTCATGTTGATGATGTTTAGTTTAACTAACCTCTACAAGTTATTGGCTTGGTCTCAAATCTGCTTTTATTTATTTGTCGCTGACTGTTTTGGAATAATATAAGTTACTGGTCTTGGTCTCGTGGCAATGCAATGTTATCCACAAAGGCGTAAACTGTTTGGTCTTTATAGTGAACGTTGTTTTACGGTTTTCAGAAGGAAAAAACTATTTCTTTTGACAAACAAAATAAAGATTCAAGAAAATCTCTGAACACTGAATTTAAGCTACCAAACGATGATCTTAATGCTGAGGTCGATTAGAGAGAGCAGAACTATACTTGGTGGAAGCAATACAATAGGACAAACCCAAGCTTGGAATAGATAGCTCATAGCCGCAGCAACGAGAAGGGAGATAATAGTGAAAAACAGGATCGGAACTAACACCCAAAGAAGCGCCAAAACAACCAAAACCAAAGTTTTTGGATCACAAAGCTCAACTACTCGAGATCTTTTGAGCTCACAAAAATAAACATCCTACCAGATGATATGTAAGTTTTTATTGTTTCGGGTTTAGTTGGGTACTTAACACAGTCAAGCAATCTTAGGGAGTCTCATTATATATATATATATATATAATCTGGTAGTCCCTATGTTAATTTGTGTCAGCTCAAATGATCTGGAGTAGTTGAGCTTTGTGATCCAAACTTTGATCTTGGTCGTTTTTGGCGGTTCATTTGAAGTTATTTTCTGATCCTATTTTTAACTATTTTCTTCCTTCTCTGCTGAAAATTTTGTTCTTCGTTTCTTTAGAATTTATAACACATTATGCTGGACAGGAATTGATTATAGAATATACTTGTAAAATAGAAAAAGTCTATACAATAGGAAAAGAAATGGTACTTACATTGCAATTTTTCCATTTCTGCATCTTTCCCGGCCTTAGAAGCTGTTTTGAAACGTGCAAGCTCATCTCGTGTCTCATCTCGTGTCTATACAAAGACTCTTCGCCGATGATAAATAAAGCTCCTCTAGTTGCATACCTACCAAATTTCTCCACAAGGTCCACATTGTTGTGCGTCTTCACTTCTAGCTTTCGGAAGAACCGCTGAATCAACATAGTGACAAATCCATTGTAAATCTCTTCTATGGGATCTTGAGGCTCTAGTGGCCTAAACTTCTTGCTCCCATTGAATTTGGCTCTGGCTTTCTCAGACATACAATTTTGAAATCTCCGGTTAAACCACTGAAAGAGACATCCGTGATGAAGCTCATACCGCTGAAGCTAGTGGAAAAATTCGGTAATTATGCACAAAATGTGTTGGCACATGGAGCCTTAGTCATCTTTGGAGAGTAGTCTCAATTTGGCCATAAAAAGATCTATAAAAGGCTTGAAATTCTTGTTTTTTTGCAGGGTTTTGTGCTAGTTTTGTGCATATAAAGTCTTTTTACAAATTCAACAAAATTCTTAAAGATTTGACAAATCTCATAACTTTTAAAATCAGTCAAAGTCTTTATAAATTCAGTTCTCAATAACCCCTAGACCCCTAAACAATCCATAAAATATTTTTAATATGATAGACTTTGAAAATTTAAATGATATAGATAGTATTTTGAAAATCATGATTTATCCTCAGTAACACTAGATTTTAAGAATCATAGAATCATTAAAATACAAATTTTTTGAATAACAATATATTTTATTAGATTATAAAAATTATCAAACCAATAACAAATTGTTATAACACGTAAATGAATAACAATACAATAAAAATTCATAAACTAATAATTATAAAATCTTAAACTCTACGTTTTTTTTTATAAATTATCCTCTTAGTAAGCCCTTCTTAGTTGAGTTGTGTAGTAGTTCATCTTCTTTTTCCCAAGCACAAGTACGCAAGCTGCTTAAGTATATTAGTATATCAAGAAAGGCCAAAGCTTTCATTTTCCTGTGAAGTAAATCCCCAGAGAGAGATTACAGATCTTCTTTTCAAGAGTAAATTCTTTTGTGGGAAATTTCTTTAGTTACAGATAAGGTTTACATAAATAAACATACTATTCGTTCAAAAAAAAAAACATACACTACCAGATGATATGTAAGTTTTTATTGTTTCTAGAAATGCAGACACAACCACAAATTGCCTACCAAGATTAAACATAAAAAGCATATACAAAATTCCATCATAAGAGTTAAAATAGGCGGTGATCCAAGCCAAACATCTCCATAGAGATAACCGCTGCTAGGCCGACGTGAAATCGGATCACGGGGCTGAAGCTTCAACAGTAGTCGCACTCCTCCATGTATCTGCCTTGTCAGCCAAGTTTTCTGCCTAGAGTGTAAACTTGACAGACTATATACATATTTGGCATTCTACAGGAATTTATACACACACACATACAAGTAGAAATATGTTAACACAGACGAGATTTTACGGGGTTTAGAATCTCTGCGAAAAGGATAAGATACAACAGACAGATTTGAATGATAGTGAACAATCCAGACAAAGCTATCAACGATCCTGAGATTTTTCACAAATATTTCACCATTTATGGACAAGTACAAGGAGTTGTTTAAGGTGACGTCTCTTTCATCATTCACAGGCGATTCTGGTCTCAAAACTGCTCAGGCAAATCGCAAACGCTTGAAACGCAGAAATCGGATATCCATAATCCATGGTGAACATGTCCTTCCCGACTTTCCCAAACTGTAGTATAATCCTCTCAGATGGCTGCTCTGTTTCACAATCCCTGACCGCCACAAGCTGAAAGTTCTTAACCGAAGCCACTGTGACTCGTCCATGGAAATTTAAGCACCAGCAACGTAGCTGCTCGTGCCATCTTGGAGTCTTATTGCTCAGGACCAATGGTGGGTCTCTCAAGTTGTTGTTGCCTGAGTCGCTGCAAGATGCACTGTTGCTGCGTATCGGTTTCGAGTGAGACCTAAAGAAGGCTGATGATCGAGTGGAAAAGGAGCTTATAGGTGTTGAAGCTGCTCCTCGGGGCTCCAAGACACTCATTGGTACTGTATCCATTATGCAACGCATTCTTCTTGGTCCCCTGTTATTTATATCATCAAGAGTTTTTGTAAAGACCACAATGATCAAACGACTTACACAGCTTTCATTTTCGAATGTGAAGATAATAATTTACCGGGAGCCTAAGACGTTTAACTCGTATGAAATGTGAGCAACGGGGTAACTTCCCTGAGGAACTCTAGGTGAAACTTTCATGAGATTAGAAGAGCGGCTCTTCAGCATCTTCGCTGCTCTGGTCTGTGGCATCAGATTACCGTCGAAGACCGTGAATTTCGTTCCAAGGAAGTTTGATCTTGCGATAACAAAAACACAGAGTTTAGAGGTAAAGTTGCAAACATTCTGCTAAAACTCAAAACTCCACATCTGTCAAAATGTATCAGTTTCATAATTCAAAGCTCATAAACCCGAGACTATCGATCAACTCATGAAGCTAAGACTCTTCTTGTGATCTCTCAGACAAGCTCATACCTTACTCTGCCGAGATATGCGTTGCTTCTCCTTGACATGTCGTCTGAGCGCATCGAGATGATGTAATCAGTGCAAGTTGCGCGCTTCAGCTTACAAGCAGCAAGAAGAAACTTCCCATTATCCGTCAAAGCTGCCAGAAATATTAATAAAAAAGGGATTTTTACAAACATTTCAGATTACAGTCGGAAACAAATCATCTTTTCTCGCAAATCAGATTTCAAACAGGTAAGCGAAGAGAGATGGCTTACAGTTGGTTAACCCCAGATAGAGATGATACGATTGCGTATTTCGGTTACGCTTTATGAAGCATTGAACCAGAGAATCCCTTGGGCCAGGCTGCATAAAATGCATTCAAAAGCACCAATCTTTTCAGCTTCGTTTTTGTTGTTAAGAAAAACATCAATTGAATAACAAAACCAATCTAAGGACTCAAACATCTCGCTCGCAGTGTTCAACATCGTTCCTCTATAGCAACCAATAAAGTGTCTATCAATCATCAAAAGGACTAGAAAAGCTTTGAGTTTCAGCATAAGAACACATTAAAAACATGAGATCATGTGGATCAATCCTAGACACAACGAGCATCACGGTTCATCAGCCACTCTGCTTTTAGCACAAAACGCAAACGCAAACGCTGCGGAATTTCATTATGTTATGGGATAAGGTTTACACTTTACACACAATCAACAGACCCAGTTGCCTATGTTTTCAATGCTTCAATTAAAAAGGGTAACTTTTTCTTTCTACAAATAGATAAAGAAACTAACTTTAAAGTTTTTGATTCCATCAAATAAACTCAAAATAGACATTGACATTTACAGAGAAACACACCTGCTTGAGAGAGATTGGGAAAGTCAATTTAGAGGAGAGTTCAGGAACAGCTACGATCTCCTTCATGAGCAGCCGCCAGGCACGGCAGACGCCGGCGCAAGCCACCACGTTTCGCCGAGACGGCCAATCGCCGCCGTCCGCCGACTCAACCTTAATCAGGATTTCTCTAAGTAGCTCCTCCGGGAGCTCCGACCATCGGAAAGGCTCCGAAGCAGGAGCGATGGAGGCTGCGTCGTGGACCACACGGTGCGGCCTGGACCGCATTTCCTGGATCAGACTTCGGATCGTCATGCGATTCCGGTGAGATCTAAAGGGTTCAAGAGATAATTGATCATGGGAACATAATCTGAGTTTGAGGAATTTTACGGGAGAATCATTTTCGGGAAAGTTGAGGTGAAGAAGTTAGGAAGAGGTGGTGGTGTTGTTGTTGTTGAGAGACGCGAAGAAGATTCGGACAATAATGGAAGCCTCTTTTTTTCTTTTCTAAACGCTTTACCGCTTCTTATCTGATTTTGTAATTTTCATTTTTATTATTTTGAGTGATTTTTTGGGGAAGACGATACTGTGAAATTGTGAATGAGACTATGATTCCATACGAATGATATACCGGGCTGGAACCAAATAAAAAAAATGATAACCGGACGAATTTGGTATGTTTAAACATTTCTCTATTTTATATCAGTTGTCTATTTTTCTCTCCGAATGTATTTTTCCACCAAAATAGCTCACTAAAACGTTGTATTCTGATTTTGTGACATCAATTTTCGCTGAAAAAAAAAATAATCTGTTGTCTAGTTTTATTACCGATCGAGTACTATTTTAATTTGTCAACTATTTAGAACTATATAAACTAGATAAATGTATAAATTTATGCTAAAAAAAAACTAGATGAATCATGAAATCCTCTTTTGTTTATTTTTCTCAAATTCCACAGACTATGTCACGAATTTAGCCAATATTGTTATTATTATTGGACGTATGAAATACTAGGATTCTACTGTCGTTTTATCTATACATGTCCCAACAAAGAGATGCTTTTGGCCGAGCATTATGTGGAAGCAAATTACTGTGTATTACACCATCATCATTCGTTACTTATTTTCGATTCCTTTTATTTCTCCTGCCCTCATACGAAAACAAAACCCTACAAAATAACTAAGAATCCAAGTAGCTAATAAATGTATCTATGATGTAATTTTGGGATGTTAATATGTTATATATACATGTGTGGCGTCTTAAAAGAAAAAAAAAACATAAAATTTAGATAGGAGGCACAAATGTATAGAACATGAGTCATGAATTGAAGTTGCCAGACGAGCACGTTTGGGCCACTGCTATGATTTTGCAATGTTTCAGTTTCCATTGGGTCGGTCCAGTAACAACATTTGATCAACCAACCAGCTAAGCATCCGATTCATCTTTAAAATAACTGTATCAACTTTTTATATCATGTATATACAAATATATTAATGTAAAATTACATGAAAACATGATTCATATGTAGCCGGGAGTTGTATCTTAATGGTTTGGTTTAGTGTTGTTGGCATTGCTATAACCTCGGTCTAAACTCGATAGTAGACGTGTTCTAATTAATTAAAAAAAAAAAACAATTTAGAGATATTATGTAAGATATAGTAAAAGAATTTCTTAGAAATGTCAAAGCAGCTGACCTTTATTGCAAAACGTTTGGAGAATACAATAGTTTATTTAAATGTTAGGAGTGGAGTAAACAAACAACTACTAGTCTTTGGACATGCATCGTGGGAGGTATGAATAAAGCTTTTCTTTGCCAGTTATCATGTTTCATTTTTATAAGAAACTAATTATATAGTAAGACTAGTATTATGGTCCTGTCCGTCGTCTTTTTTTAAAAAGCATTTACAATTTGTTAAAAAGTCCATATGATACATTGATATTTAATGATTTATTGTAGATTTAGTCTTCTACGGAAGTGTTCCATATTAAAAATCTTGTTAACGTTTTATCTCCTTTCGAAAACAATTGTCATGTAGATATATACTTTTATCACCCACAATATTGTAACTTAAACGTTTAGCCTTGACGTAATTAAACTTTTCTTCCTCGAGGCATGAACGTATACTACCTATTTTTAGGGGTCTTCAAGATAAATTTTGATTTATTATGTCATAATTGTCCATCCAATCAAGTTATCAAGAGTATAGGATATCGAAATTTTACTCTTACTACGAGTTACGTCTTTCTAGCAAAAAAAAAAGGGATTTTCCCAAAAAAAAGAACGAAACAATTATGAGATGAAACAAATTGAAAAAGTTACGGAGATGAAAAAAATTACATGCTCAAAATTAAATCGTGACATATAATGATGAAAATGACCCCAAAATGGGAACACCAGTATTGGCTTTTGCTCTCTTTGTAAGTACAAAAACAAAGAGAAAAGAAAGAAAAAAAAACACTTGGGCAACTAGTACTATCTAAATTATTCAAATAACAAAAGCTATTTCCTTGTAATGATGACTAGTTCTTTTTTACATCCAAGATCCAAATTTTGGCACAAAGACTAAGTAATACATAAATAAAAAGACGATGAATTAGCAATTATATTTACGAGGAAAATCCTAACATTTTTTGTTTTTTTTTTTGTATGTAGGAAATTAATCAATAAACCTGACGTAACATAAACAATTTTTGGAGTTATTGGTGAAATAGGTCATCATCCTAAATTCCTGATATATCTGAATGTAATAAGTTTTATTAAATTTTGAAAAAACATAAAACAATCTATGGTGCCAAAAAGAAGAAAAACACTAAATTTCACTTTGTTCCTAAAAAGAGAATAATCCTATGATTATTTTCACTTGGTCATATATTAAAGATGCCAATATACTATATGGGTCATAAGAAAGGGTAAGCGTGTTCCCCTCTGTTGTTTTTGATATATATCTTTACACGACAACATCATAAGTGAAACCAATGAGCTAGTTCCATCTTTTCAAAAATAATCACAACCGTCCATATGGAATACTTTTCTTGAGATGGATATATCAACGGTAGAGATTAGCAGATGTGAGATTTTGAAGGCGTTGACATTCTGTCTCTCGACTTGGCTTCCTGACAATCTATAAATATATAGATACGCCATCTTTGGTGGTCTCTCGTCTTCGTCTTCGTCTCTTTGCTGTCCTTTAACTAACTCTGTAACATCTCCTCTCTCTCTCTCTCTCTCTCTCTCTCTCTCTCTCTCTCTCTCTCTCTCTCTCTCTAGGACCACATTTGATCCTTGAATATAACTTTGGCAGGTATGTGTTTGATGCTTAATCGAGTTTTCATTTTTTTTTTTTTCTTTTCATTTTTGTGGATACTTTTTGAGATTTTTTAACTGTTCATGGAAGTGTGAAATCCAAGCTTCCGGTGAGGACGAAAATGATGCAATTTCAAATTTGATTCGAAAGATTAGTCATAATATCTTGTTTTGTGATTTAGTTTCTAAATCTATAATTTTCCAAGGTTTTAAGATTCTTGGGATCATACTTTGTGAAAGAAATAAATGCTGATTTCTATTTTTCCTGGAGGCTAAAGAGGGAGAGAATAGATAGCCTTTTTAGATACTTCAATCAGAGTTTTCTTTTTCCACAAATCACGGTTTGTTTTTAGGGAAATATACTAGGAAAATGGCTTTGGGATTAAACACAATGCTGGAAAAATCAGAGACTCTGTTGGGATCAGATCATGCATCAGTCGTCTCCATGAACTTGTTCGTCGCTCTGCTTTGCGCTTGCATCGTGCTCGGTCACTTACTCGGGAAGACTCGGTGGATGAACGAGTCAATCACCGCTCTTATCATTGTCAGCTTTTTCTTTTCTTGTTTCCCACAAAAATCTTGAAAACAATACAAATTTTTTTATTAAGAAAAAAATGCTAAAATTCGATCTTGTAATTTTTACAGGGCTCATGTACTGGCATTGTGATCTTGCTTATAAGTGGAGGAAAGAGCTCGAGGATTCTGGTGTTTAGCGAAGATCTCTTCTTCATTTATCTTCTTCCACCTATTATATTCAACGCTGGGTTAGTTTTTGACATTTCATGCATCAAAACCGGCTATATCACTTCAATTGGGAAACAACTCGGTTAGTGAAGTCAGCTTTGAGCAACACTATTTTTTGTTCTCTTACAGGTTTCAGGTTAAGAAGAAGCATTTTTTCCGCAACTTCATGACCATTATGTTATTTGGTGCTATTGGTACCCTCATTTCATTTGTTATCATCTCATTAGGTAAAAATCTCAATCATCAGCTTCCCTCATTTCAAAAATCAGTCTCATACATTTTGACGATATTTTCTCCTTCTTGTCCTTTTCTAGGTGCTATACACTTTCTCGAGAAAATGAATATCGGAGATCTCACCATTTCAGATTATCTAGGTACCCCTAAAAAAGAATGCTTGCTCTGCTTTGTTGTTAATTTTAGGGTCACACCGTTTAATATGTTTTGATTTGCAGCCATTGGAGCAATATTCTCTGCTACAGACTCTGTTTGCACCTTGCAGGTAAAGCAACGTTCAAAAATGTTGTTCTACTACATTTTGCTAGTCCATAATTAAATAACTTCCTCTTTGTTTACATCTAGGTGCTTAAACAAGAAGAGACACCTCTCTTGTACAGTTTAGTATTTGGAGAAGGTGTAGTGAACGATGCAACATCGGTCGTGCTCTTCAACGCGATACAAAGATTCGACCTCACACACATCAATTCCGCTATTGCTTTGGAGTTTGCTGGGAACTTTTTTTATCTCTTCATCTTAAGCACAGCACTTGGTGTTGCAGTGAGCTTCTCTCTCTGCTCTCTCTCTCAAATTCCTTTTGAAGGAATTCGGAAAAATGTTTTACTCAATTTTCTTTCAGGCTGGATTGCTCAGTGCTTTCGTTATCAAGAAGCTCTATTTCGAAAGGTATTCACATTCATATGTATGTATATTTATGTGCGATAAACAAAATGCGATATACTGCGCAATTTATACTTTTTTTTTGTTAGGTGTTTATGTAATCTCTTTTTTGGTAAAAATCAGTCACGCTACTAATCGTGAAGTTGCACTTATGATGTTACTGGCTTACTTATCATATATGTTGGCAGAGGTAAAATAAAACAAAACACGAAATATTTTGTTACAGTTTTTACCTAGACACAAAAAAAGAAAAGAAAATCAAAACATGAAACATTTTTCCCTCAATTTGCAGCTATTCCATTTAAGCTCTATCTTGACTGTCTTCTTCTGTGGGATTGTAATGTCTCACTACACATGGCACAATGTTACAGATAAATCAAAGATCACTACAAGGTAAGTCTACTAGTACTTCTTCTCCCAATAATGCCTATATGCCTTAAATTAATTAATCCTGACTGACTAAAAATGTAAACTTTTTGCTTGGTGTACGTAGACACACTTTTGCAGCGTTATCATTTCTCGCTGAGATCTTTATCTTTCTTTACGTTGGAATGGACGCTCTCGATATAGAAAAATGGGACGTTGTACGCAACAGGTGCATAGAGATTACATTGACAATTTTGTTTGTTTCATTTTTTTCATGAACTTGTTATTAACAAATATTGGACAGTCCTGGCCAGTCGATAGGAGTGAGTTCGATACTCCTTGGGCTTATTCTTCTGGGTCGCGCAGCTTTCGTGTTCCCTCTTTCGTTCTTGTCGAATTTGACAAAGTCTTCAACGGATGAGAGAATCGATTGGAAGAAACAGGTAACCATTTGGTGGGCTGGTCTGATGCGTGGGGCAGTGTCAATGGCTCTTGCTTATAATCAGGTCTGATCCGTGAGCTACAAGAAACCAAGATAAAACCGATTTCTACGATGTAAATCAATGTGATTTTAACAACTTTTTTTCACTAACCTCTCCTTTGTTACATCATAACAGTTCACGACTTCAGGACACACGAAGCTTCTTGGAAACGCTATCATGATCACCAGCACCATCAGTGTTGTTCTTTTCAGTACTGTGGTACGTTTAAAACGTTTTAGTCCAAACCGGGTTTGCGTCCTCATTTATACAGATTTCGGCTAGAGATGGAATCCGGTTTAGCTCCACACATACTGGAAAACCAATTCTACAACTGAAACATCGAGAATATAAACCGATCCGGTTTCTTTTTTCTTCTTTTCTAAATCCAAACAAACCAAAACCGCATAAGAACTAAATTCCTCTAAAAAGCAAATTCCAACCGAAATCATATCACACCAAAACCGAATATATTATTCTTTTGCACAAATTGAAAATTTCGAACGAAAACGGATTGGATACATTGCGGTTAGCGAGTAAACCCGGTTTAAAGAAAAGAATATATATATCCAAATTCTCCCATCTTAATTTTTTTCTGATTTTAAAAAAAAAACAAATTGTTTGCAGGTGTTTGGATTGCTAACCAAACCGTTAGTGAAACACTTGCAGCCTCCATCAAAAAGGTTAACGACACCGATATCTTCTTTCCACGAGCCGTTAATTAGCAGCCAAGGCCAATCAGAATACAACATTGATGATCATCCGATCAGCTTAGGAATGTTCTGGAATACACCATCCCGAGCCATTCATCATTATTGGAGGACATTCGATGATGCAGTTATGCGTCGCATATTTGGCGGCCGAGGCGTTTCGGAAAGAGTTCCCGGTTCACCAATTGACACTAGTGTTCGTCTGTGGATTGAAGACGTAGATAACAAGGAAATACACATTGAGCCTTAATTAGTGACATAGGTAAAAAGATCTTTGACTTGTTACTCACGTTTTTGGCGACAACATATGGACCGGCTCTCTCCTTTTTTTGCATTTAGGTTTGCTATATGGGAGCATTTTTTTTTGCTTCATGTGGTTTTTTGTTCGGTTTGATCTTGGTGTTTGTGGTGTGATCTTTTAGAGCCGGTCCCATTTTTTGTGGTTTGAGTTTTGAGTTGTAAATTTGTGGTTCTTCATGTAAATAAGGACTCATGTAGGCGTGACTTACGACATTGATTTGAGATATACAAAGAAAAAAATTCAATGAAATATTTATCAATGTAGGTATTACTTTGCAATGTTTAGACCACCGATATGTATATCATGGGATAATATATAGTACATCATGGGGCGGCTTCATTTTTTTATTCAAGTTTTGGTATATTGGTTTCTGCTATATGAAATCATGTTTCCGGTTGATTTTGGTTTGTGGTGTGGTTTATTAGAGCCAGTCCCATTTTTATATGCTTTGGAGTTTAGGTTTTTGTTTTTTGGATTGTAATATCGTAATTCTCCATGTAAATCGGGATTGATATAAGTGTTGCTTGTGAGTGAGAATGATAAATACGGGTTTTGAAATTTATCTTGCTTTATATGTTTCTTGCTAATTTCATATTGTGTTCCCACTAAGGACAGAGTGAGTGGATCCCAACTTTATAAAGACATGTACATTTTGTCACGCATAAAACCCTAAACACATGATGTTAAAATAAAGAGGAAATGTCATTTATATTCCTAAACACATGATGTATACATAAGAAGACCCCTTTGCTTTTGCCTGTGAGGTAGCATATGCAGCAATTCACATGCGCCTCTAACCTTCTGGCATTTCTTACAAATTTCGCTCTATATTTAATTAAAGATGCTAATTCACAAAATATATAATAAATTTGCTTGCTTTCAAAGTCATATACGTTTTTGTTTATCTGGATTATTAGTATAGTTAGAAATTGATATTGTACCAGGCTACTAGACCAATATATGGCAAAATTGTTAGCTCCCTAGCTCATGACTCGAGTGTTATTAAATAGTAAACTGTAAAGTTTGAATACGAAAAAGAACAATACATAAATTGTAAAGTATATGACACTTTAATTTGTAACGTGGTTTCAACTTTTTCAAAAGACCCTTTAGCAAAAAATAAAAAAAGAAACAATAAACAAGTGCAGAAACGACCAAATCAATGAAACATAGAAACTCCTATGTCAATCACGCAAGAAATTAGGTCTTTAATCCGGAGTTCTTAAGTTTATGCATATAATGTGTGGTTCTGACGTAACCGATTGAAGCCTAAATCAGTAACAAGCGATTTACAATACGAAGAAACGGAAAAAGGTAAAAATGTTTATTCGAGTTATAAAATGATATTTAATTTGTTTTTGGGACAATTATAGCCCTGAGTACGTGGGTATATAACATAAAGTAACTACAAAGCTGAAACGGCAAGAAGCCGGAGGGAGAAACAAGAGACGGCGACGAATACGACGGAGAAGAGAACTCCGGGAGCTTGAGAAGACGGAGTAGCAAGTGAAGAAGCCGGCGGAGAAGCGGAGGGAGCAAAGGCAGGGTCAGGATCAGCTAAAACGTTGTCGTTTCCGTCATCGGGAAGGCTTGAATTAGAAGAAGGTATGGTTTGAGTGGAGGAGACGGCCGGTGAAGGGAGGAGAGGAGCGATTTCCGGCGAGATCTGTTGTTCATCAAAGGGAGAGATTGTTGGAGAAGATGGGATTGTATTTGTTGTCGGCAAAGAAAGAGAAAGTGATGAGGAGAGAAAGATGAAGGTCATGAGTGTTACAATGCATAAAGATGAAGCCATTTTTGTTGTTGTTGTTACTGTAATGATGAACAAATCAAAGCTAGCTTTATTTTTTTGGGACGTTGTCTCACTCTCTCTCTCTTTCTCTCTACTGATCAAAGTGCAGTTTGTGTTGTAATGATACTGTCTCTCTATAAAGAAACTTTTAGCTTTAATAGTAAACAACTAACATTTGATTGAAATGAAATTCTCTTACCTTTTTCTAAAGTATGAGTATTGTATTATTAAAAGGATGTTCGGTGGAAAAGAACTTTCTTTTGTTGACAATGTTGAAGAGCGTAGATCGAGATTTCACTTTTATGGTAGAAACTGAGTATATATTACAGATGATTATACATGCTGTATTCAGTTTCGAATAGATGTTTCACAGAATTTTGAAATCCAAATGTAATACACTAGTTTCTTGAGATTATGGCTTTATTTGATACTAACTTCTTAATTTTTTTTCTGTATCTAAGTTCCTAGAAGACAGTGGTGAATCACGTAACAAAAACCTAAGCAGAACTAATCCAAATGAAAAATCGTACTTGTACGATACGAATGTTTAAGTTTGTTTGTTGAACGTTCTAAGAATTTATAGGCCCATGGAACCCAGCGCACTACCGTAAATGCAAAGCATGCTGAGCCCAACAATGATAAATGATGGTACTGTAGTGTTGTGTACTTTATCAGTTAGTTTAGATAGAGACCCAAGAACTTGCCAAACCTCTGCCTGTTTGTTTGACTAATTTTGCAATTATCACTCTATTTCATAACATTTCCAACATTTTTTTCCTCTTCTTATTCGAAAACTTCTGTTTACAGATTTCGAATTTTCTCTTGAAGATTTATGTCACAACATATATAATTATTATGAAAGAAATATATTTTGTCAAATGGGTTGTAAGGAAAGAAAAATATTTTGTAATTGCAAAATAGAAAAAATGAAATAAAATATGTTTTTTCCGCCTAATGTCTGTCCAAAGCCACCTACCATTTTTGGTTTAGAAGTGTATAAATATGAAAATAATAACAACAAAAGTTTTTAGTGTGTGAAAAAAGCCTTTAAGGTCCGTTGTTTGTTTGACGGCTCAATGGCTTCTTCTTCAACTAATTCTCGTCTTACCTACTCTCCTCATGTATTCTCCAATCCACGACTATCACCAACCCCCGTCGCCAACCTCAGTTTTCCGGCCGCCGATTTTCCTCATCGCTTCAAATCGAATTTCTTCTCCGCTGAATTATCTTCCCTTCAAACCAGGACTGTACCGGTTCCGGTAGTATTTTCCGATCGACGGTGCCGTCGAAGCATGGAACCAAGCAATGTCTATGTTAGTGATTATTTCATTGGTTTGATTTTTAATGGGTTTTCTGTTCCGGTGATCTTTTGAAGAGTGTTAGATAGCGATGATGGATTTGCAGATTTATCTCTTTGTTCTGAACTTTTGGATGAAGAGTTTGATGTTTAATTTTTTTTTTTTAGTTCTCAGTAGTAGTTGGATTTGAATCCACAGCTAAAAAAATACGAAGCTAAATGATTGTGGTATTTAATCCTGTTTTGTGACCTTAGGTGGCTTCAAATTCCATGGAAGTGGAGATCGGAAGTCAAGAAATTTTGAAGAATCAGAGCTTGATCTGTGCTCCAGTGATTGCGGATTCTATAGACAAGATGGTGACTGAAACGTGCAAAGCCCAGGAAGTAGGTGCAGATTTGGTGGAAATTCGATTAGATTTTCTCAAGGATTTCAACCCTCTTGAGGATCTAAAAACCATTATACAAAAATCTCCTCTTCCCACTCTATTCACCTACAGGTTTGTGTGTGTATTTTCAAGCTTGAGACTTTTTTTTTAGCCCGCTTGTGTCGAGCTTTTGAAGTTTTGAAGTAACGATTAGCTCTCTCAAGTTATTCTTGTGCTGAAGTATTAGTAATGTTATTGTTTGTATGATGAATGTTCTCTAGACCAAAATGGGAAGGTGGTCAGTATGAAGGTGATGAAAATAAGCGGCTGGATGTGCTACGTTTGGTCATGGAATTGGGAGCGGATTACATTGATGTTGAACTTCAGGTTACCATCATAAAAACTTTGGTATTCAGAAGGTGTTTTGATGCTAATTTAGTTTTTTCTCCTACTTCGTATTTGTATGTTCAAGGTTGCAAGTGAGTTCATCAAATCGATTAAGGGGAAGAAGCCTGAAAATTTTAGAGTAATTGTTTCATCGCACAACTATCAGAATACCCCCTCTGTTGAGGATCTCAGTGACCTTGCTGTAAGAATACAACAGGCTGGAGCCGACATTGTGAAAATTGCTACTACTGCTGTGGACATCACAGATGTTGCTCGCATGTTCCATATAACCTCAAATGCTCAAGTAAGTGCCTTACGTGCCCAGCATTAAAGTCAAACTCACAACTTTGCTGACTTATGAAAATGATGAATTTTTCTCACTCAAATTGCAGGTTCCCACAATTGGACTTGTTATGGGCGAAAGAGGTCTTATTTCTCGGATTCTTTGTTCGAAATTTGGTGGATATTTGACATTTGGCATAATAGAATCTGGAAAAGCTTCAGCGCCTGGTCAACCAACGATCAAGGATCTGTTGGATCTTTACAACTTTAGAAGTATTGGTCCTGACACTAAGGTGTATGGAATTATTGGCAAGCCAGTCAGTCATAGCAAATCACCTATTGTTCACAATCAAGCTTTCAAATCTGTTGATTATAATGGAGTATATGTCCACTTGTTAGTCGATGATCTTCCAAGCTTTCTCCAAGCATACTCATCCTCTGATTTCGCTGGATTCAGGTAAGCTATCATGGTGACAAATAAGCTTATCTCCAGAGTATAAAATTCCAAAGTAGTGAACAGAATCATCCACATTTCACTTTTACGTTTAGTTTCATTGGCAATAAGGGAATTTTTGGGTGAATGATGTAAATCTGTTTTACCTCCAGCTGTACAATGCCTCACAAAGAAGCTGCAGTGCAATGTTGTGATGAGGTTGATCCATTGGCAAAGGTTTGATTTGCTAATAAACACCAGATAATTTTGATTGTAATTCCAATCACTATCAGATGGACTAAATTGACCCTGAACGCTCGTTGTTATATTATACAGTCTATAGGAGCTGTGAACACTATACTGAGGAGAAAAAGCGACGGAAAGTTGTTGGGTTACAACACAGATTGTATCGGTTCCATTTCTGCTATTGAGGATGGCCTAAGAAGTAAGTTCCATGTTTAAGGCTTTCATCGGTTGTTTCTCCTTGTAGAGAAGTTTCAGTTTTAGTCATGGAGCCTTTTCCATTGCTTTTTTCTCAGGCTCAGGTAATCCAAGCAGTGCACCTTCTTCTCCTTCGCCATTAGCCGGTAAAACAGTGGTGGTTATTGGTGCTGGTGGAGCAGGCAAGGCACTTGCTTATGGTGCAAAAGAAAAAGGGGCCAAAGTTGTAATTGCTAATCGAACTTACGGTAAAACTCATATCCTAAATTGGCAACTTTTCGCTTTATGAGCACCTTTAATATTCCATTGACACTACTCTTCATCTCTCCATCCTTTTTTTTTGTTGTTGCTGTCCTGTTGGTGGTAGTAACTGATGATATGATTTTTTTTTTGGGTTGGTTCCTGATGTTGTGTTTCTAAAGAACGAGCACTAGAACTCGCGGAAGCAATCGGAGGCAAGGCGTTATCTCTCACAGATTTAGATAACTTTCACCCAGAAGATGGCATGGTTTTGGCCAACTCCACGTCAATGGGTATGCATCCAAATGTTGACGAGACTCCCATTTCCAAGGTAACACCGTTTCCTTTTGGTTCCTAAGTAGCTCTTTACTTCTCTTTTGTTTTCTTGGTTATGTAAAGAACAAAAACCGGTCTTCTCGCCTGCAAATCTGTCTTGAAAATCTATTAATCTATTACACACAAATTAGTAACCTAGCTTGTTTTTGTTCCCCAAGGATGCGTTGAAGCACTACGCACTGGTCTTTGATGCGGTCTATACTCCTAGAAACACCCGACTGTTACAAGAAGCAGAAGAATGTGGAGCCATAACTGTCTCGGGCTCAGAGATGTTTGTGAGACAGGCTTACGAGCAGTTTGAAATTTTCACCGGTTTGCCCGGTAAGTGACTCATACCGAACAAGAAGGGACCCCTTTCCATTTAAACCTTAAAAAAAACAAGCTGACTTTACCACTCACCTCGGCTAAATATAATATGTTTCCATTGTTGTGCAGCTCCAAAGGAACTCTACTGGCAAATCATGTCCAAGTACTGAGACCTCCGCTTGTGTGTATGTGTATGCCTATCTTCCTCTTCTTCCATGGAAACTCAATTCAACTAAAACTTTTGAAATGCCTGCCATTTGTATTTTCTGAGAGTGCCCTTTTCGACCCCATAGCTGTTTTCTCTTTGTGTAATATAAACGATAAAGCTTGTTGAGTTGATTGTTTATCAAATCTTTTTCCCAAACTGTAAACGAAATTGCTTCCTCCGTAAATTATTTGCAAAACAGAATAGCATATTTGTAAACTTAAATCAAAATTATGTAAAGATCGAGGTAACTCGACTAATTCAACTCAAATTTGAAGATTATGATTTTCGCCTGACTCAAATTGACAAATGTTTTTTTTTTTTTTTAAGATAAAAAACTTAAAACATTCACTATTAAGAACTATTAACTGTTGTGACCATTCCCCAAATTTATATTTTCCAATGCACGATTTGGTTCCCGCCAAAAACAAATTGGCAAATGAGGATTTTCCCACGCGAAAATGGGAAAAAAGATTAAAATCTCACAAAGAAGTTTTATTTTCCGCCAGATCTTATTTCTCTCCGACGTCTCGTCTCCTCAGCGAAAAAGTAAGCTTCCTTTTTTTTTTGGTTGTTAATGATTTTATGTTGTTTCGATTATTGATTCGGAATCTCTTCTTCTTCTGATCATTCATTCATACTTTTTTGAATCTGAATCTTTATCTCAACGTAGCTTTTATTGCTCTCTTCTTATACTTTACTTCCGAAGTATAGTTTTCCAGATTTTGATTTCTTTGTCTTTGGCTTCAATTTTTTTTTCTCCCTTTAAATACCCTCTTGAATCGCCGCAATTTGATAAATCGTTTAAGAATTCTGACTGTAATTTCAAAGTCTTAATACTAATTAAAATCGAAGGGTTGATATGCAATTTATTCAGAATATGCACATCTTTCAAATGACCCCAAAGTTAATCAATTTGCTAGATTAAGCCAAAAGCAACACTCAAAAAAATATTAGTTAGATGGCGTTTAGTTTTTCATCAACTTAGCCGAAGTCCTTCCTCTCCACCGTCCCGGCTGCTTCCCTCCGGTGAGCTTTTTTAAAAATTTCTCTCACTTTTTCAACTAAGCTACCTTCCAATTCATTGTTCGTCGGATCGTATATAGATTTTTAATCGGGAGAATTCTACTCTGTTTCGTTCGCTCCACGACTCGACATGTCTCAATTGTTCGAATTTCTTTTCTCCGTATGACTACGTTAACTGTTTTGTTGGGTTTCTTCACAATTGGGTTTATTCTCCTTTGCTTTTATCACATTTGACTGTAAGGTGTATTTGTAGAGAACGTCCACACATGTCTTAGGGTTTTTGATTTCTCTCAATTTGGAAATTTTGTTTGGTTCTCAATCTTCGCATGAACACTTTTTCTCTGATTACGTTCTTTTTAGGGTCCATAAGTTATACCCTTGAGAAAATACCTAAATTCATATCTAATTAGCAGTTTAGAGTTTGTATCATTTGACTGATAGAAGCGTTACATATATCTGTGGCAGGATCCAAGCAGAGGTGGAAATTGGACAAAGCTGATTATATATATTCCTTTTCTTGTTTTGGGTGTTCTATGATATTTGTGGTGGTGAATTGATGATGAATATCAACAGAGACGAGGCTCTTAGAGCCAAAGATATGGCGGAGGATTTGATGAAAAAGACGGATTTCACTAATGCTCGGAAGCTTGCACTGAGGGCTCACAAATTGGAACCTAGCTTGGAGAACATATCACGCATGATCATGGTGTGTGATGTGCACTGCGCTGCAACTGAGAAGTTGTTTGGGAATGAGATGGATTGGTATGGCATACTCCAGGTTGAGCTGAATGCTAATGATATTACCATCAAGAAACAGTACAAAAGGCTGGCGCTTCTTCTCCATCCAGATAAAAACAAGCTTCCCGGTGCTGAATCTGCATTCAAGTTGATCGGTGAAGCTCAGAGGATACTTTTGGATAAAGATAAGAGGGCGCAACATGACATTCAACGCAAAACATGTAGAAAGCCTGCAACAGCATCATATAAACCCCAACAGGTGCCGAATTATCACACACAGCAGGCAAGCGATATTATGAGGAATGTCTTCAATTTCCAGAGTGCAAAAAGCTCATGTCATACTACATCTTCTTTCCCACAACAGAACAAGTTTCCAGGCCAAAAGGCTTGTAATGAAACGGAGAAGCGTCCAGGTAATCATGCCACTGTTTCCTCTAGAAATGCGCCGGGTTCTACTGCAGAAAACAATAATGGAAAGAGGAAGAGAAACAATATGGTTGCATCTAGTGAAAGCTCTGACAGTGAGAGTGACAGCGAGTCAGATGATGTTGTAAATGATGATACCATGGGAGCACAAGATTTGGGGTCCAATGGAGGAGAGCAGCGTCGGAGGTCGGTCCGTAGCAAGCGGCAGGTTTCCTATGATGAGAATTTGAGCGACGACGACGACGATGTAGACTTAGTCAACGAAAATGGTAAAGGGTCCGGGAAAAATATAGATGCTGAAAGGGAAGAAGAGAAAGAAGACGAAAAGCAAACACATGAGGATCATCACTCTACTGAAACCTTGCCGAATGGCAAAAACCCGAAAGAGAAAATAAAAGAAGACCAGGTGGAAAGCTCTGGTGGTGACAGTGACCCGGAGGAAGAGTTAAGTTCAGGGAGTGCAGCAAAACCAAATATAATCCAGTGTGTTGATGCTGATTTCAATGACTTCGATAAGGAGAGGGAAAAAAGCCGTTTTCAAGTTGGCCAGATCTGGGCTTTATATGAAGAAGAGGGAATGCCTAGATTTTATGCTCTCATAAAAAAGGTTAAAACTCCAGACTTCTTGCTTAAGTACGTATGGTTAGAGGCAGACGAAGATGAAGAGGATGAAACACGAAGTTTGCCTGTCTCTGTTGGTAACTTCGAACTTGGGGAAGAGGAGGAGACAAATGCGTGTGCCATTTTCTCTCATTTGGTCTACGAGAAAACAAGACGCAATGGCCGTCGCTTTAAGGTATTCCCGAGGAAAGGAGAAACGTGGGCACTTTACAAGAACTGGAATAAGAACTCGTCCTCTGAACCAGATTCTCCTCGTGAGTATGAGTTTGTTGAGATCCTGTCTGACAGTGCAGAGCAAACCGCTATATCAGTCGCGTCCTTGTCTAAAGTGAAAGGCTTTACTTGTGTTTTCCGTCCAATGCCAAAGGATGGATCGGACGCTTTTGAAATTCCACCTCATGAGTTCCGTAGATTCTCACATAGAGTTCCGTCCGTCAAACTCAAGGGAACAGAAGGGAGAGGTGTATCAGAAGGTTGGTATGAGCTTGATCCAGCTGCTTTACCATTCCCTTACTCTCAAAACATATCAGGAGAAGAAACAACTCAAGACCAAGACCATCAATCTCCACCTTCAGGATCTGCCTGTTGATATTATCACCAATTATCGGAAGGAGCCGGTTTATTTTGATCGGGCGTACAGGTTTTACTGACAAAGAGAAACCAGAGCTCCCCAGAGTCCTTTTGTTGAGCTCGATACCTGTGTGTCATAATTCTGGTGGGAGATTGTTTTCATTATTCATCTAGCCCTTACGTTTTCTCTTTGTTTGTTTACTCAGACATGTAGCTTAATTAAGATATGCTTTAAACTCAATTGTTGCTATAGAAAGAAACTGTGTAATCAAGTTGGTGAAAACTCTTTTGGCGCAGAGTATATTTGTGTTATCCATTTTACACTTGTAAAAATAGCATATCAGTTTTTCAACTTCTGGCTTGAAGCAAGGTCCACAAGGAAGACGATGAATGGGGAGATGTTATGAAATATTATCCACTTAATTAAATGATACACTCTCATTTTGAAGTGCGCGGGCATTTAGTCTAGTGGTATGATTCTCGCGTAGGGTGCGAGAGGTCCCGAGTTCAATTAGCGGAATGCCTCTTTTTATCCTTTTTTTTTTCTTTCAATATGTTGGCGACGTGATGTTTTATTGAAGTCAACATGAACACCTACCGTTTATACCTTCAAAAAACGACAAAAAGACGAAAATAGCATAGCGTTGTAGATCATACTCCCCTTTTCATTTAAGAAGTGCATTGTACATGAAAAACTTTTTTTCATTTGATACACGAAATTCCCTTTTAAAAACTATCATCGTCCCCAAAAATGAAAGACTGTAGGGGCACAAAAAAAGGAACGTGAGTAACATTTTTGAAGAAGGCTAGATATATTTACACATTACATGTCACTGCTGGATCAGATAAACAACTTCTTCTTCTTCTTCTTCTTGCATGATACAAACTCAACGAAGAAAAGAGAAATCAAAGAAAAAGATAATCTCATACTGGACTCGAGTTCTCTGCAACCCGTACACGCCAAGCGAAATAATGAAGATACAACGAGTTTAGGCACACGGCTATCCCAAAACCAAGAATCCCTGCAAAAAGTACAGCATAGATCGCCGGTAGTCTAACCTGAAACACAGAGATTGAGAAAATGTTTTGATTTCCACTTGTATCAGTAATGATTTTACGGATAAATCGATTTAAGTGAGAGTCTTGCTTACCGTAGCATACAATAGATGAACCAGCATCCCCACAAGCGCAAACTCAAGTGCTGCGTATGTCCATATGTATTCTCTGATAGCTGCAGAGTCAGATTGTAATCACAAAGTTTTAAAATTTTTGTTGGCAAACAAAGGAAAGAGCGAGACTTTAGAGGTCTCTGAGGCAGGATGGTTGCGTTTACCGAGGACAATGGCAAAAACGGATGCTAAGAGGCCCAACGTCAATGAAAATGGCGCTGCTATGTAGATAGCTTGCGTGTTCAAGTCCCTTATCTACATACAAAAGAGACATTTTAACAACTTTGCCAATATATTTTTTTCTTTGTAACAAAGCATCAACCAAAACAAATACTTTCTATCCGTGGCTTACCAGTAATTGCTCGAGGAAGAAGAAGTAACAGACTGTGCTGATTAGAACTAGCACCACAAACTCTTGCCAAGCACTGCACCAAACCATTCAATTCTCAGTTGTGTTATTTTGATGAATGGTGAAAAAAAAGAAGAAGAATGTTGAGGTTACCTAGCGGTTGGTGACTGCATATTATGTTGACTGCGATCACGCCTGTTGTTTGGTTGATTAGTTGTAGGCACACGAAGCAATGTAACTGGTAAGTTCTGGACTTCTTGTCTACAGACGTCACAGGTTCTTGTCCCCTTCGTACTAAACCACTTAATGGCACACGCTTCATGAACAAGTCTGAGATCACCTTTGCAGCTACACTCCATTTTCAGAGTATTGCCTTCTTCGCACACGTCCAGGCAGATCCTGCACACTGCTTCTTCTTCTGGAATTTCTTCATCAGTTTCTTCTGTAGGAACGGGAGAGATTTGATCTGCCAAAGATGGAAGAATCAGCAAACACAATAAAAAAAAAGGAAACAATGATCATACTTTACACCAAAAACACTGCACATGAATCAATCTATTCCTTATATTATTATGCAAATCTCAAGTTTTTTCACAAGTCTGTATCTTTTGATTCAATTGAAATACAAAACCTGCCGATCTATAAAAAAGGCTCCACTCAAGAATTTCAGCATAAAGTGACTGCCTAAACTCAACAGTAAGATGATAAACTTAGGAAAATATTTGATGTTCACATCTGTTAGAAACATATACCTGCGCTTATTTCAGACGAAACACGAGCTTTCTGGTTGTCAAAAGAAATAGATCGCACAATCACTTTGTTTCTTCCAGGCATGGACAAGGACCTTGGAACTGGTGGATAAATATTATCTTTCTGCAACAAAGTAAAATCTTTATTTTTCTCTTTCTTTTCAGGTATATTTTGGGAAAGAAAATAATGTCCTTTGGTAAATTTAACTTTTTTACACATTATAATCTTAAGGTAGCAAATAACTCACATTGGGCGGTTCACCAGGCAGACCAACTGAAACCTGTGCAGATACCACAGGAGACAATTTTGCGGCATGTCTAGATGGAAGCGACAAGCATCTTTTCCAATAAGGGGAAGTATCTGAACCTGCAGTATCGGGCTTTTTCGTTGTTTCCATGAGACCAGGAGATAGTAGGGAGCTTCTCTCGCTTTCAGGATGAGCTACAACTTTCTTTTTCAAGCTTAAATTCCGCAAGATTCCTCTTGGTGACGATGTACTGCCACTTTTGAATGAACTTGTGGACTTCAATGAACTCTTTGGGTTACGGCCACCAACAAATGGAACTGGTCTTGTGGGTATTTGTATTGAAAGATCCAAGTGGGTTCCGCTCGGTTGAGAGCTCGGCACATCTTCAGTAGATTTTTCTTTTACCTGATGATCACCCTATAAGCAATACGTGTCAAAGTTCAGGCCTTCCGCATGCACAATAAATACTAACAAAAAATCCGAAATTTGATTACAGCATTTTCTCATTTAAAGAGAAATCCAGCATTTTCAATTCGAATTAGTGACATTGTTAGACCTTCAGATCTCTATATCGTTGACACTTGAATAAGTAGAAGAAACATAAGCTTGCTTTCGTCATTTGACTCGTTCAAAAAATACTAACTTTGCAATGGTTACACACATGCAAAACTAGACCTGAGGGTCAGAATAAACAATCTTTCCCCATATCCAAACTTTGAGGAAACACTCTAATATGTTAACAACGAGGGGAAAAGGAAGCTTTGTAGTTACTGAAGCTATTCCCAATTATAAATGCAAGATCGAAACAATAGATCTGTACTTCTCATTTCAATTTTTTTTCCACAGAAAAGCTGAAAACTTCTTCTATATAAAACAATCCCAAGTGGCTCCAGTTTTTTAAAATTTTCTTTATAATAGAAACATAAATAAATCAAAAGGAGATTCTATGGCTACTAAGTCAATCAGATAGATTAAATCGATATTCAGACGAACAGAGGAAGAGAAAAGATCTCAATTATAATGTCAAGCCATATAAACCCTACAACTTTAGAGGAAATGTTGTGGATAGTCCAACCGGAGCAATCATTAAGACACAACACAATTAACAACAAATAAAACCCAGATTCGTTTTCTAACGACTCTTGAATTTACCCACGTGAAATTAAGAGATTAGAGACAAGCTATGAGGAAAAAGCTTTCAGATTTACCTTAGAATCTACAAACCCAGAATAATAATTCGTCTTAGGTTCTACAAGAAGAGACAAAGATAGGATTTTTTTCTCTTTTTTTGAAAATATGTACCTGAGAAGAAGAATGAGGCGGAAGAGGAGAAGAAGATGAAGGTGAAGAATCCCCCACGATTATAGCAATTTCCGGTTGTTGAGCTGCCAAATCTTGCATCATGATCGAACCAAAATTAAACCGATAATAAAAAAAAATTATATCAATACAAAATCGAAGCTGCTCGACAAATATCCTGTAAGAGAGAGATAGAGAGAAGATAAAACAATCTCTATTAGTCTATTTGATGAAATAATTGTAGTTTTTTATATTCATTGAATCCAAGACTGACATTATACGAAAAGGCTCGTACTTTATTTTGTTCACTTATATAAATACGTAGTTGCCACTGACACTCCCCTTATATAATTACTGTTCTTTAATTTCCCAAAAAAGATGTTACTAAAAAAAGAATACAAAATTCTCATAATCCAATTTAATACTTGAATATCGACAGAGAAAAACGAATCATATTCTTGTCGTTGATTTCGACGAAGATGACGAGGAAAATTCAACGTTACGAGTTTCGAACCTCATGTTCATGTCGATTCCGTCGCTTTCAAGGGAAAATCATTCTCCTTCGTTCTTACGCATTGAAGATTTTTCTAACTATATATGTGAATTTGGAAATTCAAGTATTCCATTTTAATTAAAGTTTTACCAAAATAAATTAGGTTTGAAAGTAAGAAGAAAAAGCTACTTTTGCATCTACTTATTCTAGTATAAATTTTTCCAAATCACAAATCACGATGATTTTAAAATTGCGTCTTTAAGTCCTCACCAGAATGTATTGTATAAACTACTCTAATCTCCCACGTAATATACCACATGCTACAATTATACACCTAAAAGAAAATCTTATACTAATATAGTTTGGTGGGTTGTTTTGTTTGTATGGTCATCGAAACAGTCAATTTACCGTTTGACCAATTTACTTGTCTGGCCTACTCCTATCTTTATCACAATCAAATACCAAACACAAAAAGGAGAGTAGAGAGACTGGTCAAATCGTCATACGCTTAAAACATCATTTTATAACCACCAACCCAAGATAAGTGTTCAATTAGTCATCCTAAATGGAATTTAATTATATTTGTCTGCCAAGACTCATCTCCAAGTCATAATTCAGATATATATGGTAGGTCCATTACGGATTTAGGCTATCTAAATAGCCGTTTGTAATTTGCCTTATTTCGCCGAACAATTCAGATAATCAAGTATTAGGCTTCTTTACAGATTATAGAAAATGACTCAAAGATCTCCAAATGTTAGGCCCTTGCTGGTTCATCATTTAGGCAGCCATAAGAGTGAATGAATTAGGAAAGAGTAAAGTTAAAGGAAGCTCGTAAGGTTAGTTAGTTCATTAGGTAAAGAAATCAATTCGCATTCTAGCGATTGCTTGCAGCTCGAAATGACAATGAGTGATTATATATAAACATCTAAGTAATAGAAAACATAAGTGAGATTCGATTATAGGCTCACACAATACAACTGTTCGGAAATCTAATAGAATAAAGGGTATCTCGAAATTGATCACGAATACAATCAAACTGCAATTAGGTTTTAGAATCCTAAATTGAAAAGTTATTTGCTTGATGAAAGTAACTTGCATTTTTGTAATTGTGTTTGCTAGCATAACAGGCAAAAGCCATCTTTGCTTTTGTTTTGCTTCTTCACTTCATCTTCTGCTCAGTAAAGAGGACATGACGATTGACTCGAGGATCGTACTTGCGGAACTCAAGCTTCTCAAGAAGTCCCTTGCTACTCTTCCTCTTGACATAGAAGAATCCAGTTCCAGCTGCTGACACTAGTCGGATGAACATGAACGTCTTCTTCCTCTTGTCACCCATCTCTCTCACTTCAAACACACAAGGAAGTAAGAGAATGGTATCATACAAGATATCAACAATATTTCAACTTTAAGCCCTTGAAATTGATGAAACAGAGGAACAAAACGTATAAAGTTTTGATTTTTTTTTTTTTGTTTACTCTAGTTGAAGCTATAATTTGATGATTGGCAAAACTTAGAAATGAATAGTTTTAGCCTAAATCATATGGGAAATAGCTCATTTTGAGATCTAATGCTTAGAATTTCAGAGATCTTCGGTACAGAAATCTCAGTTCGAACACGATAAACACTAGAAGAATCCTTTCGAAGAGGTGAATTTATCTCTAAACAGATCGAGATGAGTCGAGATCGAAAAGGTTAGAGGATCACGCATACCTGGAAAATAGAAAGCGACGACGGAGTCCGGCGAAGGAGAGACTGATCGGTGAACACGTTCACAGAGATAACCAAACGCCGACGAGGATGACGGTTGAAAAAAACCTAGGAAACGGGAAATTGGGTTTAGATCAAACATAATGGGCCTTTTTTAAACGAGCCCAATATTGGCCTATGATTGCAAAATCAAAACACAGCGTTTAATGACGACAGCGAAATGCTTCTTGTTGTCACTTGTCAGTAGAGAAGAAGACTCGAGTCATCCGCAGGAAAGGTGAGAGACAATGTGCGTTTGTTTTTGCTTAATCAATCAAATTTTCCGTTGGATTTCGAAAATTTTTTGATTCTCAGATTTGCGATCAGATTCGATTTGAGAATAAGGGATTGTGGAAAATCTTGAGCGATGGCGGAGAGTGCGGTGGACGGGAAGGGGAATCCGATCCCTACGTCGGCGGTTTTGACAGCGTCGGCGAAGCATATAGGAATCAGGTGTATGCCGGAAAACATGGCGTTCCTGAAATGCAAGAAGAATGATCCTAACCCAGAGAAATGCCTCGAAAAGGGACGTGACGTCACTCGCTGTGTGCTTGGCCTGTAAGTTTCTCATTTCAAGATATTTGGATGATCGTCGTCGTGTAACCCGTTTGGGCTAATTCTGGTAATCTTGGTGAAGAAGATAGTGGAAAATGCCACATTGTTGATTGAAAGAATCTTTCTTCACATGTTTTGCTGTTTTCATTGAATTCGAAACATTCCTAGAACCTTGTTAGTCTTTGTATACTGTGGATCATTTCCTCGGATTGAATTTGAATCCAAAAGCCTGCCATTTGTTTAATATCTAAGAACAGTTGTTTGAGTCTTTGTGTAGTTATGCATAGTGGTCTATTTCGTAAGAGCTCTCCAGTTTTGTAAGCTTCAATTCAAATCATGAGACGGTGGTGATCCATAACCGTCTTAATTTGAGTTTTTTGTAGGCTGAAAGATCTTCACCAGAAATGCCCAAAGGAGATGGATGCTTATGTCGGCTGCATGTATTACTTCACAAATGAGTTTGATTTGTGTCGGAAAGAGCAAGAAGCATTCGAGAAAGCTTGCCCCTTGAAATGAGAATTCAACTTCATGGTGTGTCTACTACCTAGTACCTGCCTCGATATATAGTACAAACTAATGAATTAAAATGGATTGCACTTCAGTTTCTAATATTGGTATGACAGTTTCAAACACCAACTTATTACATTCTAAATAACTCGTTTTTGTTCTATGGAAAATCCGAAAATGTTATACTACTTATAGCTCTGCTCATAACTTGACCTTCAAGTAAAGACAGAAAACGAGAACACTTAAAGACCTAATTGAAATAGAGAGTCCATTGATACGAGCAATCTAACTGATTCAAGAACAAGAGACGTTCTTCAACAAACAACAATTCAACAGAAACAGGAAAAACGAGAAAAAGAAACTCATTCAAGGTTAAAAAAAAAAAAAAAGGTACTTAATGGTACAGAGAAAATATAATTTTAACTCTTCAACAAGCTTTACAGCTACGCCTGCAGTTTCCAGGGAGCTCTGGAGTTCCCACCATATACTCTGGGTTCTTTGCGCATTCCCCAAGCACTGCCCATCTTTCACAGCTCTCGTTTATATCCGTACAGTTACCGTCATGTGTCAATATCTTGTCGAATGAGTCCACGTGGATCCACTTAGTTGCTGACCATTTCTCTCCTTCGATCACAGGACAACCTCCGTGAAGGCTCAAGGGATCTGGGATTGCGTCTTGGTGGAGGTTGAAGAACAAGAGTGCATCTCCTTTCTTCGGTTTCACTAGGAGCATTAACCCAGAAATCAAAAACACTCTTTAGAGATAAGATCTCTACAGGAAAACCAGCAACTTATGATAAAAAGTTCTATAGCTCACCAGCAATCCCTTTCTTTGCACAATCAGAAAGGTCGTCTTTGTTCTCAGAAAGCTTGCGGCGAGAATATTCCTGCAGTGAAACTTTCTTCAGAGAACGGAAAAAATGATATAGTTGTCCCATTTATAGAACCATTAAACAGAGTAGGCATTGTAATAGATGTAATACAAACCAATGCATCAGGGAAAACAGTTTCTCCACCCTTTGTAACATTGGATAGATACATGAGAACCGTTGCTATGCGGTGTCCACCACGGGCGATGTTGACTTTGTCGTGAAAGTAGTCAAAGTGAGCGTCATATTTCTGACCGGACTCATATCTCAATACCTGAAGATCTTCCCCGTTTTCTGTCACCAAGATAGTGTAAGGACTACTTAGAAACAATAAATATCTTCTCAAATAACTTTCTTCAAGAAAATCGAGTAAGAGTTGAGGTTCCTCTGTACTTAATCTTTTGAAACCAATAGATCGCTATTAAGCCATTGAGAAAGTCTTGTTACCTTTGGGGAGGAATGTCCATGTGGAGAGTTTGTCCTCTATACCGGAAACAATAGGATCCTGTGATTAAGCAAAGAGAGTTTTACATGAAGATTGTAATCATTACTAAAAATCCACGATTGATTGATTATCATACACACGCAGAAGTAGTTCCGTTGACTAACTAGCCCTGTGAAACCTTTAAGTAGTACCAAGCAGCAATCACAAATCAACTACAGTTTTGGGTCACTCTACCAAGAAACCGGAAGGATCAACGTGAATTTGTTTAGAAAGATTCATAAACATGATCAGTGTAACTCAAAATCTGATGAACAATCCAATATGTGTGTGAATTACTGAATTGGATAAGGGATCTAATTCATCAGACACATGAGGGTTTCGACTTATCAGATCCGGTTTTTATCATGATCCACATCTGAGATTCAGAGCTCTTTTAGTGAATTTTCATACATTCGAATCAAGACCAATGTCGAATCGAAGAAATTCAGTGAGATTCGAATTAAAGCTCTAAGTTTTACGGCGAATTAAAGAAAACAGAATAAAAATGTCACCTTTCCTTTGGAGATAAACGTGCCGGAGCTGGTCCGAACGTCACTGACTTGACTCTCGCCATTATCGTTATCAGCAACCGCAGATCTCTGCAGATTCTCTTTCGCCTGAAAAGTCAAAATCAGAAACTGAAATCAGCACATTCAAAGAGAAAAAACTTTCCAAAATTGAGCTCAGACACAGAGATCAAAATCGTGTTATAATATGAACTCACAAGGGAGATCAGATGATCACACTCCAGGTCCGTCAGAAAACCTTCATACACAAATGCCCTGAAGAAACAACATCAAAAGTTTCCCAATTGAGCATCAAACACACAAAAGTTGATGTTCAAAAATTACTCAGAGGCTTTCGCGTCACTTGTCACTGATGGAATCAAACAATAGACGGAGGGAGGAGAAAATCAAACCTGGGTTTTGAAGAAACCTGTTTGACTTTAGAAGGGTTGATGATAGAACTGGGAGAACTAATCAGGGAAGTGGAAGACCGAAGAGAGACGAGGAAGACGGCGACGAACAACAACAATCCCCGGCGAGACATTGACATCAGCATCGCACTCGCTTGGATCCAGGAAAACGTGGAGAGATCAAGAGCTGGGGATAATTAACTTTTCTCCCGAGAAAATAAAGAGGGAAATTTTTACTTCTCTTCTCTGGAAAATGTCAACGGTCATGAAGAGCTGATGGCTCTACCTAACGAGATGGCGACGACATGCGCACGTCGTTTTTGCTAATCCGGAACGTTCATAACAATTATTTCTCGGCTGCTTTACCAATTTCCCATTAGAAAGCCCATTAAAATTATAGACAAAGGCCCAATTCACATTAAAGCCCAACATAATTATTTCCTGCCGGTTAAATTCTAAACCAACTGGACGTCGAATTTCAGAAAAGTGAAATAATCCTCGCCGGAGAGGTGTCTGGTTTTGATTTTAGCCGGCGACGAATGTGAATGAAAGCTGAAGAAGAATCAAAAGCTAATAAGGGCAATTTAAGGAAAACTTAAAGAGATGGCGTTTAAGCCTTTTGGAAAAGATGTAGGGCCGGCGATGAGCTCCAAGCCATCGCCGTTTACAACCTTCGGCACTTCTGCTCCAACGCATCCCACAACCACCAGGTGTGCTTTTCTATCCTGTTGATTTCTGTATGCACATGATCCTACTTTCATTCCACTTTCTGAGGTTTTTAGATTGATTTCACGCTATGGATCTATTATGCTCTACAATTTTTCCTTGTTGTGTCTAGGAGCACGCTTAAGTATCTTGAATATTCTATGCGGTTGTGCTCTGTATCACTTTGGCAGCTCTAAGCTTCGGGTTTCTAAAGCTCAGTTGCCTATTTTCGAATGTAGTTTGTGTGGTTTTCTTTACCTTCCTTAAGAGTAGCTGCACTTTGATTTTGGTTCTCTCAGGTTTTACTCTTTTCTCTAAATTTTAACCCTGCGAATTGGGGATTTGCTTGTAGTGATCCTCCAGTTCAGCCACTGGCGTCTCAAAACCGTTCACCCTACGCAGGACAATCTTTTGGACCTGCTGGAATTCAAAGGTTAGATAAACTTTGCTCTACTGTGTTAGGTTGTTTGTGAGTCACCTTAGGGAGACTTGTTGTGCTACTTCTTGTGGTCTTTCTTATCAAGTCTGCTAACTTTCTATGTCCTTTACATTCTCACCTGCGTATCGGAACTTTTGCTTGTAGTGGTCCTCCAATTCAGCAAGCACCCCCTCCTTCGGCTTCTCAAAACCCTCCACCCTTTATAGGGAAACCTTACCGACCAGGTGGGGTTCAAAGGTTAGACATTCTTAATTGTATGGCTTAATCTTCTTCCTTTGCTCTTTCAGTTTTATCTGCCTGATGATGATGATGATGTTAGGTTGGCTTTATTCTTCGTTTGGGTTATTCCCTAAATCATTATGGTTTTTGCTTGCAGTATTCCTCCAATGAATCGAACACCAACTCATTCGGCTTTTCAAAATCCCCCAGGACAATCTTACCGACCTGGTGGAATTCAAAGGTTAGACTAACTTACTTTTATGGCTCTCTTTCTTTTTTTTTTATGCCTGTACATACACGATCTTTGAGTTGAAACAGCTGGTGATGAAATTGAATTTTTGAAAGAAAGTCTGAATACAAAATATTGGTTAACCAATATGGAGGATAGATACAATCTAAATAATAAAAATTATTGTCTATTTTTTGTTTTGGTGAAAGTTCTGCTTGAATCTTCTGAGGGTTGGACAAATTTTGATATGAAGAAATTTATTGGAACACTTCAATGCTATGGTTTTTTCAGGAGCCCAGGACCTGCCAATGGAATACCATGGGGTTCGGAAGCTTTTCCACGTCCAAGCCCCTCTGTGAGACCTTACAACTTTCCTGAAGTTCAGAGGTAAAAGTCTACGTGTGATATGTTCCACTTAGAAGAGTGTCATATTCGACACCTTGGCAGCAGTGTTAATCACACAACTCAATGCTTTCAGTCTTCTGCAATAGAAAATATAGCATTAGGAAGAGAGCAGGCTGTGGCGGAGTGCTATAGGTCTTTGCCCATCTGAATGCCTAATACGTAGGGTCTTACTATGGCAGCGGCTTTGAAACTCCATAAGCAAGCTGCTGGATTGTTCTTGATGAGTTACATTAATTCCACCTGCCTCATTTTTCCTTTCAGGCCTACTTTATATCCTCAAACTGGGCATGATGAATCAAGGAATTTCTTGAAGGATCATGGTGAACATAGTGTAGCCACCACGCCTCCAGCTAGTACATCACACACTCTTTCCAGAAGTGGAACTGATGCTGTTGAGATTGGCCGATCACAAGATTCGAAAAGGAAAAGGTCCGTTATGCCATTTCCTTTATATGAAGGCCATTTATGCCAGCAGACTTTTTCTGCAATAAACATTCTTTCTGTTCTGTAGCACTATCTTATCCTTGGCTTTCTTAACACTTGTCTTTTTGCGAGAGTTTGTACACCTACTGTGTTCTCGTCATGTACTGTTCTCTTTCAGATTTCAAAGTTTGTTGTGTGGTCTTGGTGCTGGAATATGAGCTGTCATATGCATGGCTGTGATGTTTAGTGAGATCATGGTTATTGTTGTAACTAAATTTAAATCTAAAAGATCCTCCATTTTTGTTGCAGTCGGTCAGATCTTTTTCCTGATCGGAGTATGGGGTTTTCTCGACAAAATCAATCGCCTGTATCTGGTTTTGAGGATGGCAGCTTGCTAAATGATTTCCAGCAGCCTTCTAGCCAAACTTGGATGTAAGCTATTTATTTTCTTGTCAGTTTCATAAATATTTGGTCTTTGCCTCTCGTTTTTGCTGTTGGTATAAGAAATGTCATAAAATATCTCACATGAGTTATGGTAAGTTGAACCATGCATGTGTTTTTCCTCCTTGATTTTCATACTGATTATTAGTCCGTCGTCTCACTGACTTTTGAAACTTGCGTCCTGGAACCTTTTCTCATGATTTTGTAGGCGCTCTCCCTCTTCTGTGGAGTATAATCCTGAGAGGTCGAGGAGCAATCCCAGTCGGTTGATTCATCAAGAACAAACCCCAAGCCCTTCATTTCCGTATGCACATGAAGTAGCTGAAATTCAGGAAGCTACAAAAAGAAAGTCTTCGGCTATAGCACCTTCCGATAAACCTCTTCGAGACGACCCTGTGTTTTCTCAACATGATTTTCGAAGGTAGTGCGCATGAAACTCATATTTTCTGAGCTTATTATTTTCGTTATGTCTCCACCTGTCCTACGTGTACTTATGAATGGTAGGGGAAATCACGATTTGGAATAGGGTTACAGTCCTAATAAACTTTTACCTTTGCAAATCGGAGTATGAACGTATTTACCTTAAATTTTAATTGTTTTGATGGAAAACTGTCTGCTACGAGCCTGGTGAACCATGCTATTTCCTCTTGTAGCTTTATCTTTAGTGCTCATGCAAAAAATCTGCTTTTCTCTATCTGGCTGGATGTGCCTTAAACTTGCTCTTAGTTAAGTGTGCTGTTTGTATAATAGGTTTTCAACATCTCCTCCTGCGTCAGGCACAAAGTCATTTTTGCTTTCAAGAAGCTCAGATTCTCAATTTCCTGGGCAGCCCTCCTCTGTAAATAATTCTAATAGTGCGAGTAAGACAAGCAATTCACCTGCTACAAAAAGGACGAGATCTCCGCCTTTATATCCAGTGGAAGAAGATATCCAGGGAAACTCTTTTCCTTCTCAAGATTGTACTGAAGGGTAGATTAACCGCACAATATCGGCTCTTTATATTCATATGTGGACGAGTTCTTAAATTTTCTGAACTGTGTGCCTTTTGTACAGAGAAGAGCAAGCCAGGGCAAAGAGACTGGCCCGCTTCAAGGGTGAACTGGAGCCTATTGCAGCCAGACCTGTTGATACTACTAAATCATCTGTAAATAAAACTGTAAAGCCTCTGGACAACAAACAAACATTCAATTCACTGGAATCAAGTAGGGATGCCCTGAAGGTTGATGCCTTGTCTGATTATGAAAGCTTGGAGCAGCCCTCTCTTATCATTGGATTATGCCCTGACATGTGTCCCGGTAAGCATAAGCCTGAGACATGCTTATAAAACAACTATTGAGTGGATAGTCTTTGTTATATTTTATGTGATTAGAGAAGAATTGCGTTGCGAACAATATTGAAATTGCCCATAACTGATGTCTTGTTTTAGTGAGTACTGAGATAGTAGAGGAAATATATTGAGGGGTTTTCTTATTCACCTTCCCAGAATCAGAACGGGGGGATCGTGAAAGGAAGGGTGACTTGGACCATTATGAGCGTGTGGATGGAGATAGGAACCAGACGAGCAAATCCCTTGCTGTGAAGAAAGTAAGTATACGTTTTTCATATCAATTAAGTGTCGATTCTTTCTTAGATGACATATACTAGATTACCCACCCATTCACTGTGATGACTACTGATATATCTGCCTTTGATTAGTATACCAGGACGGCGGAGCGAGAAGCAATTTTGATACGGCCAATGCCTGTCCTTCAGAATACAATGGAATATTTGCTGAGTTTGCTTGACCAGCCTTACAATGAAAACTTTCTTGGCATGTACAATTTCTTATGGGATAGGATGAGAGCTATTCGAATGGATCTAAGAATGCAACATATTTTCAACCGAGAAGCTATAACTCTGCTGGAGCAAATGGTTTGTGTTTTCTGATCTTATATAAATTCCACGAAACACGATGATAACCAATATTCCGTTTTGGATGTGTGTTCCGTCCTATGGATGATTTGATTTCCTTGTTACAGATAAGACTTCACATCATTGCAATGCATGAATTATGTGAATATACCAAAGGAGAGGGCTTTTCAGAGGGGTTTGATGCACATCTGAATATTGAGCAGATGAACAAGACATCTGTTGAGTTGTTTCAAATGTATGATGATCACAGGAAGAAAGGAATAGTTGTTCCTACAGAAAAAGAGTTCCGTGGCTACTATGCTCTTCTCAAACTCGACAAGCATCCTGGGTATAAGGTGAGTCCTTCTGGGTGAAGTTTACAGGTCAGATTTCTGTGTTAAGATCTTAACTGTATAATTAAATTTCCTGCTAGGTTGAACCTTCAGAACTTTCTCTTGATCTTGCAAACATGACTCCAGAAATAAGGCAAACTTCAGAAGTTCTCTTCGCCCGCAATGTAGCCAGGTTGTTCCATGAATTTTTACTTGACTGAAAGTTTGTTAACTTGATCTATAATATTGAAACCAGTCGTGCAATAACAGAGCTTGCAGAACTGGCAACTTCATCACCTTCTTTCGCCTCGCACGAATAGCAAGCTATCTTCAAGCATGTTTAATGCATGCTCATTTTTCGAAGGTAAGGGCTAATATATGGTGTAGGTTTAAAAGCTTCCAGTCTTACCATATTGTTGTGTGGTTATTTCATCGAGATCTAAACTTTATTCCATTTCATCAGCTGAGAACTCAGGCACTTGCTTCTCTGCACTCGGCTCTGCAAAATAATCAGGGTCTCCCAGTTTCGGATACGTCAAAGTGGATAGGGATGGAGGTAATTCTTGCATCGCTTAGTTACTTGGTGTATCCTTTTCTTGGTCTGTCACAGAAATTGCTAGAGGTCTTACATTTTTCTTCCTGTGATGGAATTCAGGAAGAGGACATAGAAGCCCTGTTGGAGTACCATGGATTTTCAATTAAGGTGTTCGAAGAGCCATACATGGTAAAGGATGACATATTTCTCCATGCTGACAAGGATTATAAAACAAAATGCTCTAAACTTGTTCACATGAAAAAGTCAAGAACCATAGTGGAAGATGTTTCTGCTCCCTCGGTAGGGGAAGATGTTTCTGTTCCATCTCCGGTGTCATCCTTGCCGAAGGAAGCAACAAAAGGATATCAACCACATATTACCGCCCATAAACATGAAAGGCCGCCTGCTCAAAGTCCTAAGAAACAAACATCAGTGCGTCTAGTTAATAAAGAAACGACCGACTCTAAGGCTTCCCTCTTACCGGAGGATGACAAGCCAGTGAAGACATCTGTTATCAATCCAGCAGTGGATCAACAGAAACAAATTCACCTTACGCCGGCTGGTGGATTTCATTCTCCCTTAAAGTTCTATTCTCCTTTTGGTTCTCCTGGATTTCCACTAGCTGAATCATCGAATTTGAAGAAACAGCCTAGTGACGGCCACACTAGTATATCTCCTGGGGAAATTAAATTTCCATGTGCTGGGCATATGCAAATGAATCTTGTGCCTGGACCAACTTTGCAACAAAGTTCGAAGACTATGCCAGTGAAGAGTGTGCCTGTAACTACCATTGTAGAGTCTCCGACGAGTGTAGACACCATAAATGCTATGGAAGAATCTGGACCCGAAGCTGCAATGGTTAGTACCTTGGAAAAGGACTTCTATGGCATTGAACAGCAAGACGAGGATGGGAATGGGGTCATCACAAATCAGTATGACGAGGAAGTGGCAAAGGCAAAACTCAAGTTGATCATAAGGTCTGCCAGCTCCTAATGCAAGTTGATAATTGGTTTAGATTTTTTTATTTTTTTAACCTCTGTTTTCTAATCTTGGCAGATTATGGAAGCGGTGGTCTTCACGTCAAAGTGAATTGCGGGAGCGTCGACAGTTAGCTGCAGCTGCTGCACTGGATTCACTATCCTTGGGTACTCCTATCCGATTTAGCAAAACTAATGTAAGTTTCAGTTTTCTTCCCCATAACATGTGCTGATCATTAGTCTTTTTTTCAAGGAAGCAATACAAGTCTAATATCGGTTTCTTTTCATACACAGGAATCGAGGGCATGTGGTGAGTTTGACATTGATCAAGCCATGAGGAGGAGATTTGAAGAACATGAAAAATCATGGTCAAGGCTGAATATTTCAGATGTGATAGCTGATATACTACTCGGAAGGAATCCAGACTCAAAATGCATATGCTGGAAGGTCATCTTATGTACTCAGATTAAATCAGTAAACTCATCAAGTCACGATACACATTCAGCAGCTAGTCGATGGTTATTATCAAAGCTTATCCCTCACGCAGAACATAGTGTCTCCGATGATAATCCGCTGTTTTCAGCTCCCGGTGTGTCGGTATGGAAGAAATGGGCTGCAAGTGGGTCTGACTCGGATTTCAAATGCTGTCTCTCAATAGCTAGGGATGTGGAAGCTGATAACGATCTGTGTGAAACAACACGTGGTGCAAGTGCCGTTCTTTTCCTTGCATCTAAAGGCCTCCCTCTGAATCTCCAGAGAGAACAGCTTAACCGCATTCTTGAATCAGTACCTAACAGCTCGCTCCTTCCCCTTCTCGTAGTAATCAGCTCGTGCAATGGGGAAAGCACGGATCCTGATACCAATCTTGTCTCTGAGCTAGGCCTCCATGATATTGACAAATCAAAGATAGCAAGCTTCACCATCGTTTCTATTGCTAATAAGTCCCAGAAGGGACAGGAAGTTCATTTTTTCAGCGACTCACGGCTAAGGGATGGGCTTAAATGGCTTGCGGGCAATTCACCTCTGCAACCAAATCTTCATCATGTTAAACCGCGGGAACTTGTTCTGACCCATTTCAGTTTTTCATTGGAGTTACTTAAGCAGATGCCAGATCAGGAAGTTGGTCCTAACATATGCATATCAGCCTTCAACGACGCATTGGAAACTTCACAAAGAAATATCACTTCTGCTGCTGAAGCAAATCGGATTGATTGGCCTGGCCCTGAGACAATGTTGCTCGAGGATAGCAGAAAAGAACATTCAATGGTGAAGCGATATCTACCCAACCTGAACTGGAGCAGTGCAGAGAGCATTAAACCACTCAATTCTGTGCTAGAGAACTGTAAGCTTCCATATTTTGAAGATGATTTGACATGGTTAACTCTAGGATGTGCTTCTGGTGCTGAGGTAGAGAACCATACGCAACGCCTCGAGGGATGCTTAGTCGAGTACTTAACACAGACAAGCAATCTTATGGGAGTCTCATTAGCCACCAAAGAAACAGGAGTGATGCTGCAAAGAAACACTAGACTCGAACTCCATAACTCAAGCTACTACCATATCATCCCGAAATGGATCGGGATCTTCCAGAGGATCTTCAACTGGCGGATAATGGGATTGCTCGATTCGTCGTCTTCCTCGGCCTACGTACTGAAGTCCGATCTCACTATGTCAGCTTCAAGCTATGCTGATAAATTCTTGTCTGAAGATGCATCGTACCCATATTCTCGTCCAAATCGTCCATTGCTTCACGAAATGATCCAAATCAGCTGCAGTCCCTTCAAGTCGTCTCCTCCATGTAATCACAAAGTCCAGAGAGTTGTCGAACCGGTTGAGACAGAAAGGCCTATCGAAGATCATAGAGACATAGATGAGTCGATGTTGGAGAAGAGTAGAGAAGCTTCTAGAAGGATTGATATGATGATAACTGAGGAAGATGAGTTAGCTGATGAAACCGAGAGATCATGGAGGAGCAAAGGTAAAGAAGCAGCGGAGAAGAAGACGATGAACGAGAGAGAGAGTGAGAGATTAGATGAATTGTTGGAGAGATGTAACTTGGTACAGAATAGCATAGCCGAGAAGCTCTGCATTTACTTTTGAATTTCATTAAGCCCTTTTTGTTAATGTTGTATTGTTGTTACATTCCAGCTTAGTAGAGTTAGAGGGCATTGACCTAAAGGCGCTGCTATTGTATGATTACCGAATGATCAAATATGCATACATACACTTACTTGAGAAAACCCCATAAAAACTGTTTTATATGGCAACTACTGTAATTACAAGACTTCGGTTCCAATGAATAACACCCACCAACATAAAATTAACTTTTGAAAGAAAATCTCACTTGTAAAACTTACTTTTGGATAGAAAACAAATACAAATAAGAGAATTCAACTGCAATTTGGCTGACTTTTTGTGTATTTTTTTTGGAAAGAGACAAATAAAAGAATTGGCTAGCTACTCCGCTGACTTTTATTGTGTTATATGAAAATGATTAGCAAAGAAAGTTGCAGGCTATTAAACTTAATTTACCCATTACCTTAATTAAACAAAGTATGAAAAGCTAAGCTCTTTTCATCATGTTCAGCGGGAAAGAGTCAATATTAAATTGAACCAGATCTTATTGAAATCTATTAAGGAAAGCTTCACCTTCTACGCGTCATCTGTTTACTAAAAAAAGTCTTGCTACTTCGCTTACCACTCGTGTCTAATGTGTATCATACGTTCCACTTCCACCATATGCACTCTTGGCGCGTGAAACTAACGTGCCAAATCGCCAGTAAAACATTGGCGTCTATAAGAAAAGAAAAGAACGCCTCGAACGAGCGCGTGCACGAATTTTGATTTGTTTAACCCTAACATTAAGACTCGTTATTTGCAAGAGCTTCTTCTCTGCAACAAGTAACTGTGTCGGAGCAAATAGCGTAATGGACACGTCTTTTAATCCGATAAAAGAAGCTCATACAGAGCATTACTTTTTACTTGCTATATAGAAGAATGAATCTGTGAACATAAGAGGTACATAAAAACAAACAAAGGGGCAAATAGGAATCAGAATCATGCATCATCATCATTCATTACACAGGTTCTTTATCTGTACAATGATAATTGTGATATCATCTGTCCTATTCTCATGCTCCAACCACAGTTTGTATGATTCCGCTGCTGCTGCTGCGCATCCATCTCGCGGATCAGCGTATCTCCCCACCTGCAAACACACATTTCTCAAATCACATTCGGAATCCCAAAAAAAAAAACATGTTTCTATCGATGACAACACACTTGAGTTCTGTTTTTTGCTTACCATATCAACAACAGCTTGGCTTGGAAGAAACTCGAAGATCCCATCGCTTGCAACAACAAAGAACAAATGGTTCGGTGAAAGATGAACCATGGACACTTCTGGTTCAGCAGTGACTCCAATGCTCTCAGCTGTGAAATCTCCAACACTCCTCGTGAACGCAGTTCCCGGATACATCCCGTTCTGTACCCAAAGTCTCGGTGGGTCTCCTCCTTCGCTCTCTTCGCTTGCCCATGTCTGTATATTCGGATCTTTCAAACCTTCCACCTGATCCACACTCAGAACTCTAGCTCCACAAGCTTTCACCCTCTCGCATTCATCTTTCCTAAAAGGCGTTTGATCGTAAGACAAATCCTCCGCTAGAATCCGGTTCCTGTCTTTAACAGCGAGCACAGCCCTCGAATCACCTACATTGGCGACATATATCTTATCACCAACAACAAGAACCGTGATCGCAGTAGTACCACTCATCGAATCATCGATTTCGCTGTCGTGTAACTCCTCGTTCACCCTCAAAAAAGCAGACTTGTAAGCTTTCTCTGGATCCTCGAGCAGAGTCGGGTCTTCTGACAACATTTCCACGACCCTCTCCTTGACGAAGTTCGAGCACTGCGTACCGAATACACCGTGGCCGTCGAAAACGCCGAAGAAGTGAACATTTGGGTTACCTTGGAGCTCGGTTTTGATGCAGTAAGTGTCTTGGTTCTCCTTATCAGGTGAATCTGGATAATAGCCTCGTTGAGATAGCACAGAGTAAACCATTTCGAAATTGGGAGAAGGGACCTGAATTGTTCCGAGGGGTTTCGGAGCGACGCCATCTTTGCCTTTGGCGTCTCCGTGTCCTCGAGAATCTCCTTCTGATGATGACGATGGATATCGGCGACAGCATTTGCATTGAACACAACCCATCTACGATAACGCAGAACAAAAAAAAAAAACAGATTCGACTCCTCAGAAAAAAAAAATCGAATTTTTCCTCAATTCTCTGGCTCGGCTAGAAAAAGCAATGTCCAGGAAAACGAATAAAAGGGTATTCGTTAGATTCAACAATGGCGTCGGCAAAAGTGTAGGGTTTTGCAGAAGTCATGTTAAACGCGGCAAAATCAAAAAAAAGGGGTTGAAGGAAACGAACAAAAGGAAAGACGAAATTCACACCCAAAGCTAGAATCTTTGTTTGCCCAATAAACGGAGAATTTATGGGAATGGTTGGGAATAATCCGAGAAGAAGAAATTGAGGAAGAGGAAGAACAAAAAAAACCCACAAAGGTTAAGAAAGAGGGGAATTCGTTTCTTTTCTTGCTGTTTCGACTCCTTTTTCTTCTTCTTCTTCAACCTCTTTCCTTTCCTTTCCTTCGTGTCTTCCTCTACCTTTCCCTTAAAGGATTATTCCGTCAACCCTTTTAAGAGAAAGCGTCAAAATTCGAGAAACCCTAAAAGCAAAGCAGATGAATTTGTTCGAAAAGAAAGAAGAATAAAATAAGAAAAAGAGAGAGAAAAGAGCTGAATTTGGTCGATCAGACGGATGGAGTACACGGGTGGGTTTTGGCCTCTGCACAGCCGCGCACGAATTCCCAAAACAAACAATTTTTTTGAGAAACTCAATGAATATAATTTTTTTGATCGAGAAAATCTTTACTTTACTCGTTTAATTTCCCCTTCTGTAACGGGTCGGGTAACATTTTTCCGACCCGATAAAACATCCACGAAATATCGTTTTGGTTTGAAAAATCCTGACGGGCCAAGCGTATTTATTGGGCCCTCGCGTATAAATTTACTTCTTGTTTTAAACTTCAACTGTATTTTACCGCCTATAGATGAAATATTGTCTTCGGAGGAACTGTACGGCCATGAAGAAACTAGTGTTTATTTAATTTCGGTAATATTATCACAAAGATTCAAAAAGATGACCAACTGTCAAACCTAGAAATCCAATTACCATGTCCAAAAAAAAAAAAGTAATTGAAAGAAGAAAAACACTCATGTAAATCTAATGTAAATTAGCAAAGATTTTGTTTTCAAGAGTAGTTGTATCTTGTATGGTCATATTTGTGATTTCCAATCTTCATAGTAAATGTATTTTAGCTTTTGAGAGGAAACATATCTTAAACATAAAATAAGAACCAAATTTTTAGTTGATAGTAAAAACTACGTATGTATGGATGTATCCACCGTTTGTACACACAGAGCTACGGAACTGTGGGACCCCTTTGGCAGCTACATACATGATATACATCCTTGACTCCTTTGGGTGACAAGCTACGTTTCTTCTGTTTGGTACATTTATTTTCTTCTTCTTATTTTCTTATTCATACCGTATCATGCAGTTATTAGTTAGTTACTAAAAATAGCAACTTGTCTTTAGCCGCCAATTTGCACTTGCACGCGCGAAATTGTTGCACTCCACCACACATATAAATCAAATTCTCTCGTTTTTTTTTTCAAATGATAAATAACAAAGTCTATTATACTCTTATTGACATTTCTCTTATTTATTGAATTTAACCGGAAACTAGTAAAACAGTAATATCTCGACCGTTTTTATCCGTTAAGTTTATATATTTCTCTGTGATTTATATATAGGATTATTTTTGGTATATGTATATATTATCTTAGACCAATATCATAGACTAGAGAATGTATTAATCTTTTGACCAATAAAAAAAAAAGAAACTTAATATTTTAGCAGATTGAGTCAATTTCGATTTTTCTTCTCTACAGATGTTTTGACAATTGGTGAAATCAAAACAAGATCATGAAGAATTTGCAACATTAATCAGTCGTGCTGGCGTAAGCATGCATCTCTTTGTCATCGTAAGTAATCCAAAGACTTTAATTTTAACGGATTTGGTTTATAAATATATTTGGCATGAGAATGGCATGCGTGAAGATTGGAGTAATACACACTTTTTCTTGCTGAGTTGTGGAGTGACTATCACACACTCTCTTTAACTAATTGAGATGGTACGATGTTATCACGAGATGGTAACCAAAATAAAGAGTTGTGAAACATTTTTTAGCTCTATTTTAAGATGGTTTTACGTGAGAATGTTTGTTTTTGTTTTTAGTTGTTGCAAACTACATAATTGAAGACGATGCAATACATTATTAGGAGACAGTTGCTATTCTAACTTGAGCACTTTTTATAAAAAAAATATCCGCCGGCACATTCAACTAAAAGAAAAGACAGCAAAGCAAATGGATCAGCACAATTTTGTCCTAAAAATAGACAATATTTTTTGTTCAAAAAAAATAAACAAAAAACATAAACCAGTTTGTAAGAAGGGAATCTAAGGAAGAAGAAACAAAATCTAAAAAAATCTCTCCGGTTTCTTTGGACAAACAGACTTGTCTGAATCCTATTTCAAAGGAAATGGGATTTTTGTTGAGACAAAGATTGTGTGGGAGGAGGAAAACAGTCCGAACTTCAATCTCTTCCTCACATTTCGACTGCTAATAAAACAAGCCTCTCCCCAAACCCTTTATTCTTAGCCTTTCCCTAACAATGGCTCTATTAACTTTTCATCTTTTTAATTTGTAAATAACATTTTTTAAAAAGAAAAAAAAAAACCCAAAAAAATAATAAAAATAAAAGAATTAACCTGAGAATTAGGTTCAGGATGGCCTCAAGGAGCCGCTCCTATACACAACTCCTAGGCCTCCTGTCCTTTATCCTCCTCCTCTTCTTGGTCGTGATCACAACCACAACCACCACAATGGCGGTTCGTGTTGGAGTCATTCTTCATAAGCCCTCTGCTCCAAGCCTCCCTGTTTTCAGAGAAGCCCCGGCTTTCAGAAACGGTGATCAATGCGAGGCTGATCATCACATTCACATTGCCATGACTCTCGACACAAACTACCTCCGTGGAACAATGGCCGCCGTTTTGTCTCTCCTTCAACATTCCACCTGCCCTGAAAACCTCTCTTTTCATTTCCTCTCCCTTCCCCATTTCGAAAACGACCTCTTCTCCAGCATCAAATCCACTTTTCCTTACCTTAACTTCAAGATTTATCAGTTCGATCCAAACCTCGTCCGCAGCAAGATCTCCAAATCCATCAGGCAAGCCCTCGACCAGCCTCTCAACTACGCAAGAATCTACCTCGCGGACATCATCCCAAGTAGCGTCGACAGGATCATCTACTTGGACTCGGACCTCGTCGTTGTGGACGACATAGAGAAGCTCTGGCATGTCGAGATGGAAGGCAAAGTCGTGGCTGCTCCCGAGTACTGCCACGCCAACTTCACCCATTATTTCACCAAAGCATTCTGGTCAGACCCGGTCCTGGTCAAGGTTCTTGAAGGAAAACGCCCCTGTTACTTCAACACAGGTGTGATGGTTGTGGATGTTGACAAATGGAGGAAAGGATTGTACACACAGAAGGTAGAAGAGTGGATGACGGTTCAGAAGCAGAAGAGGATTTACCATTTGGGATCATTGCCTCCGTTTTTGCTGATATTCGCCGGAGATATCAAAGCGGTTAATCACAGGTGGAACCAGCACGGTCTTGGAGGGGATAACTTCGAAGGAAGATGCAGAACGTTGCATCCGGGTCCCATAAGTCTTCTTCATTGGAGCGGAAAAGGGAAGCCATGGTTGAGACTAGATTCAAGGAAGCCTTGTATCGTTGATCATCTATGGGCTCCGTATGATCTGTACCGTTCATCAAGACATTCATTAGAAGAGTAGAGGCAAAAAGAAAACAAACATAAAGAAGATTGGCACATATATATATATATATATATATATATATATATATAATAGGAGAGGAGAGGATCCAAAGCAAAGCAGGGTTTTTTTTTTTTAGCGATCAAAGAGAGCGAAAGTTTTCATTTTGGAAATCCAAACAAGTGTAGCAAAAAGAAAGAACTAATTTTTTTTTCTTCAACACACACTCTTAATGCAAAAAGACGTTGTGCATTGAGCTCAGTAGTGTTTATCACAAGAGATGGTATCAATCATCATCATTTTTTTTGTTCTTCTTTTTCTCCCTCTCTTTGATTCAACCCATAGAATATTCCGCGTGTAATATAATAGGTAGTATTCCTGCAAAAATGGCGGATTAAATTCATTATTTTTTCAATTAAAATTTCTACGATCCGGCACAGAAACTAGCGAAACCCGTCTAAATTCCCAACTACAGAGAGTGATCCAAGTCACCATAGCTACTAAAGCATTGATTTTTTTACAGAAGAAACCATGAGAATGCAGAAGTTTTTACCAGGATAAGTAGATGAACGTCTCGATTCTGCAGAATTCTCCGATCAGCAAAGGGAGCAATTGTATAAGATTCGATTCGAGCTTAATTGAAATCCTGAAGAACAAAAAAAAATCGAATTATTTATGGCTCATTTTGTTTCTTCACTGATATAAACCTTCTCTTTGCGGTGGCAGCTTTCTTTCATTTTGTCCTCTTCTGTTCTTCTGTATACGGAGGAAGTTTATAAAATTCAATTTGGTCTAACCTCGGTTTAGTGGAAGTTTTAGTTAAACCAAGATTGCTGAGCTTTATATATTCTTAGCTCTCTGCTTTTTCAATCCAAAGAGGACCTGTTAAACCAAGTCTCTCTGTTTTGGTTTAGTTTATGGCGGCAATTTCCGACGATACGCTTCCACCGCCGATCAATTTTTGACGGTTGTGAAAATAAAAGTGATATGTACAGAGAAGCTAAGATACGGAGATGAGCTCTCCTCTACTCATGGGCGAATCACTCGAATCTCAATCTACTGATTCTCTGATTTTCTGATTTTCTGATACGGATCAATTTGTTTTCCAACTTGTTTTCCCTTTCCTTTTCTTCTTCAAATTTGTAAACTTTATAAGGAGAAAAAGGGAGATCCTTTTATTAAATGAGTTGGAGTCCATGTACTATTTGTCCTTTAGAAAGTTAATAAATTAATCAAAAAAATTAGTTTTATTACATCAAATCTTAAATTTGGTCAAATGACGGATAAAAAAAGGGGGCTTTGCTTTGCTTCTTCTCATTCTCTCTCTCTCTCTCTCTCTCTCTCTCTCTCTCTCTGCTCTCTGTATCTCTGTCTATCTTCTTCGTTGCAATCCCTAAATTGTGTGTTCTTACCCTCAATCAATCTTCCTTACAAGGACAATGGGAACGTTCGAGAATTGAGACTCCAAAGTGAAGTCTAATCGGCATACAAACTGAAGCCTTTCGAGCTGTCTCTCGCAACCTCCGTCGGGTAAAGAGAGGGTTTTTTTTTTGGGTGTTTTCGCTCTGATTCGGTGGTCTCTGGTCGCTTAGATGGACATGGAGAGGTAATCTTCCAAGGAAAATCTCGTTGCTGATTTTGTGTTTTAGATTAGGTTTCACTCGGAATTTCTTTTCTCATTCAGATGTGTGTTTTGATCTAGCTGCACTTCACTTCTTGTCTGATTCTCTTTTCTCATTGTTTCTTTCTTTATTAGGAGATTTCCAATTCTTTCCCTTTTAGCATTTTTGGTTGTAGAAAGAAAGAATGTAGGATAACTAAAGATCTATGCTTGTGGAATAACATAGTCGTCCAACAAAAAAAAAAAAAAAAATTAGTAGTAATCTGTTTCGATTTTGTATCTACTACTGATTCTGTGTTGAACATTTATCTGTTCTTATTGCGAATATGTCACTAGGAATAATAATTGTTTGGATATGACAGTTGGATAGTAGATAACTATCGTGTACTTTTTCTTTTGCCTTGTTTGATTTGATGCAGTGCAGATACTGAGCCTACTAGCTTGAATTGTGGTAACAACATGGTTGTAAAAGCTTACCCATTAGGAATGGTACGGGTTATGAATAACAACGGCATTGGAGAAGACGAAGGAGACTCTGGAGTTGAACCATATGTTGGACTAGAGTTTGATACCGCAGAGGAAGCGCGTGAATTCTACAACTCTTATGCTACGCGGACGGGTTTCAAGGTTAGGACAGGTCAACTGTATAGGTCCAGGACCGATGGTACGGTTTCATCAAGGAGGTTCGTCTGCTCAAAGGAAGGTTTTCAGTTAAATTCAAGAACAGGATGTCCTGCGTTTATCCGAGTGCAGCGACGAGATACTGGGAAATGGGTTCTTGACCAGATTCAAAAGGAGCACAACCACGAGCTTGGAGGCCATGTGGAGGAGACTACTCCTCGTCCTTCTGTACAACAGAGAGCACCGGCTCCTACGAAGCTAGCCATATCGGTTCCACATAGGCCCAAGATGAAAGTTGTTGACGAGGCTGATAAAGGACGGTCATGCCCTTCTGGTGTGATCTCTTTCAAGCGCTTCAAAGGAGCTGAAGAGAGTGATGTGCAAACGCAGCAGCACAAGGCTACTGAGCCTCATGCAGGGTTGGAGTTTGGTTCAGCTAATGAAGCGTGCCAGTTTTATCAAGCGTATGCTGAAGTTGTAGGCTTTAGAGTTCGTATCGGCCAGTTGTTTAGGTCGAAAGTCGATGGATCGATCACATCCAGAAGGTTTGTTTGTTCAAAAGAAGGGTTTCAGCATCCTTCGAGAATGGGATGTGGTGCTTACATGAGGATCAAAAGACAAGACTCCGGAGGTTGGATAGTTGATCGTCTCAATAAAGATCATAATCACGATCTTGAACCTGGGAAGAAGAATGCTGGTATGAAGAAAATAACAGAGGATGTGACGGGAGGGTTGGATTCGGTTGATCTTATCGAGCTAAACGACTTCAGCAATCACATGAACAAAACCAGAGAGAACACAATAGGTAAGGAATGGTATCCAGTGCTTCTCGACTATTTCCAGTCAAAACAGGCAGAAGACATGGGATTCTTTTACGCCGTTGAGCTTGATAGCAATGGAAGCTGCATGAGCATTTTCTGGGCAGATAGCCGGTCAAGATTCGCGTGCAGCCAGTTTGGTGATGCTGTTGTGTTAGATACTTCGTATAGAAAAGGAGATTACTCTGTTCCGTTTGCTATGTTTATTGGTTTTAATCACCATAGGCAACCTGTGCTTCTTGGAGGTGCCTTAGTTGCTGATGAATCTAAAGAGGCTTTCTCGTGGTTGTTTCAGACATGGCTTCGTGCTATGTCAGGTCGTCGCCCGAGGTCTATTGTAGCTGATCAAGACTTGCCTATCCAGCAAGCTGTGGCTCAAGTCTTTCCCGGGACTCATCACCGGTTCTCAGCGTGGCAAATAAGGTCCAAGGAACGTGAAAATCTCAGGTCGTTTCCCAATGAATTCAAGTACGAGTACGACAAGTGTTTATACCAGACGCAGACAACAGTCGAGTTTGACACCATGTGGAGTGCTCTTGTCAACAAATATGGCCTTAGGGATAACATGTGGCTCAGAGAAATATATGAAAAGCGCGAGAATTGGGTACCGGCGTATCTTAGAGCCAGTTTCTTTGGTGGTATCCCTGTAAACGGCACATTCGAACCGTTTTACGGCACTTCTCTGAATTCTCTGACGTCTCTCAGGGAGTTCATCTCGCGGTATGAGCAAGGACTCGAGCAGCGCCGTGAAGAGGAAAGAAAAGAAGATTTCAATTCTTATAACTTGCAGCCATTTCTGCAGACAAAAGAACCCGTTGAAGAGCAGTGCAGGAGGCTGTACACTCTCACCATCTTCAGGATTTTCCAGAGCGAGCTCGCACAGTCTTATAATTACCTCGGTTTAAAGACCTATGAGGAAGGAGCCATCAGCAGATTTCTGGTGAGGAAATGTGGGAACGAGAACGAGAAGCACGCAGTGACTTTCAGTGCGTCGAATCTCAACGCGAGCTGCAGTTGTCAAATGTTTGAGTACGAAGGACTTCTGTGCAGACATATATTGAAAGTGTTCAACCTCTTAGACATTCGAGAACTCCCATCTCGGTATATACTACACCGTTGGACCAAGAACGCGGAGTTTGGGTTTGTGCGCGATGTTGAATCAGGTGTGACTTCTCAGGACCTCAAGGCCCTGATGATCTGGAGCTTGAGAGAAGCAGCTTCAAAGTATATAGAGTTTGGGACATCGTCTCTGGAGAAGTATAAGCTTGCATATGAAATCATGCGTGAGGGTGGGAAGAAACTGTGTTGGCAGAGATAAATAAGCAAACCAAGTAAGGTCATTTATCCTGATTATTCTCTCTGTTTCTCGAGTTTTTAGAGTCGAATATATCCAAATCTTTAAAAGCGTTTTGTGGTAGCGAGGTTGTTATATTTTCTGTTCTGGTCCTGACTAGGTTTGTGTGACTCATCGGCTTCAGTCTCCTCTCCATCTGTTCTGCCTTGTTGTGAATAACAGTATCATTTAATTGCATTCCTTTTCTGAAAAGCTTTTTGGAACAGTTCAGCCATTAGATTCAGGTTATAACGCAGGAGCTAACGAGCGTTGTCCTTCCTCTGTTACAGATTAAAAAGCAAGAGGTTTTGTTTGTTTGTTGTTGTAGCCTGTTGGGGTATTTTTGTCCTCTCCGTTTGAGGAAGATGAAGCCTTTGTTCATGGCAGCCGCCGATGTAAATCCTAACTCTTTTGTTAACTTCAGTCACCGCAAATGGTGGTGGTGGAGATGGCAGAGTCGTATCCGGTGGGGAGGGTTTAACGACGACTCGTCTCTTCTCTTGTTGCTTTGTTTGATGTTGTTTCCATAAATTAGAGTTTTTGGAAGATTCGAACATTTGGGCGGATCTATGGAATAGAATGTTTTCGGCAGCTTATATGAAAAATAGTGAAACAAAGAAGGATGTAATGTAATATTATCATCAAGTTATTTTCCATTCTCGCTAATCATTTTAACTTTCAAGCACAAACATTGCTTTAGTTTTTGGGTGGTTCTGTTCATTAAGATCACAAAGAAAGGCACTTTCTTTCATTTATCTAACGTGTAAAATTACGCTAACTAATAATAACCAAACGCTCTGTTCTTCAGCTCTCTATACTAAACCATAAGTGTTTGGTGAAATGAGGCTCTCAACGTAAGTATTGGCCTCGAAACCGTCACTGAGCTTAACCCCGCGAATTCCCAGGTTCCTCGATGCATCGGTCTCGAAATTGTACAACACCATGTCTCCATCAAGCTCAAGAAGCACCTCCTCACTGTTCTTAGTCGAACACAGCGGTTTCATCGACCTATACAACAAGCTGATCCGGATTCTTCTCCATGAACTTGCTTCCCCGTATTCATTCATCACCCATATGTCATCGTGCACCTCGTAGCAGCTATTGACAACACAGAGACGCCCATTGAGATTACCGACCACAAAGTTCTTGAACCTATGAAGACAATCCTCAGCTCCATCAGGCAATGGCATCTCTCTAAACTCCTCGGTTCTAAGATCAAACGCTAAGACCAGTCTCTGGTTGTGGTTACCATCTTCAAGTGTGAGCACCCAGTGTATCGCTCCTTTGAGATGCACACCGGAATTGAAGCCATCGTTGTGTTGATAAGTCAAATCACGTATCCATCTCCACGAGTCTGTCTTCAAGGAGTAGACACTAGCGTGGAGAACATCGTCGTTATCAGCGATAAGCTTCACTACTTTGTAATCACTGGTCAGATCATCGAAGCCAAATCCGAAAGTTTGGAACTGTTCTCCATATTCTTTGGATTTGGGAGGCAAAGTTTCAGGCAATCTCTTGGATTCTCCGGTGGTTGGGTTATACAAGAAGAGTGCGCCTTCTCCTGGAGAAATACACACTAAACCGTTGGAAGATCCGACGATCTCAACCCAGTTTCTTCGAAACGATTTCGCGTTAAGCTTAAGCATCACGCGACGATCATCTTGGTCAACCTCAGATCCACCACCGTAAAGATGATCTCTCACGTAAACCCTAATCATCTCATCGAAAACACTCGGGTCGTCTTTAAGCGGATAACTGAGCTCCAAAGCAACCAAATCTCTGATTCCTTGGCATCCGTCACCGATGGAATTCAAGTCCAACGCGTAAAGGTTATGTGAGGACACGATTAGCTTCCGGTGAACGGAATCGTTTCGCAAGGTCAGATCGAGGTGGCTCTTTGCGAAACCTGGATCCGATGATAGAGAGTGAAACAGCTTTGAGATGCACTTGAATCGCCCGATCGATTTGGCCGGCAATCGAATAAGAATTTCCCTGATTAGCTCTGGAGGAAGGACGAGCGATTCCGATGAGGCTTCTTGCTTGGTTTCTTCATTGCCGTCGTTGTCATCTTCTTCTCTCCGCCTTTCCCTCTTGGTCGCCTCCATCATTGCTTTTGCTTGCGTCTTAGAGGAAATGGATAGATTGTTTTCTATTGATTAGTTTGTTTTACTGATGATCCAGGTTTATCTCGGTAGTCTAAAACCGATTTTTAATCCCATCAGAGGAAATTGGGTTAAAATGATAACTTTCATTTGTTAAGCACCGATTTTGTAATTTCTCGAAAGTGTACATCTCTTTCTTCCTTTAGAGGCGCACACAAGCAAACATAAAAGAGAGAGTCCAAAAAGACGCGAAATTCTCTGAAACTATCAGTTGGCAAACAACTATGTCGTGCTTAGCTTGTTGCTGTGCGTCGGCGACTTGTGGGTTGTGCTCGTCGGTGGCTTCAGGGATTTCGAGGAAATCGGCGAGGATCGCTTACTGTGGTCTCTTCGGTGCCTCCCTTGTCGTCTCTTGGATCCTTCGCGAGACCGGTGCTCCGCTCCTCGAGAAATTCCCCTGTACGTTCTCTGATCCTTCTTGCTTTTGTCTCTGTTAATATCAGATGTTTCAGTGGGTTTCGTAAATATTATTATTATGTTCAAAAAATTTAGCTAAGAGATTTGATGATTTGAATTGAAACCAATCAGTTTCCAAATTGGGTTTTCTCTCGTCTTGTCAATTGAATCTCATCCGGTGGATAGATTTGGGAGATGACGGGATTTGCTAGAACGTTCTCTCCCTTTCTGCTCTAGCTTTTTGATTTAGTAGAATTTATTTTTTCATTTGTAGCTGCAACAGTTTGATAATTCCACTGCGGCTTCAGAAAATCAACCGGAGCATTGGAAAAGAAAATCATCGCATAATGAATGATGTATATTTCTGTTTTGTTTTTGTTTTTCTGTGGTTTAATAAATAGGGATAAACACTTCCGATACATATACAAAAGAATGGTATCAGCAGCAAGCTGTTCTTCGCGTGAGCTTTGGGAATTTTCTCTTCTTTGCGATATATGCTTTGATCATGGTTGGTGTCAAGGATCAGAACGACAGGCGTGACTCGTGGCACCATGGCGGATGGCCTGTTAAGATGATTGTCTGGTTTTTGCTTGTTGTCCTCATGTTTTTTGTTCCAAATGTTGTCGTCTCAATCTATGGTAATTCTTCTCATAGTTTCACACTTATGCCACCATCTCACAATATTTACATTTTGAGCTTAAAATCGGAAGAACTGACAAATACTATGTGTGATTATATACCGTTCTTTGATATAGCTTCGTACTTTTCTTTTTTCCATCTGATAAAAGATTGAGAAGTAAAATTGTACAATTTTCATCTCTTTTAAAGTGAAGTCTGTCACTTGATGCGCTTTTGTTTATATATAACAAGGCCATATATGCTTTTAATCTCAGTGCTTGTACATTCTTTCAGGAATTTTATCAAAATTTGGTGCTGGAGCATTTCTGTTGGTTCAAGTGGTCTTGTTGTTAGATGCTACACATAACTGGAATGATTCTTGGGTCGAGAAGGATGAAAGGAAGTGGTATGCTCAACATCTTTTCAATGCATCTTCCCTGTTTCTGGAAGTTTGATCAAGGATAATTTTATGATGTAATGGGATCTTTATTTATATAGGTTCGTCGCTCTGCTTGTCATATCTGTTGTGTGTTACGTTGCCACATACGCCTTCTCAGGAATCCTGTTCATGTGGTTCAACCCACCTGGTCATGATTGTGGACTAAATGTTTTCTTTATCGTCATGACGATGATCCTTGCCTTTGTTTTTGCCATTGTTGCCTTACATCCCGCGGTGAATGGCAGCCTTTTACCGGCATCGGTTATATCGGTTTACTGTGCGTATGTCTGTTACACGGGTCTCTCTAGCGAACCACATGACTACGTGTGCAATGGACTTAACAGATCCAAGGCAGTGACCGCTAGTACTCTAATACTCGGAATGCTCACTACAGTTCTCTCGGTTCTCTACTCCGCACTCCGAGCTGGCTCTTCCACCACATTCCTCTCACCACCATCTTCTCCCAGATCAGGTTCTTCTCCAAACTCTTCAATACGCATGAGCATATAGAGAGTCTGAAGTAGACTCGGATTTATTTTTGTTTTTGCTGGAAACGTTATTCGCAGAGGCATTGTTAGAAGACCCAGAGGATGGGAAGAAGAAGAGTGGTGGAGGCGAGGCAAGGCCTGTGAGTTACTCGTACTCTTTCTTCCATATAATCTTTGCGCTAGCGAGCATGTACGCGGCAATGCTTCTCTCGGGATGGACTGACTCATCAGAGAGTGCGTCTCTAATCGATGTGGGATGGACCTCGGTTTGGGTCAAACTATGCACCGGTTGGGTCACGGCTGCACTCTACATCTGGACACTCATCGCACCACTTATCCTTCCGGATCGCGAGTTCTACTAATGGGGCATATCGGTATTATAGTCTGCTGAATGTATGTATATGTTTATGTTTAGCCACCTTAAAGGTGGGTATGGTCTTGTAATGGTTATGGATGTAGCTCTTGTTAATGTTCTAGACTTGTAATTAAAACCTGAACTAAAAAAACCTTGAATGTTAGAAGTATTCTGTTGTGTTGTGGCAATAATTATAATTAAGTTTCACTTATGGTTGTAACTTGAATTTTGAAAGCAAATCAACAAAGACATAACATTTATTCCATTATTTTCTGAATTGGGATGATACCGTGAACATTATATATTATAAACATCATCAAACCTTGCAAACTGAAAATTAACTGTGACAAAAAAGGCATTAAAGTTATGGAAAACGGGTGAGGAAAAGCTTTCGGTTACTTCTAACATGGACGGACACTTGTCATTTGTCAACCATTTCAATCTGGTTAACTTTAGTAGACTAATCATCCATCCAGTGGGATAAATTGTTTAATCTCACTTTCTCATTATTTAAAAATAAATCATCTTTTAATTTTTAATAAACTATTCCATAATCTTACTTATCTTTACTATTAGATCACACTACTATTTAAGTTACTTTCTTATCTAACAATAATTAGAAAAATCATTTTACCTTGCTATGTCTTTATTCACTCACGCATCTCCTTTTATACCTTTTATCAAACTTTTAATAATTACAGTTAATTTTAATTAATTACTAATTGTTTTTTTAATAAATGTCTTGTTTAATTTTAATTTTGGCTATACTGAGCACGGAACATGTGATTTTTCTTTTTCCGTGTAGTATTTTCACTTATGAGAAATCTCTCTACCGGGTAGAGTTTTTATAATATTTTGGGGATTATTATTAACCCAAAAATGTATAGATACATAGAGGCTTATATGTAAAGGAGCCACCGTCGTCTAACATGCTCCATCTCCTCCTTGTCTCCGACGAAGATTCCACCAGCATGCCCTCTTCCCATGCCGCCTCTAGATCCGCCTCCAATCATAGCTCCTCCTCTTCCTCCTCATCTCTCCACCTCTGCAAGCACTCCCCCTCCGCGACTCTCGACCTTCTCATCCTCATCCTCGTCCTCTTCTCCGGCGCTTTCCTCCTCTCCTCCTACTTCTCCTATCTTTTCCACTCCTTCTCTCTCCTCTCCTCTCACTTCCCTTCCCTCTCCTCTCTCATCCCCTTGATCTTCTCCTCCGGCGACGACGACGACGATTATGATCTCCCCGGAATCCCTCCGGCATCCTACTTCTTCGCCTTCGCCGTATTCTTCGCCGCCTCCGTTGCGTTCCTCGACCTGTGCTGCGGGCCGAGATCGAGGAAATGCCGGAACCCGAAATGCAAGGGTTTGAAGAAGGCGATGGAGTTTGATTTGCAATTGCAGACTGAGGAATGCGTTAGATCGGGAGCTACTAAAGAGATCGATCGCTTGCCGTGGAAAGGAGGCAGCGAGAGCAATCCAGATTACGAGTGTTTGAGGGCTGAGCTTAGAAGAATGGCTCCGCCTAATGGCCGTGCCGTTTTACTTTTCCGATCAAGATGCGGCTGCCCCGTCGCTAAGCTCGAAGGCTGGGGACCTAAGCGAGGCCGGCGTCATAAAAAGTAAGTCAAACCCTCTTCCTCCTCATTACCAATCTTCGTTGCTTGTTTGAATTTGTTACCTGAACTCAAATCCTGGAACTTGCTTTCGCCAACTCTGAGTACTGATTCCGGAAACAGCTGCAAATTTGATCCCTTTTGATGACTATACCAGTGATTTATATAATCTCAGTTGCTACTCTTAGCCATTGATAAATGATTCATGAATTGAGTGAGTCTCTTGGTAAAAGAATGGTTTTTATACTCTTTGCGGTTTTGCTGATCAGATCCTCTGTGAATTCGACCACATTGCATCTTCTGAGTGAGAAATAAAATCGAATCCAATGGACATGATGTTTGGTGTTGTGATATCCATTTGTAATCCATTGAAACGGTTGATTATCATGGCACATATGCATCTAGGTATAACTGGACTTTTCAGTATAGTAGACTCGAAACTAAAGGATACAAGTACTGGCTGAGTCAGATTTGAAAAAAAATGGGAATTTGGTCATGAATTATGATTCTTCTGCCTTAGCTTGTTCTAATTAGAATCATGTTTAAGATCTAGACTACATTAAAGGCAGTGTCTTGTCTCATGATGTTCGAAGTGCTGATTCCACGGTTTAGGCTTATCGTAATAAAACCTAAGAGGCAAGGATTAGCAGCTTCTGTCTAGTTAATTTATCAGTGGGAAAACTCCAACTTTTCTGCAACTGTTATTTTTCAAGTTCTGCTGGTGGTTGGCTGTCCAATTTTTTTTTATTGCTTTGTAGGTAACTTGTACTCCTATAGACACATCTACTATAACTAAGGTCGTTGGTTGGTTACTATTCATCAGTAGATTTTGTGATTTTGTGTTCTTTGATCTCTTTGTTTGTCTGCCTCATATCTCTCATTTGATCAGTAATCATATTTACGCATTCTTAGAAAACATTTTAGTCTCAACTCATTCGATTTCTTCACTGATTCAGTTTACGCCTTTTGTCATGTGCAGATCGCAAGCGAACTTGGCTCTAAAGGGACGGGTAGACAATCGCTGATCAGGTCGATAGGAACTCTTCAATCTATCATTATATATTTATCACATTCAATGTTTGCAGAGTTCATCTTGGAAACTAGAGAAATCCGTACAGCTTCCTTTACGGGGGGTCTTCTTCTTTAATTCCTTTTACCTTTAGAAATGTTCCAATATTACAATTTGAACAATTAACTTGTTATTGGACCAAATTACATACCACGGCAAACTAAAGAAGAGGCAATCTAATTGCGAATAATTAAATGTCAAAAAGGTTGATATAAGATCTTTGATCATTTGTCGTGCTTATAACGAAGGTTCCGATGAGTCACTAGCTATATTATTAACTTTTGAGGTAAAATCTATCTGAATCTTTCTTCTGTTTTGTACGATATTCAGACTCCAGTTGCTTGCTTTAGTGTCTGTGACTTCCACTTTTTATATCAGACATTTTGAAACCAACTTTTGTTTTGTCCGCTAGTAAGACTTCAGTTGCTTGCTTTATTGTCTGAGACTTCAAAGGAGAGCTAAGTGATTTTTTGTATCAAACATTTTAAAACCAACCCAAGTCCTAGATTCATCACTTTAGTCGCATGAAACTTTTCCTTGAGAGAAGCGGTTATGGAGTCATAGAATCTTTGGGCCCCCAAAAAAAAAAAAAAACAACATTTCACTCTACTTGCTAGACAACACAGAACAATCACTAATCCTTTTACAATGACAAATGCACAAATCTGGACTCTTCTACAATTCTGTTTACCAAATGTCACCACCAACATCGGCCTCTCTCCCCCAGAGTTAGTTACTTAATGTAACCGCTGCTTCACTCGTCTCCCATTAACGTCACAACCATCAGCATAAAACTCCTTTCGATTCCCCGACGATGTTAAAGAATGCTCACTCAGCCTAGCCACATATTCCAGTAGCTCACTTAGTAAGCATGGGCAGCTTTCCTTCAGATAATCAAACCCATCCGTTTCCATCACAGCTAAAAAAAATTGCAAAATTTACACACAAAAGGGTGTTTTTCAGATTTCAAAAGATGATTTGATCAAAGGGACTCAAGCAAAATAGAATCATCTTCTTTTTTACCTTTCAGGTTTTCTGGCGAAGCTATGAATTTGAGGCATGCAGCTTTCAGCTGGAAACAATGATGCTGCTCTGCCAGAGCCAAAGTGGTTGCAACCGTGTTTATGCTGATTCCTTCACAGAGTTTTGACTCACAGATTGTTCTAAGCCGCTCAAGAGCATAACGGTCTGCAGCTGCAAGCAGATGCTGAGCCACAAGAGTCGATGCCCATTTCAAGTCTGTGCCCATTAAGTCTTGCATATCAGGTAATTCGTCCCAGTAGATAAAATGGAGCAACATCTGCAAACAAAGCACAATATTACAAAAGGAATCAGAAAAGGGATTTTGAATCAGCAACACTTCACTCTTAAATTTTAAGCATTCAGGATCTGAAACGCACATCGACTAAAGACCAATCGTAACAAACAAACCTAGCGATGCAAAGCAGAAAAAAGTTCCTACTCAACATTACTAGAGTTTGAAGCTTCTGCAGTCAAGTATGTCCAAGGGAAATGCATAAACATAGCATTACAGAGGGTATTATTTTGGCCATAACCACCTATAACAGAACATTTCAATATAGGTACTGAATACGAGAAATGATGACATTGCAGCAATGAAATAAGCAAACAGACATTCATGCAATGAGAAGAGAAGCAGAAAGATTAAACCTTATCCCGGGTGAGTAATATTTGAGAACAAGAGCAGCGCCCCAGGAGAAGGTCCCGGAATGTACACTCGTAAACAAACAAACCTGTACCATACCACAATCACTCACCCGAGAAAAGGCAAGGAACCAAAGCTATCTCTTCCTATTATGACCTTATAACACCTGACACTGAAACTAACAGCCTAAAGCTACAATTTTAGAATTCTAATAAGACATTCCAAGGAACAAACAGAAATAAACAAGAAAAAGAAGGTAAATGGAGGACCTTGAAAATGGGGGCTTCCATGTCTTCTATGTTTATGTATTTGGTATTTTGGTTTTTCAACGGGCCAAAAAGCTGTGCCCTGAAAACTGGAGAACGAGCTGCAAGAACCAATTTGTGAGCAGGAAATGTTTCTCCATCGACATGGAAAGTAACATCTGCTCCTTTCCTACTTTCCAAAAGCTTTCCGAACTGCTGACCCAAGTCAGAAACCGGCACCGGGATATTGTAACTCCTCGGCCCCTCCGTGCGTGACTTCACCACACCAACACAGCACCGAACCAAGAGGCAATTGTCCTTGAGATAATCCGATGACTCCAAAAGAGACCTCTTGAAAAACCGTTTGTATCCCCTGAATCAAGCAAACATCAATAAACTAATTAACATTGAAGGAACAGAAACATGTCAACATCCAATAAAGTCGTCAGTACAAGGTAGAGACTTGGCAAGCATCTCTTGAATTCACTCATAACTCGAAAATTTTCCAGAAAGGGATATAATTTACTCACCACATACTTCCTCGGTACTTGAGAGTATAGGGTCCGCTTTCTAGAGTTCTACCGAAATGGCTATGGACCTTGTGCCTTTCATTGCCGCTCTGATCCACGAGGGTCAGCTCAAACAAAGCCCTAACATCAGCTCCTTCGCTCGCGAGGGCTATGAACAGAGACACGTACACCGAATTATCCTCAGGACTCTTTCCATCTGGGTAGAAGTAGATCGCCCAGGAGTAGCCACCGACCATAAACGTATCCGAGGCGACGTATTTGCCTATCCCCATCCCTTTCGCGAGAGAGTAGCCGCTGATCTTGAATTCGTGGGAGCCATTGATGGTTTCCGTGCGAGAGGTCGACTCCGTGAGAGAGGGACCAGTGGATTTCGAAGATCCAGGAACCTCCGCGCAAACCCTAATTGCGTCCATCAACAAAGACGAGATCCAAGAATCACCGACTTTGTAAAAGATTGAATATTTCTTCGATCTTCTTGCCCGGAATAAGCGCGACTCTCAAGTCTTCGAATTTCGGACGAAACCGGGATTTTCCGGATTGATAGACGAAATCAGGGTCTCGAAATAGAGGGAGAAATACGGGAATTCGAGAGCGAAGACGAGACAAGAAAGGGGGGATTTTGCGGAATCAGAACTCAGACCGATAATCGCCGGTACTCGGAGCTGAATCGTCGTGGATCGTGACGACGACGACGTTGGCCGATACGAAACGAGAGGAAGAGAGATGCGAGAGAAGAGCACTTGATTATCGGTTTAACTTTACCTCAACAGTTTGGTAGGTAGCGAATATAAATGAAGTCCGAAATAAACAAATTAATTGTGTGAATGCCAATTCTATTGTATTTGGAAATTAATTTTTATTTAGATTAGGAAGGAAAATTAATTAATGCCCTTTTCTTCTCTACGTCTCAAAGATTTTTCTTCTTCAAAAGCTATAAGAGCATTTGTATTTTGAAAAGCATATCTAATACTCCATTACTCAATTTGTCAATTATGGTAATTTTTGGTAATGGAAAAAGAAAAACGATATACACTAGATGAATGCGCAAAATAAACTAGGATAGAAAATTGATAGCAAGAATTGACGCTTCATGATCGTAAAGGAATGTGTATAAATTAAGATATTATTTTTACTCTATACATTAACCGGCTTGATGATTACTGTATCTTATTGTTCCCTCACTTAGTCTCAGTATTCACTTCTTCAGTTTATCCATCTTCAAAATTTTGCATTTTATATTTATGATCCATTATAGTAAAAAATTATCGTGATTACAATATTGCAAATTAGCTTAGAAAAATCAGAATCATTAAACCAATAATGTTTCGAGAAATTTATTTCAAATATATTTTTTCCCAACAAAATGTATTTCCTTTTTTTTTAAGGAGAAGATAAAAAGAAATTACAAAATGGAAAACTAAAAAATGAGACCTTTGAACAAGCAAAAGCCCTAGATATGGTGGTAAGAGAGGAAGGATACAGTTAAAATCGCGCCAAAGCATCGAGAATATCGGTAGCTAGAAGAACCCGAAGAGAGTATTCCTCGCCGAGTGATCCAAAGACTTGTCCTTTACTACTCAGATGTTTCACAGGCTCTCTTCCTCTTTCTCTCGCTCCATCATCTTCCCCAAATCCCGCTCTTTTCCTCAACATCTCCGTCACGCACCTATCCTCTCTTATTCCTCTTTGAAAATGACCGATACCCAGACGCCCGACAACCTCAAAACCCCGAATTCGTCCCCGATTCCGTCTCCGACCAAACCCGAAACCCTTCGCTCCCTCGAATTTCAAATGGGTTCCTGCTTCAGCGTCGATCCGATCATCCCGCCGCCGAATCAGATCGTCATCGTCATCAGCGGTCCAAGCGGAGTCGGTAAAGACGCGGTGATCAACAAGCTTCGAGAGGTTCGTCAAGGTCTTCATTTCGTCGTTACGGCCACTAGCCGTCCGATGAGACCCGGTGAAGTAGACGGGAAAGACTACTTCTTTGTCTCGAGGGAACAGTTCTTGTCAATGGTGGAGAAAGAGGAGCTTCTGGAATACGCACTCGTTTACGGCGAGTACAAGGGAATTCCGAAGAAGCAGATTCAGGAATTCATGGCGAAAGGGGAAGACATTGTTCTAAGAGTGGACATTCAAGGAGCTCAGACGCTGAGGAGGATTCTTGGTAGCTCCGCCGTGTTTGTTTTCATCGTGGCGGAGAGCGAGCTTGCGATGGTGGAGAGGTTGATTGATCGGAAGACGGAGAGTCAGGAGGAGCTGCTTGTTAGAGTCGCCACGGCGAGAGAAGAGGTTAGGCATCTGAAGAAATTCGATTACGTTGTGGTCAATGCCAAAGGGAGGCTTGACGATGCGGTTAACCGCGTCGAATCTATTATCGACGCCGAGAAATCTAAAGTTCATCAAAGAGTTGTTCGGATTTGATGTGCAGGTACTACTTGCTTGCTTTAAAAGAATCTTAATTTTCTAAGTGTCTTCATATAGGGGGATAATGTGAATGATTAAATATGATACCTTTACTTGTTTTGATTGAATTGAGGAATATGAATTAGCACCATGTTTTGATGGGTTTCTTTACATTGCTACATAACGATCATGCATCTAAGCTGTTAACATAAGCAAGCTCATATGGAGTGCTAAAACAAAACAAAACAAGCAAAGGGCTAGAGAAACCATTCTAACCAAACTTTGAGATAGGGAGATTTTACCGCAGAGGATTGAGCGATGATTGATTAAGTTGTTCACAGTGATCTGCTTTTGTCGCTGTTCTTGTCACAATGCCGATACCTTTCTGTTACTTATTTGATTTCTATGGTCATTTGTTGGAAAAAATCTAGCTAACCACCTAAATTAGTAGATCCAGCATGCTCCAAACTGTTTTTGAATCCTTTGAAATCATTCTTCCCTAGAACTAGAAGACTTGCAAGAAATTCAGAATGTCTGTACACATGTTTGTTTGTTTCTGTACGGATAACATATTCTCGATGCTTTCTTGCAGATATCATTGTCTGGAGCATATCGCTCGCTGTCTCCAGACACTGTTATTGCGGACCAAATTAGTTTTTGTTCCGGCATGCGTAATTTCGTTCCAAGGTGAATCCTCCTCAGTGTTTACGAAGACTCATATCTTTAACACTTTAAGATTCTGTTATTATGATCCTCAAAAGTTGATCGATCAATCCTTAACATGATGTAATGTAGCATTGTTGAGAATAGTTTAATTAGTAACTTTACAAGATGGCGAGAGGCGGCTGAGTTCCAAGAACTCCGGAACATGTTTATGTTAGTTTTGAACCCTTTTTATAATTCGTAAACGTATAATTTCACAGCTGGGTTCCTTTAATTTTTTTTTAAATGTAAAAAAGAAAAACGTATAGTTTTATAAATTAATGTGGAGAGGATGACCCAGTTTAAAGTCTTTGAGGTTGACACAGGAAGGGTTGTGCTGGAATCTAGACTTCCCAAGTCACCGCCCATAAACCATAATCAACCACTTCCCATGAATTATTTGGTTACGACTTACGATTAGTTAATAATATACTCCACGTCAACTCTCAAATTTCCCGATCATTCATTACTAATCTCAACATACAACATAAAATGTTGAATATTACATTGGGGGCTACGCTCTTCAAACAGATCGATGCTAATTTTGTGAGATAAAAACGGCCCAACAAGTATAAAATGTATAAAAGGAATGTATCGAACATTCTAATTAAGAATTTTTCTACGTTTTTACTAGCTGTGTGGTTTTATGTAAAAAGATGATGGCCTAATTCTAGTGGTGCGTATATGCAAGTTCTTGCAAATCCAAATTCAATTTAATATTTCACAAAAAGGAAAAAAAAAATAAAAAAAATTGTGCTTGCTTGTTAAGGACAATCAATTTAAGGTTGTTTGGTTCGTTTGTGACAACAACAAAAAAGGATTAGCGTCGGCTTTGAGAAAAAGATAAGTCAAGCAACATACTCTTTTTTCAGCAAGCCAAGCGATTAGAAGAACATAAAAAAAAAAAAAAAAACATACAAAGAAGCTCGTCTTTCTCATGTAATGATGATTGGATAAAAGAAGCTTAGATCAAACTCTTTTCATTAATTTATAGGAGGAAGTGACAGAAAATAAACAGCAATTATAAGTTAGACTTTCTTGTACACTTCCTTTTCAATTTTTGCCTCACTGGTGTCTTCCTCTCCACCCTTTGCATTTCTTCTGCCTTATCTATCTTACACACACAAGACACAAGTATATGCAATATAAATAATCATATGCTTTTTTCACATTTGTATCAATCATTAACAACTCCTAAACTTAACCCAAAAAAACATATAACGAAAAGTATATTTTAGCAAGGTTTAATGGATTCCGAGAAAATTGGAGAGGATGATAGGAGCATACATTTGCAGGTTTTATTTTCTTAAAACGACATACACAAGTTTTTGTTCTTCATACTTTCTCCTTCGCTTTGGATTTTCTAGGAATACTGAGCTCTTTTCAATTTCATTTCTTTTACACAATCTAGTTCATAAACATCAGACGTCAAGACAATCTTAGGTTTCGATTAGTGTCTAACACATTTTCAAATATTGTTGGTCATGTAGATTTGATCAGTGCATATTTGAGATTTTTTTTTTGGTAAAATGTATATTTGAGATTACGTGGCTCGGTTTGCTCTAAAAATGTATATGAATTTCACTTATATTTGACTTATCATTATTGATCTCCTCTCGATCTTTCAATTAGAAATTTCATATAAGTAGCTATAAACCCAATAAGATTCGCAATTTGCAGCAAAGATAACCAAAAGTATGTAATCTAGTAGTTAAACATGCCTCTCTCTCTATGTAATCTACTACGTATTTAAAAGAAAAATTCTAATAGCAAACATGCAAAATTGACGTCAATACGACGAAACAAACGTTTTCAAGATTAGTAGAAAAATAAACTTTGAAATAAAAATAAATTAATAAATAGGTATTGGAGCTACAAAAATTAGAGGAAGCTCGAGGCTCAAGCGACACCGTATTGGAGTTCAGAAACAGCGTCGAGAAAGGAGACAGCGGCGAGACCGCAGACGCAGCGTCTGCCTCTTCCGCGATCGCGTTCCACAGATCATCATCCCCAGCGCCGGAGCAAAAGCTCACACTTTTCGCTCTCCGTCTTGCGATTCTCGAGAAAATCGCTACTTGCCTCGGAACCTTAGGTTTCATCTGGGCCACGGTGGTTCTGCTCGGCGGATTCGCGATCACCCTCGAAAAATCCGATTTCTGGTTCATCACAATCATTCTCCTCATCGAAGGCACTCGAATCTTCAGCAGAAGCCACGAGCTCGAGTGGCAGCACCAGGCCACGTGGACGGTAGCAGGCGTCGGAATCAGTAGCTTCCGCGCTCTCCAGTCAAGCTCGATCTCACTTCTCAGAAATCTGAAACGAATCAGGTTTTTGCTGATTCGAATCTGAATCGCTTCGGTTAAGGATTACATTTGATTTGAGTAATGATGATTGCGTTTCTCTGCAGGGAAGGATTTTTCAAGCCAATCCTTGAAAGCCGATATAGAGAGAGCCACTGCGTCGTCGGAGGACAAGAGACCACTCGGACATGGAAGAACTCAGAGGTTCCTCTTCTTCCTTACGCGAGATGGCTTTATATCTCCAGCTACGTGAGCCGGCTTCTCTACTGGCTCCAGCTCCTCTCAGCAACCGCCTGTGTGGCTCTGTCTTCTTACAAGCTCGTCAGGCACAACTACGGAGACTTTCAGGACGGAGAGATGGACAAAAGGAACAGAAAGGCCGCTCTTAGCATCTTCTACTCGCTTGCGCTTGCTGAGGCGTTGCTGTTTCTTGCGGAGAAAGCTTACTGGGAGTGGCAGGTCAGTGTGTGTAGCTTGCTTGAGAATGTGACTAGAGAGTGTGGCTTTGGGGTTACTGGGATGGTCTCCATCAAGAGGTTCTTTTATGATGCTTATTCAAAGTCTGTCAATGGAAGTATCTTTGACGGTGTGAAGATGGATATGGTCAGCTTTGCTATGGATCTATTGGGCTCGAGCTGCTCCGATGAACAGCTCATAGGAGCAAGGATTCTCAGGCAGTTTGCGGTAAATGAGCTGTACGCAGAGGATACGCTTCAGAAGATCGGAATCAACTTACCCGTCATTGAAAGGTTTGTTCTTTACAAAGTAATTTTGCGGAGAACTTAATCATATTGAAATTGCAGTTTTGAAAAAAACTAAGCTTATCTCATTCTTGCCATAAACGTATTGTGTTACATATTACTACATCTTCATCTACATATCGGATTTTTAAAAAACTTTTCTTGTTCAGGTTGGTGGAGATGCTGAACTGGAAAGATCTGCAAGAAGAAGAGATTAGGAGATCCTCTGCTGAGATATTATCGAAACTCGCAGGCAAAAAACAGAACTCTCTCAGAGTTGCTGGAATCTCTGGTGCGATGGAATCTATTTCATCACTGTTACACAACACAAGATCTTTAGGTGAAGCTCCTGACGAGATTGGAGAGAAGAAAACCTTCCACGACCATCATCTACAATACGATTTCTGGAGGTTCAACAATTTAGGCCTCGTGATTCTAAAGAAACTGTCCAGAGATCATGACAACTGTGGAAAAATCGGCAATACAAGAGGGCTTCTTCCAAAGATTATTGATTTCATGCACACAGATGCAACACTCTTGAAGGACGAGAACGCAGATATGGTTCTGTCACGAGTCCTAACAGTGAAAAGGTCCCTGCAGCTAGTGAAAATGTTAGTAAGCACAAGTGGGAACACTGGGAAATGTCTCAGGAGAGAGATCTCGGAAATCGTTTTCTCAATCAGCAACTTGAGAGATGTACTGCGTCATGGAGTGAGATACCCGAAACTGCAGAAGCTCGGGATTGAGATCCTGAGCTTCCTCGCGCTTGATACAGATGCACGGGAAAGAATTGGCGTGACTGGAGGTGTCTTGAAAGAGCTGTTCAACATTTTCTTAAAAAGCAAAACACATGAGGATGAGAATGAGAGCCGTGTCAGAATCGCTGCAGGGGAGGCTATAGCTATGCTTGCTTTGGAGAGCAGTAGCAACTGCACCCACATTCTAAAGCTCGGAGTCTTGAAAAGACTCGTGGATGCTCTACAAGTTCCTTTGGTCCGTGTAAATGCAGCGAGAGTGCTGAGAAACTTGTGCATATATTCTGGACATGAATGCTTCCTTGACCTGAGACTCATTAAAGCAGCAGCTCCTACGGTGAGTATGTAATGTCGGTATAAATGCGATGATAAACCCTCAAAATATTCAAAACCTGTTTCGTTTTCTTGCAGGTGTTGAAGTCAATAACATCAGGAGACAACAAATTACAGGAAGTGATGCTAGGGCTAGCAACACAAGTGTTCAAACTAATGAGTTCAGAAGAAGCAAACGTCGTTGTGACGGAATCAGGGATCAAGAAGCAAGAACTGGCGAAGTCACTGGTTTCGATTCTGAAAAAGCATGACAAGCCATCGATCAAAGTTCCAAGAATCAGAAGGTTTGTGATCGAGCTGGCGATATGGATGATGGAAGATGATGTGGAGAACGTTGTGGTGCTCCGAGATTTGGGTATGGAGAGAGAGCTCGAGAAGGTTCTTGAAACTACGGCTGAGCTCGAGAACTTCGATGTCTTCTCGGGCGCGGTTGGAGTGAGCCGCCATTGCAGAACGGTTCACTGGTTAGCCGAGTTGGCTTTGAAAATGCTCGAGTATGAACAATCACAAGTATCATTTTCCACTTGATAAACTCAAAGCTCTCGGCAACAAAAGCTTTAACTATTACATATGTATTTATTTTGTAAGAAAAAAAAACATGTAATAATTATGAAGTACAGTATATTCGTTTAATTTATTCTTTATTTTGACAACATTTAAAAACTTGCTCACAATTCAGATTTTATCAAAGTAGCTAGCTTTTCTGTCTAATTATTTGAAAATCTAGTAATTTATTAGAATGGGAAAAAAATTGTCGGTGGCGCAAGAATTCATCTAGTAGTAAATAATTAAATTAAATGAATATGTCATCTTTATCACAAAAATAAAACGGTTTCACGGAGGAAAACAGGAAAAACAGAGTGTGTGTATTTTGTTCATCTAAATAAATTTTGAGAATATATATATGTATTAATTTAGGATGAGGTCTCTACTCTCGCAGTTACAGAGCCTCCACTCTAGAAAAAAAAAACCTAGCCTCTTGAAGATCAATCCTTCAACAGCTAAACGATGGCTCTGTTTAGGAATAATCGACTCCCTAATCTTAAGCTCTCTCTTCCACAAGCTTCTACTACTTCCCTCCCCTGTTGCTTCCCAATCGTTGCCTTTGCAACAGCCTCCACTACAGTTACTTCCTGCTCAAGCAACACCGTCTCTGCTTCTGATTTGGACAGAATCAATGTTCTCGGCAACGGAAACGGCGGAACCGTCTACAAAGTTCGCCATAAAACAACCTCAGAGATTTACGCGTTGAAGAAAGTTAAAGAATACTTGGATTCTGCTTCTCGCCACCAACTCCTCCGAGAGATCGAAATCCTCCGCCTTGTCGACTCTCCTTACGCCGTTAAGTGCCACGACATCTTCCAGAAACCTTCCGGAGAAGTCTCTATTCTGATGGAATACATGGATCTCGGTACGCTCGAGTCTCTAGTCGTCACAGAGGATCAGCTCGCTTTGATCGCTCGTCAAGTTTTGAAAGGGCTAAATTACTTGCACGAGCTCAAGATCGTTCATAGAGACATCAAGCCAGCGAACCTGCTACGTAACTCGAAACAAGAGGTCAAAATCGCAGACTTTGGAGTGAGCAAGATCGTGGTCAAGTCTTTGGACAAGTGCAACTCATTCACCGGCACTTGCGCTTACATGAGCCCCGAGAGATTCGACAGTGAAGCTGCTGGTGCAGAGGAAGAAAGCGAATCAAACGTTTACGCTGGAGATATATGGAGTTTTGGGCTTACGATGCTCGAGATCTTGGTGGGTTACTTCCCGCTTCTTCCTCAAGGACAGAAACTAGATTGGTGTACGCTAATGTGCGCCGTGTGCTTTGGAGAACCACCGAAAGCCCCCGAGGAATGCTCCGACGAGTTGAAGAGTTTCATCGATTGCTGTTTACGCAAGAAACCTAGCGAGAGATGGACAGCTTCACAGCTTCTCAGCCACCCTTTTCTTCTCCTCCAAGATTAGGGTTAGGAAATATATCTCTGAAGATCTTGTATTCGAGTATTGAGAATTCTAGAGTTTTTTAGTGAATCAGAGAGTTCAAAAGACACACCGATTTTTTGGTGTAATTAACTCTTGTAAATATATAAGATGGGTGTCTCCACATTGGAGATATGCACTCCTTAAATCTTTAAGTTGTGTCTTTTACGTTTCCGCAAGAGCGAAAGAAAAAAGGAGAATAAGATTGGCGACTAAGCTTAAGAGTGATCCTCATTGAATGTTTTTCTTGGATTAATCATAGTTTAATCCTTACAAACCGAACACTAGTTAAGGGCTGTCGATAAATAGGTCGTTTCAGTTTTGGTATATTCAGTGACAAAAGGCGTATTCAAAATTAGTATCTTCTATTTTTTTTTTTTTCCAATATTATACTATGTTTTGAGTCTTTTGACTCAGCAAAGGTTCAATATTATGTGAGCAAATTTTCTTGATTAACCCAGACCTCCTGAATGATTATAGAATGTATGTGAAATTACCCTTGAATGCTATGGCAATTTTTCAAGGTTATGAATGATTTTGTTTCCTTTGGGATTGACTTCTTACTTATTTAACAAAAAAAAAGGATTGACTTCTTACCCAAGACGACATGCACACCAGTCACCTTATGGTTTATTCTACACACACTTGTTTATATTAGGTTCTAATTTTTATTTTTAATATAGAGAATGGTAAATTAGAAAACTCTCTTTATAACACTTAAGAAAACAAAATAGACACTTTTATTAAGCTAAAGTGGTATTGAAAATAGACTAATACTAATCTAAGATAATCAGAAGAAGAAGAAAAAGCTTATAATTGTCATATCTAAAACTGTTAGTTATACTAAATCCCCAACGGTTTTTTTTTTTTTGCTTTAGATAATTATAACATCTTGCTTCGATCTCTTTTAACCAAAATATCTTAATTGGATTGACATTGGATAATTACTTTTTTTTTTTTTGAACATCGACATTGGATAATTACTTCTTCTTCTTTTTTTTTTTGGTAGGAACTGATTTCCTTTTCAAGTACCCAATGACCTCTTATTTATGATCCAAAATTTTTGTTTTGACTTTTGACAAAACAAAATATAGAAATTTTTATTGCCAAATAAAAAGATTTAGTATTTAAGTATATTAGTTTATCTCCTGCAGAAAATTTGGAGCGGCGGTGCGCGGCAACAAGAAAACAAAGGCATGTGACGCCAATCACCACCAATACACGACGAATTAAATGTTAAACTGAATTGACAAAAACACCCCTAACGCCACACCGACGCGACTTCTGAAACGCTTCGTTGCCCACATGTCGCTGCTCCATTATTCACCGCGGTCATCGGCCTCGGGTCATGGTAAATCCAGTGGAACAACAGGGTTATAATCGTCCATACATAAAGTTGTCTTTTTCTCCCCTTCCACCTCCATTAAAACGCTTTTTTGGCTCCACTTGGGATGTCCTAAATTTTCCTGGAGATCAATTTTTTAGCTGTCAAATTTTGATTTTTTTTCCTTCTTCTTTTCCTTTATAAATGTATAATATATGAATGTTTGGTTTGTGTAGTTGAAAATTTAAGACTCTTAATCCTCCTCTAAGTTCCTTTTTCTCTTTTCCGGAAATTGGGAGGATTTTGAGTTTTGGGTGAATCTAAGAATTTAAACTGCAAAACCTAGAAGGACCAGGAAAGTTTTTGTTTTTTTTTCCTGTTGAAAGAAGAACGAAACTTGTGGATTGTGAATCATTCATCGTCATCATCATCTTCTACTAGTTCGGACGAGAGATTATCCATCATTGAAGCATTTAAAGTAAGTTCAATGTTTAATTTATCTTATTCAAAGTTGGGGTTTTTGACTTTCCATGTATTCTCGGTAGAGAAGAGAATCTAAAAGCGTATGCTTTACTAAAAAAGAAACAAAAAAAACTCGTCTTGGAAATTGGCTTGTCGTAGAATTGATTTTTTTTTAGTTTTTATTCTTTTGTGATTTTCTCACCTGAATCCTCCTTTCTGGGTTTTTGTTTCTGTCGGATCTTCAGATGCCGGAGAAAGGAGCGATTCTATCTCCGGTGCCGAACCAACTGTTGATTCTACGGCCAAGTCCTCTGCTTCAATGGCGGCTTGGTGCTCTTACAGCACTCGTCTTCTTCCTCATGTTGGTCGTCTGGAGCATTGATGGTTGCTGGATCCAAAGCTTCGTCGATCCATGGAGATTCAATGCATACTCCGTTCGACTCAATTCTTCTCCGTCTCCTTCTCCTTCACCGTCTCCGATACCTCATCTAGAATCCCTGAAACCCCACCGACAATATCTCACCCTGAACACGACGACGGGTCCACGAAATCTGGATCAGAAGAAGACGAATCTCACTTCAAACTCGACCCGGGTCCAATTCGGGTGGATCACCGCCGAATCGGAGAAAAACTTCACGGCGAATCTGTTGAGAAATTGGCTGGCTCCAGGAGGAGCGCCGTGCAGAGAGGCGAAGACCGTCGAGATATCCGTTCCCGGTCTCGACGGGGTTGATTCAGTGGAGCTAACCGCCGGCGAGATCCACGAATTCAAATTCCAAGCTCTAGACGAATCTAAACAACCCGTTTGCATCGGCGGTGACTATTTCGAAACTGATTTATCCGGCGAGAGCTGGAAATCTAGACCGCCGGTGAAAGATTTCGGCAACGGAACATACTCAATGTCGTTACAGGTTCATCCTGAGTTCGCCGGAGAATTCAACCTCACCGTCATTTTGCTCTTCCGCCATTACCAAGGCCTCAAGTTCAGCACCGCGCGTTTAGGCTTCGACAGAAAGCTTCGAAACATCCGATTACGTTTCGTCAAGAAGCCTGGCGTTTCTCTGCCGGAGCTCCGGTCATGTAAAAGATCCGACTTTACCCGGGACGCTTGGTCGGGACGATGGACCAGGCTCGGGAAAAACGACGAGTGCCAGATCAGCAACGACGGGCGTTACCGTTGCCTCGCCGCGGATTTCCCTTGCCGGAAACCGTGGTGCGACGGAGCCGTCGGAGCAATAGAGAGCAATGGTTGGGTTTACTCTAGCCATTGCTCTTTCAAGCTCTTCTCCGGCGATTCGGCTTGGGATTGCTTGAGAAACAAATGGATTTTCTTCTGGGGAGATTCAAATCACGTGGATTCGATCAGGAACATGTTGAATTTCGTCTTGGGTCATCCTGAGATCCCAGCTGTGCCGAGAAGGTTTGATTTGAAGTTCTCGAATCCGAAGAACTCATCGGAGACGGTTAGGATCACGAGCATCTTCAACGGTCACTGGAACGAGACAAAGAACTATCAAGGCCTGGATTCACTTAAAGACCGAGACTTTAGAGAGCTGCTCAAGAAATACTTCTCGGAGAAACGTGTTCCCGATGCGATGGTTGTGAACTCGGGCTTACACGACGGGATTCACTGGTCAAGTCTTAGAGCGTTTGAGAGAGGAGCCGAAACCGCGGCTGCGTTTTGGAGAGAGGTTTTCGAGGCGGTCAAGAGCAGGGGATTGCAACCGCCTGAAGTGGTTTTCAGGAACACGATCGCGACGGGCGGTTACGCGAGGACGCTAGCGTTTAACCCGAGCAAAATGGAGGCGTTTAATGGTGTGTTTCTTGAGAAAATGAGGGATGCAGGATTAGTCACGAGCGTGGTGGATAATTTCGACATGACGTATCCGTGGCATTATGATAACCGGTGCAACGACGGAGTTCATTACGGAAGAGCTCCGGCGAAAATGCGGTGGAGGGACGGTGAGATCGGACATCAGTACTTTGTGGATTTGATGCTCGTTCATGTGTTGCTAAATGCATTGTGTGTGAGATTGTAGTAATGGATTAGGAGTCACGGATTCTTTATTCATGTGTAGAAGAACTTTTTTCTTTTTTTGGACTATACTAGATTCTTATTATTTGGGATAACTCAATTCAAGCTTGAGTTTTTTTGTTGTATAATAGCGATAGATTGGAGCTACATTTGTGTAATATATCATTTTTCTGATAATAATAATTTTGAACTTTTCAGTGGAGATGGGAACAAAGTTTATAAAACATAGTTCAACTATAAAACAGAGGTTTGAGTTTGGAAACAGCTCTGTTCTTATTTATTATACAACAGAGGACTGAAATTGGAAATAGAACCTCCAACAACTTAGCATGGAGGCAGAATATGGGATTTTTTTTCTATAGGTTGTAAGTTAGTATATGGTAAATTAACTTGTTTAGTGATATGTACCATTGTCTCATCTTTCTTGATACTACTATCCTTTCGGTTTTAGGTTTTGTTTACATTATATGCTTATGCGGATTGGCAAAACCTTTTGTTGCAGTTTTAATCAGTTTCACTAGCAATTGAGATGTTGTGTTTTTAAGTTTTGCAACAAGAAAACGATTTGAACTTCTTCGGATCAAACCTGCAGAAAGTAGAATTCTTTTTCTTGTCCCTAGCTCTTATCTCTATCACCGATCTAACTGGATCATCAACAAACGATAGTGTCATTAAAGTTCACCTCATTGTCTGTGGAAAATATGAATTACAAAAGTGTTAAGTTCTCGATTAATTGGTTTGTATAAAATATAAAAGCTGAGTGAGAAAACATATACTAATACTCTCCATATAATTTTAAAAGCAGGATATATCTTTTTTTTGGTCAACAAAGCAGGATATATCTTAATATGAGAAAAGGAAAAAGAAAGAGACCTGAAGGGATTAAAAAATCAGGGACTGTACAAGGCACATAATGCAGCAATTAATCATTCAATTTGGGTCCGATACTCAGATGAATAATCTTTATCATTGTAAAGTCTATGATTAGAATAAAAAGGCGATAATTGGAAACCAAAAGGGAGATTAAAGTTGCCTTACTTCATAATGATGAAAGTTCAAGTGTGTGTGTTTTACAAATTTTATAAATATATTGTTTTCTTTTGCAAGGAGGAAGCGAGGTATATCATCTTGTTAAATAGAAGTAACGAAGTATTTGTCGGCGTCTTTGATTCATCTTGGCTTATTGGCTACCCAAATACCAATTTTCCTTCACCACATATATATAACCGATTTCCAAATATTTGGATAAGCATTCTTCGATTTATTGGTTAATATGCGAAGCATAAAATTGAATATTTAATTTGTTTTGGTCCATTAGTTTTTGTTTTTATTTGTAAATCAAATATATCGAAAACTAGACCCATTTTGATTATATTGAGTCACAAGACACTTTTTTTGGAACAAAACCTAGATCAACACGAGGAATATCGCTACAACAAGGATGGACATCCCGTTATCTGGTTTAATATGGTTAAGATATTTTCATTCTTTCTTTTTCTTCCGTGAAGAATGACCAAATTGAAATGGTTCTTTAGTTCAGTTGATTCAATTTTTCGTGGTCTGGTGGTTTAACTGGGTCTGGATAAAATAAACTTTCCCCTTTGTCCAGCAAAACTTTTGTTACTAGTAAACCATAAACGTTTGTTATTTTCCTTTAAAGTATTTACTCTTCTTATTATTACGTACAATATATGATATTACTCTTTCATTTCTTATTTGGCACACATATATATAATACACAATAGAAAATCCAACATCCCACTCTTGTGAGCCGTAAAAAAGAAGACAGAGAGAGAAGAAAGAAAATGGATATGATGAAAACATCAAAAAAGAAGTTTACAAAAAAGATGGTGGAATCTATCAAAGACAAGCTCCCAAGGCTCAGCCTCCTCCTCCTCTTCCTCCGACAATGCTACGGAGGTTGCGGTGACCGGACCCACTTACTCCCTTGCTCCATCGCCACCACATCCACCCGCTTCTGGAACCTTTCAGACCGTCCCGTGGAGCTCCAGATTCGAGTCGGTTCAATCCTTAAACGGGTTCACACTCTCAAACCCGGCCGTTCCAAGAAGCTAAGACACAGTAACATCCAACGAGCCTACGTGCCTGACCAGGAAGGACACAGATGGTTGTACTACGACGACACATGTCTACCTTACGTATGGGTACACGAGACCGGTACGGACTTGTCGAAGATGGTGAAGCAACAGTACGTGAGTCTCGAGGATCTGAGGGATTACTCGGAGATTAGGGTTTTTAAGGATTTACACAGAGGTTGTGTCTCTGTTGAGAAGAGAGACAGATCTTCTGCTATTTGTTGATTCTCTATCTCCTTCTTCAGTTCTCTTAATTTTCTCCTTGTGAGATTTATCATTATTAGCTAGTTGCTTTGAATAATTAAGATTACTTGTTACCAAAAAAAATGATTATTATATTTTATATATATATGTATTTTATTGTGATACATGATGCAGTTTCTATCTATGTGCAACTCCAGCTCCAATATTGACTCTCTTCTTGATTTTGTTTTTATTGGATTAAACAATGTGATCACCAGTTGAACTTTTACCAAAAGCCAAAAGGAGTAACTAGAGATCTACTTCTCCGGAATTTGTGGTAGTTGAAGATTATATACATAGTGCAAAAAAGTAATCACAAGATGACATTATTGAGTTAACACAACTTGGTTAATAGTGATCTCTTCAAAATATATTAAAACTTATATACGAATGATCATGCTTCATAAATCATAATCCAATTTTTGTTTCTTTTAAGGGTATATTGTTCCTAAATAGTGTTGAAAGTAAGCAAACTTTTTTATAATGAAGACTATTCCTGGAGATTTCTTTCGTCTTCTTTTTTAAGTTTTTGTTGAGAAACAAAACCATCACTGCAAAATATTAGAGAGATCTTATCTTTGCACATTTCTCGATGATCAATAATGTGTTGTGTGTTTTCTTCGTTGGAGAAAGGCTACAAAACCCAGTGAGGTGCTTTGATGGCAGGCAAAATAATGACCTTCCAATCCTCCCCACTTTGATAGAGCACTAATAAATTAATTCAAGTGTGCCACATACTATTATCCACTGTCCAGTATTTGAGGCAACAAACTTTCGGTTAAAACTCAAGAAAGAATCAATGGAGTTTTTATGCATGATGACTGATGATATTCATATCTTTATATGAAGTTCTAAAAAATCGATATTCCGCATGACTTGACTTTTGAGGAAAATCAGTTAATAATGCACGGTAAGTGAGATTAGGTGCGAAAATTTACAAAGTCAAAGTTACAAAGAAAATTGAAAACCTAACCATTTGTTTTATAGTACAAGATTAACAGATTACTCTTAGTTATCATATATCAAATCTAAATATTAACAGATTACTCTTAGTTTTATATTTTAAATCTATTATGTTAAACATTATAGTTATTTAGAGTATAATGATAAAAATTTGAAAAGAGCACATTCTAGAGCGCCAAAACGCTTGTCCTTGAGATGCAAGCTAGGTTATTCTTGTTCCTCTAGGAATGAAAGAAAATGGTTTTGAAGACATTGATTGATTTAAAACGATATGTAATGGTTTCTCCATCCCACACATAATTCTACTGACTTCCGGCTCTAAGGACTCATATCTGCTACCTGGAATGTAAGAGTTAGAAGAGAACCCGAACTCGATGTGGCAGTACAAGACATGCAATATCCCTAGCAAAACAGACAGCAGATGAAATCAATTGAACATAAACTAATGAGATACATAACAGTAATCACTCTGTTTATTATCCACCGAGATGGCGTATAATGAAATCAGCAGTATTCTTTACTCCCACAGCTCTTGAAAGCTGCTTGATACGCAACTTCTTCAATGCATCATTAGCATTGCTAAACAAAAAAAAAGTAACATAAAACTAAGATTGTCTATATGAGAATCTCTATAACTCAATATCACAGACACATGATACCTTATCAATTATCAGCTCCCGCAGAAACATCATATCTTTGTTTAAAATTTTACCCTAGCGTAAGGAGTAGAAGACCAAACCAAAAAGTAGATAAAATTTTAACATTATGAGAAATGTCAGCCGTGACTAAAATCAAATCAAACCAATCTACATTTTGGTAATAACTTGTGGATTATAACCAAACAATAAACCGAACAGTAAACCGGACAATAAAAACTGAAAACCAAACCCAAAAGACATGTTTTGATGGTCGGTATAAAAAGTAAGAAGAAAAAGAGAAAAAGTCAAAAAGTATCACCGAATCTTCAACAACACAGCTCACTTTTGTCTTCCAAATCTTCTTCTTCAGTCTGCTTCTGTTCTGCTTTCTGTCTTGTCTTTTTCTTTCCTTTTTTCACTCTCACCGATGGGAATTTCCTTTAGCACCAACAGAAGACGAGACAACAACCGCCGCCACCTCTACCACCGTCCTCCGCCGCCTAACTATTACCTCGATCCTCCTCCGCCGCCATTTCCACCGCATTATGACTACAGCTATTCCACTTACCACATGTCTCCGCCTCTACCACCACTCCCACTGCCACCGCCACAGATCACCTCTTGTTCCTACGGTCATCATTACCATTATTACCCTCAGCATCCTCAGTATTTCACCTCCGCTCAGCCCAATTGGTGGGGCCCAACCATGAGGCCTGGAGTCTCCGGTCCGAATCAGCCGGAAACGCAACCGCTTCCTCCGCCGTACGTGGAGCAACAGAACTCGAAGAAGGTGAGGAACGATGTCAATGTGCATAGAGATACGGTGAGGCTCCAAGTGGACGATCTAGTCCCTGCTCACCATCTAGTTTCCTTCGTCTTCGATGCCCTTTTCCACGGCAGGTAATGTATTCACCGATCTGGCTTTGACCCTTTTGTGATTAGCTGTTTCATCCAAATGACAATTGCGTGAAATGTGATTGAATTTCTGATGCTTCGAGCCAAGAAATTGGGAAATTAAGGTTGAGGTAGCTAGGAAAGGAAAGATCTTTCTTTAGACACGGGAATAAAGCTTGTGTTAGCCTTCTGGAATCACTCTTTCCGATTAAAAAGGCTCAAGCTTTACATGATTTGTTAGATGGGTTTGTGTAGATTGAACCCAAGAACGCCTTGTGTAAGCCTTGAAATCAATTTTAGATCAGAAACGTTGAGAGATCCCTTTTTAAACTCATCCCCATCTTTCTTCACAATTGGATTAACCTTACTAAATGATTTGTATTGATCAATGCTAAGATTATATAGATAGACCCCTCATTGTATTCTCATTTGGTTTTCAGTTTCACTATCACCTTCTTTGCGAAAGAGGAACCAAACTGCATTTTTGTCCCACAGTTTCCAGAGGTTTATTCACCGATAAGATTCCCCTTTCAAAAAGGTCCTGGACAGAAGTTTCTACAGCCTTCGGGTACAGGAACCGATTTAGGCTTCTTCGCTCTTGACGATCTGTCAAAACCTTTAGAAGAAGACGTCTACCCGCTGGTAATATCAGCTGAGACTCTAATCTCTCCAAATTCGATCTCAGAGCAATCATCAGTTCATAAGCAAGTCACACTAGCGGTGCTTGAGAAAGATACCGATGGATCTTTCAAAGTGAAAGTTGTGAAGCAGATTCTTTGGATCGAAGGAGTGCGATATGAACTCCGTGAGTTGTATGGCTCGACCAGTCAAGGTGCAGCCTCAGGCTTAGAGGACAGTGGTTCAGGTAAAGAATGTGTGATCTGCATGACTGAGGCTAAGGACACGGCCGTGCTGCCTTGCAGACATTTGGTAAAGCTTTCTCAATCTTCTACTTTTGGTTTCATAGTTTTACAATCTTTAGCAAATTTCCAAACAGTGAAAGGCAAACTCTTTCATTTGGACTTTCAAATATATGTAATTGATTTGATGGGCACTTCTTGTTTTCGATTGAACCCAACCTACAATCTATCTCTCTGGATCTTATCTACTCAATCGGTTTCAAGAGAAGAACTTTTAGTTGCATTATTCTAACGTCCAATAGTGTCTTATGTCCGTCCTTGCAGTGCATGTGTAGCGACTGTGCAAAAGAATTGAGGCTACAGTCCAACAAATGTCCAATTTGCCGACAACCCATCGAAGAGCTCTTAGAGGTCAATGTGAACAGTAAAGATGAACTACATTAATATAGAAAAGGGTTCTTCTGTTACTTAAACACCATTCTTGATTATTTCTTCTTACTTCATCGAAATCTTCCACATCTGATCTGTATCTTCGATATTTGTTTGTTTCATGACGCATATAGATTTGTTTGTTTTTAAGCTTTGTATTTGGAAGATATAAGCATCAGTTTATCAAAAAAAAAAAATATATATAAGCGTCAGTATATGTATAGCTATTGTGCTTAAAGCTTTCCTTTTTTTTGCATAAGCACAAGGATCCGATCATAATGATTTTCGTTTTACGGGACTTGATTCGGTTCAAAAGGGTATGTGCAGGTTTCATGGTATAAACAGAAACCAAATCTGCAGGAGTTACTTAGCTCTATACCTTAATCTCTTTGTTTTTTCTTTTGACCCTATTTCTTTGTTATATGAATGTAAAAAATTGGTCTGTACAGCGATTCAAAAGTAGAGAGGTCAAAACATAGCTAAAGAAGAAGAAGAAGAACCTTTTCTTCTTTTGGCCTAGATCAGGCTATAAATTTAAAACATCCAGTGAAGAAAAGCTGCCGGAGGAAAAAGAATGTTTCCCACTAAAGTTATGTTTGAAAGAAAAATAAAAAAGGCCCCTTTTTCCTAAATAGTACTCTATTCATCCTTTTGAGAGAATGTTTAAACTTTAGAAATGAGAAAAGTCTTCAACTGATCTGTTATTGTTGGTCGCAAGTTTAAACTGAACTAGAAGATAATTCTATTTACAGTTGGTTTTGATATAAAAAATCAATGTTTATAGAACTATTTATTTAATTTGATATATTCTTTTGTCTTCAACTCATTGAATTAGATCGGACTATATATATATATATATAATCCAAGCAATCGTTTGATATACAGTACCTTTTTATCTCCATATTCAGTCAAAACATATTCAGTCAATAACGCATTAAGAATTTATAGAGTTAAAGAATAGTTTGTTAGACAAGAGGTGAGGTCGTTGAGAATTATTATCTTTTATAGTCCAAAACGTACAAGAATGCACTTTCCCAAAATATGACACTGAAAACGAATCCAAAGGAAAAGATGGTAACACGAGAAGAGAATCGGACAAAAGCTTAGAAGAATTAATGTCATTTTGTGAAGAAGTAGAAGAATAAAAGAAGAAGAGCCATGGCATGCGCAGAGACACTCATGTGACCAACAGCTATTAGATTGCGCAAAACTCCAACGACAAAAATCGATTAACATGCAATTTTTGTTCTTTTTTTTGGAACTTTCCAAATGTATAAATTATTCTTCTTATGGTTTACTTTTATTCTCCATCAATAATTGGACAACATTCATATCAAACAAGTGCTGAAGATCCTAATTTTTAAATTTCTATTATTTGATCAGATTTGATTAAACATGTAATAATTATTGAATTAAACATGCTTGATTGAATAAATAAATGAAAGTGTTTTACACCAAGAAATCCGTTCCATTCTTTTTTCCAATGAAATTATATCTATTTATAAGACTAAATTAGTTAGTTAACTCAATTTGTTATTGTTTTCACATCTCATTTTTTATTTTATTTTTATCTGCACATCTCAACTTAACTAATAACTAGGAAATAAGATTTATAAACTTAAATTTGAAAAAAAAAATTGATTTAAAAAAAAATTAGAAGAAATTGTATGAAAGTTATTTGTCTAAAGCTTAAGACAAAAACAGTTCGACCAAAAAAATAAGATAATAGTGTTCAGTGTTCACTCGTTTCTTCTAAATTCTAATAAAATGGAAGAGCGACTTTGCTCATCTCTCTCTCTCTCACTCTGACTCTGAAAATGATGAAATGGAGAAGTTAATATCCACCAAATTACTGTAAAGTCTGAAACTCTCTTCCTTCTTTTTTTCCCTTCTTTCATATACGTTTCTCTGTTTTTTATTCTATCTCTCTCTCTTTCTTTGCTGTTTTGAAGAAAGACGATATCTTTCTCAGATATCATATACGCATATAAATATATGTAACATATAAATATAAGTATGTATATATGATGTTTTTTCTTGCTTGACTCTTTAAACGTGTTTTAGAAAGAAAAAAACATTTTCTTGGTTTTTTTGGCTGTCTAGATTAAAGTTAGAAGTACCAGAGGAGTTATCTCAGATCTGGTAATAAAGAGAGAAAAAGATATTTGAGCTTCTCCACCAGACCAAACTTTATTTTCCACCATCTAGGTTAAGAGAAAATGAGTAAAGAAGAGTTCATGAAGATCCAGGTTTGTTCACCATATCCATGAGATTCCTTCTCATTTTAAAATAAAATTGTATTATCTTGACTTAAATCAATGAGTTTTTATTTGTAGACTTGTGTTCTTAAGGTGAACATACATTGCGATGGTTGTAAGCAGAAAGTCAAGAAAATCTTGCAGAAAATTGAGGGTAGAGAAAATAATCAAACTCCTCAAAATCCCAATTGACATTTTTTTGGAAAGCTTGAATAAAAGATTTTTTTTTTTTTCTTTTTTCAGTTTGTTCTGTTGACTAAAAGTCTTAAAACTCAATCTGTGTTTTGTCTGAAACCAAAAAACTCAGGTGTCTTTACTACAAAGATAGATGCAGAGCAAGGGAAAGTGACCGTCTCAGGGAGTGTAGATCCATCAGTTCTCATCAAGAAGCTCGCCAAATCTGGTAAACATGCTGAAATCTGGGGAGCTCCAAAGGGTAACAACAATGTGAATCAATCCCATTTGGCGAATGATCAGTTGAAGGGACTGCATATTGACAATGGAAAAGGCGGAAACAATAATAACAACAAGAAAGACTCCAAGAACGGTGGAGGTAACAATAATGGGCCGAAGATGGGTCAGCAACCGCAACAGATTCAGAAGATGAAAGGGTTTCAAGATCTGAAACTTCCTCCTCAGTTCAAGGATTTGAAGGGTTCAACTGCTAATCAAGCGAACAAGAATCAAAATCAGAAAGGAAAGAAGTTCGATGTCCCTGAGGATGATGATGATTTTAGTGATGACGAATTCGATGATGAGTTTAGTGAATATGATGATGACGACGAGTTTGAAGATGATGAGTTTGATGATCTCCCTCCTCCGCCAAGTAAGATGAAGCCCAACACGATGATGCTTAATGCTCAACAGAAGATGATAAACGCTCAAAAGAAGGCCAATCTTGGCGGTGGTGGTGGTGGCCCTGGTAAAAACGGCGATAAGGGCGGCGTTCCCGGTGCTGGTAGCGGTGGCGGCGGCAAAGGAGGTCTTGGTGGGGATAAAAACCAAGGCGGAGGTAAAAGCAGCGGTGGTGGAGGCGGCGATCCAAACGTCGGCAAGAAGGGTAACGGCGGAGGTGGGCCCATGTCTGGAAAAATTCCGGTAGGTTCCCGTTCATCTATGGGAGGTTTGATGGGGAATATTCCGGCGGTTCATCAAGGAATACCAGCGACCGGTCCAGGCGGTGCACCGCCGGGTTATTACCAAGGAGGCGGGTCGGAGGCGATGCAAATGCAGCAGCAACAGTATTTAGCAGCGGTGATGAATCAACAACGAGCTATGGGAAACGAACGGTTCCAACCAATGATGTACGCACGGCCACCACCGGCGATTAACTACATGCCACCACACCCGCACCAATATCCGAACCCTCCGTATCCATATCCTCCTCCTCCTCATGGTAATAATGATCATTACTCTCATGTCTTTAGTGACGACAACACATCAAGCTGCGCTATTATGTGAGATATAGTTTGTATAAAGCTGTAATAAAACTTGTGTTATCCTTTCTCATCTTTTTTTTTCTTATCCAAGGATCAAATCCTAAGTTATGTTTAGGTTGTTCTCCTTCTTTCATGTAACTTTTTATTAGCTAATCTATAAAATTGGTTATGAATATACAGAATTGCTCTATGACCGATTTCGGTAGATTCCAAATCATGATTAGATATGAATGTTCATACTTTTAGTACAATCTTATTTGTCTAGTTTGTTATAAAAAAACATAGATTTTGACTAGTTGACAAAATCGTATAAAGAGCGGATACGGATTCTTAAATGAAATTGGGACACAACTCCCTTATATTAATTCTTAAGATCATTTCCCTCCACTATTTATGGATCTTGCTTTATTTTCTTGTTGTCGTTGTTAGTTCTGAATTATACTATTAAGGAGAAGTAGTCTTTTTTCTTTTTTGGCTGTCATTGGTTTAAGACTTTAAGGTAAAAAAAAATGATGAGCAAAAGTCAGCATATCGGTTGCATTAAAATTCAAAAGTTTTTTTTTCTCTAACCGTTTTTTTTTTTTTTTTGCATAATAAGAGTGTTCACTGTGTCCTATAATTTCTGTGTTTTGCATTTTTAACAAAAAAAAAAAAAAATCTGTGTTTTGCATTTAGGAGATCCCCCACAATTAAATACTAGAAAGAAAAACAACAAGAAGTGAAAGAAGAGTTGAAAAGTGGAGACAAGAAGTGAGATGCGACCAAGTGTGCGAGCAGCTCGAGATCCGACATTTGTTCATCTCTTGTTTGGTTATAAGTCTTAAAACATTATTCTCCAAACTATGGCTACTCTTGTTTCCAAACAAGACCCTCTACAGATAGTTGTCACTGATCACCCATCCTTTTCCTCTTTTGGGACCCATAGTTTTCAATTTCACCTTTTTATTATTTTCTTTTTTTCCGAATGAGATCTTCACCGCCAAATATATCTCTGTTATATATTTACAGAATATACAGATAAAGAAACTTTTTAAAAGCAAGCTATTGGTGAAAATTCGGAATCTTCCTGTCTTTCCTCTGAGCATATCTATTGGGGGTTGGAGAAAGAGTTCGAATCGAGTTTATAGACAATTTTGATTAAAAAAAAAGAAAAAATGCTTATATGAGAAGGATCGGTTCATCAGGACAACCCTGAAGACCCCAGGTTCGTCCAGGTGGCAAAATATCATTAGGCAAAAGTTTTTTTTTTTAATTTTCAAATTAAAAAAAAAAATTTAATATAAAAAAGGTTCACCAATGAACCTGCTCTTAACTTCTTTGGCTTGACATTCACTATGTTTGTCAATTATCCTCAACTAATCCCATGCTGATAATATTTTTTGTTGGCCGTGGTTGTAGATTTGGTTAACATCTGCAGCAAAAAAAAGGATTTGATTAAAATTAAACTTTTACCTTCATTATTAATCCAAAAATGATTGAATGGCTCATGTGAACTGTGAAGGTAACATCAGAAGCAAGCAAATACCACTTTAACTATCCACAAAGGAACTGATGGTCAACTCAAAAAATCAATAATTGAACCACACGCCAAACTCCTCTATCAATTAACTAATCTTGAATAAAAATCACATATTCAAAAGTATAGTACCTTGCTAAGGCCTTAAGGGCATGCTGTTCACTTGATTATGCAAATTGCAAATTGCGACTAAAATCTAAGAAGATATGTGTATTCAGTATTCACGAGTTGTCGTTCTACACTTACAAAAGCTCGTATGATTGATTTACTTAGCAATAAGTCAATTACAAAGTTGACGCGCATGTATATGTCATATATGTTCAAAAAAGAAAAAGAAAAAATATGTAATATGTTCATGCGTCACTCAATAGTAATGCCCTTTTATCAATCTGTAAATCTGATTATGCCCCTCTCATATAAATAGATTTTCCAAAGAACATTATCGACATGTTCCTTGAAATAAGGCCACCTGCCCTTTTACTATCTCACAAATTCCAACATATTGATTCTTAAAAATATTCCTTGATTAAAAACATGGTTTAAAAGTATATTACTTCCTCAATAAATCTATTTTCTATTCTTTTGGTCGTTTTAAAAAGGAAAAATCCTTTACAGCGATGTTTAATTTGAACACAACACAGCGTTTGATATAAACTAAAAATAGATAAATAAATATAAATCTGGGTAATTTCAAAAAACAAAAGATGGGTAATAATTTTCTTTTTAGTATTAATTATTATATACAATATGTTACATAAAAAGAAATCGTTTGAGTTCGTAGTTTTACAATGTTAGAGATCAGGGTATTAAATCATTTGTAATTAGAAAGAGATATACTACTTTCTCATGAATAAATCTACTTACAATATAAGACATAATGTATGTGAATATCGTTTGTATGCTCTAAATTTTATTTATTTAGATATTAAAGGGGCTCACGTGCATTAGCATGAAAGAAAGAGATCCATATCTTTTTTTTTTCTAGTATTTAACATATCAATATACTATTCTGTGTTCGTTCTTCGTCTTTATTAACGATTCCATTTTCTAAAATCTAAGGCGAAGAGCCGATTGTTTTGTTTGTTTGTTTTGGGGTCAAGAAATGCATATTTATAGCTTAAGTAATAGGAACAGAGTTAGCAAGAGGCATAAGGGCTCTCTTTGAAAGTGCATCTGCCAAAGAGTTGGCTAAAATGAAAAGAGATCATCAATGGAAACTTTGATGCTAGTAAAAGGATGTTCTCACATCCTCGTGGGGCTTATACGAGACTAGTAGCCTTACGAGAGCTTGACAATTCGAGAAGACATGGGCTTTCATGGAAATGCTCGGTTCAGGCTCGCATAAGGCCGCGCGCATGCCACGAGCTTCAGCCATAAATTCAGAAGACACATACCCTGTTTGCTTTAGTTTTGGAAGCTCATACAATTCATAATTTGGATAAGTCTATGTTATCTTTTGGTTCGACCTACAAAATCTGTAATAGTCTAGGCATAATATATATTTAGAAATTTGAAATCCTTGTGTACAAAAAAAAATCCTTGTGTACAACTCCGGAGTTCATTTGTATTCCAAAATAAAAATATCTGGTTTTGAAAAAAAGAAAATCCAAATTATTATTAATTCGATCGAACCCCAGAAAGGTGAGATAGCGTTCAAGAAATGTCTTAATTAAGGGAACACAATTTACTCTAAGAAAAATTTATTCAATCTAATAATGTTTAGACTCCAATACTTTAGTAATACTTCTCTTTACAAATATACTGCATATATTACAGTTTTACGCATACATTCAGAAGATGATGTGGAAGTTTTAAACTAGTTAGACCGTAAATCTGCTGATGATTTATTATGGAAAATTACAGCTTTGATCGAGTTCGGATACTACAACAAACTAAGTAAAACATAAGTGATAAGATAATCGATACCAAGTTAAACAATAATTAAGTTTTATAGGAGCTTATTTTTGCTAAGATGATTTAAATTTTCCACATTAGGAGCTTATTTTCGAGCAAAGTAACAAGTATACTCATGTAACGGTACAAGCTAGCACATGTATACTTTTGGTTTAGTTGGTCGAGACGATGACTTCAGGCACAAAGCTTTTCTGAACTTCGAGGGTTAGTTCCTCCAAGCTTAAGTGACACTCAAGTCCTATCTGCATATGTAAATTCAATTATTCAGCCTTAAAAAACATTCATATAAATGTTATTTGATCCATATATAGATAATAAAGTTTATTAGTGACCACAAATATTGGATTCTATCTTAGTGTAAAAAAGTATTTTTCAAAGTTGAACAAGCTTAATTTGGTAACAAGTAACTACACCGACGCTAGGTATGGTTTTAGGTTAGCATGATCGGCGTTCAATCAGTCTGAGAGGTCGACTCTCAATATACAGGTTTATACCCTAATTAATTTCAAGCTATTGTCTTATAATATTCGGTGACTTTAATAAGTGATTCTAGTGATTGAATTAACAAAGTTTTCATATGTAGATGTAAAATATGTACCTTAACAACGAAGAAGTATAAGACGGTCTCCTCCATGCTGCTAATGTTGAGATGAAGAACCTGAAAAGATAGTTTCTCCAAGACGGATATGATCCTCACGAGCTGTCCCGAAATTCGCCTAGAGACAACTCTCAATACAACGTTAGAGCCTGAGATCTTCGCTTCGACGTTAGCATGAGGGGAGTTGCAACATGCTCCTACTTCTTTGAAAGTGCTTGTGCTCATTAAATTTTCGATTCGACTAAACGGCACTCTGGTGGTTGCGTTGGTGGTGGCTGTGGCAGCTAATATGGATGGCTCGAGTGTTTGGTGATCATAAGGAAAAGAAGGTCGGTTTAGTGTCTTTCGACGTTTCTTGGACTCGAGAACTTGCACCAATTGCTGCAGCTCTTTGATGAACTCTATCACTCCTCCAATTATCGAAGCTTGATCTCCCTAATTAATTCCGATCAATCATCGAAATCAAGACCATATTTATGAATAGATTGGTGCATGCGAGTAATTTGTTGTAAGAAGTCATATTTTCTATCATATAACACATATATACAAGAGACAATCAACAACAACAAAAAAAACGAATATAAGATGGCACAACATATTTTTCCAAGATTAGTAAGTTTGGAGTACTATCCGATATTAGAAAGATTACCATGCATGATCCATTACGTATCGAAACCCTTTTGTTTAAACAGCAAATGTTTTCTTTGGATCTTGAAAAAAAACTATTAGAGAAGGTTCAATGATCCAGAAAAGTCAAAAATTCAGTGAATCTCGAATTAGACCCTATGAAATTTCTTCAACAAAGAAATCGCCAATCATTAAACCAAAAAAACTAAAGGGAATTGAGAGTAAAAGGAAGAGGAGATAACATAAAACAAAAATTACCCTTTTGATATAGAAACAAGGAGTCAGAGAACGAAGGGATCTAAGATGCTCGTTCATTTGCCTTCTTCGATTCCTCTCAACAGCGATGTGAGACATCTTCTTCTTCAATTGATATTCTCTCTTCGACAGTTCCTATCTATAAAGAAGAAGATGATCGCTTTAAGCCTTTTTCGACACACTCTTCAAAACAATGTGGTATTTATACAGCCGCAACAATGAGAGATAGTTAGGGTTTATATTTTTTTTTCAAGGTTTCATAAATGCACTATGTCGCTGTCTCGTGACCATTTTTTTGTCTCTTATAAATTTTCTCTCTCTTACTGTTCTCTCTTTCTTATAACTATCAATATGTATAAGTACAAAGTAGAGAAAGGTATGCATACACAAAGATACGTCACGTTTGTGAAGTTGGATACATTTACATTTACATTCACTGCGTGAGGTCTTTTATGATTTTATATCGTATTTTTCATTTAGAGTGCATGCCTTTGCACCATCTTCTTTTACTTCTAGTTCTACCCCTTGCGCCCCTCTTTGGTTCTTAATCTCCGCGTTCTTTTAACCAAAAACAAATTGATTTGATTTATTAAGATTACTGGTGAAATTATGAGTGCGCATTGAGATTTTTTATTTTTTAATGATAAATGAGCCATAAAATAAACTATTATGCCAAGTTTAGAGAAATTAGAAGCAATAAAAGGTGTCCTTAATTGTTTTACGGTTTTACCATAACATAAACGAAAAAGGTCTTACGGACATTACAAAAAACATATTTCATCTCACAGAAGAAAGCAAGTGTTTCCTCTAGAAAAGTTTGATATTATCCGGTTACACATCACTATATAATGAAAGGCGGTCACTGTATCCTAAAATTTTATAGAGTTGAGAAAGGCGTTACGTTGAACCAATTATATGATCACGTTCACGTGGGAACTTAATTTAAAAACATTGCATATCCCAAAAATCTAATTTTTATATCCAGTGATCCATGAACGCCAACAATTGTAGATTCATTAATTTATTTATAGTAGTCAAATTTTGTTCAGAAAATGCTTTTTACACGTACGTACGAGGCAATCTATAAACGCCAAAGTCTTTGATATATAGAATTTTTAAGTAGTCACTGTAGACACACATTGGCCAATATTTACAGACAAGAGTATGAATGGCAATCTTTGAAATTGCGGAATGTGATGGAATGATTATGCGATTTCACTTTTTAATTTTCACTAAATACACTCTTTTTTAGACCCATCTATCCAGCTATTTTGTAAGATTAATGACAAGTAGCAAAAGAATGTAATTACGCGCAGATTTCTAGTAAAAATTACATCATTTTTGCTTACTCGGTATGTTATTTGAGGCCACTCCACTAATTATTCCGGGTTGTGTTACCAATCGAAACCGCAATCGTATTGTTAAAGAAATATTGATATAACCTTTGGAGCAAGCATGAAGTTCAGTTCTTTTAGGCGGTTCTTCATGACTCTCAACTACCTGGACGGCTCATTAAGATTCCTCCCAAAAAGTAGTATTCTAATTGATAGTATTATTTTGTTTTTACTTTTTAGTATAAAAGAGGTATTCTTAAAATCTGGCTCTGTTTTGTAAACTCCACAATGTTCCAATCCAAACTTCATTTTAATAAAAAGTTTTAACTTAAAAAGGAAAAAAGCAAGTTGTTTGATTGCGGTATGCAACAAATCCAGTGGAATAACACATATATACACTGCACAATGTGCATGCATGATTAGCTTATTGTTAAAGTAAACTGGAAGATGTGATCAATTTTTTTTGTTTATCTCCCAAGTCCCCAAAAATGTGGAAGCTGTTGCAAAGAGAATGTTCGTGACAAATGTTTGTAGCCGCCAACGTTATGCTACAATACGTATAAGACATGCAAAGGTGCATGCCCCATTTAATTAAATATTAATTTTAAGCGATTTTTACTCCAACATCGCTATTCAATTTGTTCATGGTCTATCACGTTATATAATACTGATCTACAAGACAGTAAAAGAAAAGGAAAAAACTAAAACAAAAAATATTTCGGTTTGCACATACGCAAATATATAATTACTGCTATATCTTATCCGAAAATGTAGAGAAGTGAATGTATTTTATGTATGAATTCTTTTTGACAACTTAAATCTAACCACTAAGGTATCACAGCTATCTTGAGAAAAATCTGTTTTCCTTTTTATTTCTTTGGTTTTGGTTATGTGCATTCATCCTCCTCGAAAATATTCATTGTAGTAGTAAAAGAGGAAATGTAATTTCTGCGTTTTCATTTATTTCAATTGGGTAATGGACATGGCAATGAGCTCACAATCAATCGTTCACAAGAAAAATACTTCACAACACGAAACCAATAAGTTTTTATTTTTGTTTGGTCATCATGGGGCTCATGAGATTTGATCGGAATCTCTTGAGAATTCATGACTCTATCTTCTTATCAGCTGAATCTTCAACTTGTACTGTGTAACAGAAAAAAAGAAGAAGAAGAATATATTGCATCAGTAAGTGTTAGATTATAAGGAAAATCTACAGTCTCTTGCAAACAGATGCTGACATTTCACTATTTGGATCAGCGTTGTTTGTTTGAGACAGAAAATAAGAAAGAAAACAGAATGAGGAAAGAAAGAATCATACACCTTTGATGGATTTTTCAAATTGCTGCAGCTGAGAAATGAAACCACAATTAGGCGATGCTTGAGGTCGTCGACTCCTTACGAGTTCCATAGCTTTAGAGAAGCTCATGCCATGCTTTTTCATCAGATAAGCCACCACTATAGTCACACTTCAAAGAGAACTTAAAACAATCAAATTGTGCTAAGCTGTATAAATCACAGACAGATCATTCTCTGTTTAGATGACAACGATTTCCAAATTACAGGCTCGAGAAAAATCTTTACTTGTCGACATAATATGTAATCTGTTCAAGTGTTCATTGCCATATCTCTTAACTAGGCTCCCAAGCGATACTAGAATCAGTAGCTAAAGTAATAAAAGCAAACTACAAGATTCATATCACACAAGACACACACTTTTTGCCAAGATGATTCATATCAAGGGTCTGTAGATTTCTATGGTTATTCACTTATTAGCTATGGCTTCAATCTCATAACTAACCGCTGCATACTTTTTCTTGTTTCCTCATGAAATTGCAATTGGTTCACATTGATTCCTAAACACTAAAATCTATCAGAAAGAAAGTCACCTCCTAGAGATTCCCATGAAGCAGTGGACCAAAACACCACCTCCAGATTGAATAGCTTGGTCCATGAAGCTAAAACACTCATCGAAATATACTGTCAAATCGGTCTCGGATCTGTCGACGACTACATCAAAACATACGATCAAGGTTAAAGACTTTACTCGAAAGAGAAATCGATAAACCAAGATGGGCAAAAAAAAAAAGGCACCTTCAATGACTTTATAGACAAAATCATCAGGGTAAGGAGGGGCCAAGGCAACAGCTACGGTTAAGATATGAGTGACATTGGAGCTTTTCAGCAAATCCTTGTTATTCGCTTCAGCTACTGAACCTATGAACACTCCCTGACAAATCGAACAGAGATCTTTTATAGATAGATATCGAGGAAACTGATTTCGTAAGAGTGAAATTAGAATATGGAGAAGAAAGAAACCTGTCCGATGTCGCTGAGATCGTTGCCTCCTTCGTATAGCTTCTGGGAATTAGCATATCCAACTCCGAAGAGATCAACCACTTTTTCCATCTTCTCGCCTTTTTCAAAATACTCCACGACGAAATTCACAATCCAGCCAGATATGAAGGAGAGAAGGCAAATTTAATATTATGATTTATTGATGCTATTTGTAGTTAAGTTCCAACGAGCACCAGTGGTCTAGTGGTAGAATAGTACCCTGCCACGGTACAGACCCGGGTTCGATTCCCGGCTGGTGCATTTTTTTATTTTTATTTTTTTTAGATTTGTTAGTTTTAACCGCACGTCAAACTTTTTTCCTTGGTCGCGATGAAATATTCCGAAAGAAATCATCTCTTCTAGAAAGATGCAAATCTTCTTCAAAATTCTACGAGCCGACATGTGATCTATCTCGTTCATAAGAACTTATATCATTTTGTTTCCCGTCTTCAAGTAATTTGTACTCCAATGATCGATCAACACAAAGAAAACAAGTATGATTAAAAGCAATACTCTTTGCTAAGAAACGACAATATATGGCCCAAACAAATTTATTTGGGTCACTTGGTTATCTTTTTTTGACGTAGTCACTTGGTTATCTTTGTTGGATTTTCATAAACTCTTAATCAAGAATTTGCTTCACACCTCTAATAATAGTTTTATGCTATGAGAAACCAATATTCGCTAATAAATAGCCACTTCTTGGATAACTTTTCGTATTAATTTAATTTTATATAGTAAATTAATTTTAGCTTGGTTCAGATTTGGTTTGGTTCCGGTGATATGGTAGTCTATATGTGGGCAGATTTAATATTATATAATAGGTTAATTCAAGGAAACTAAAAAAGGGTTCAAGAGTCAATCTTTATACATGATATGAACTTAATAAGAAAAATGCATGACTTACAAAACAGCAAGTTGAACAAATTAAGAAATATTGGTAGAGAAGAAGTAAAAAGGCACACAAGAAAAGTGTTGAGCACCCTCCTCTCCTTTCAATCTGCTTAACCAAAGGAATATCACTCTTATTTTATATAATTTTTTTTTTTTTTTTGATGATACCCTCACCATTTTCTTTGTGTTTTTCTCTCTATCCCTCTTTTGTTTTGTCCATATATCAGATCCATTTATAAAGCCGATCACCTTGCGACTGTGTCCTTGATTCTCATCAATCACCATCTTGAGGGAAGAAGATGAATGATGAGGCAAGGTCAAGAGTAGTTGACCAAGAAGCTGGCTCAACTCCATCTACGTTGAGAGATGGAGATCATCCCTCGACACAAAGGCTGTTCCGATGTCTCCCTTATGATATAGATCTTAATCCCCTACGCATTGTAAGCTTCATATACCCTCTTTGTATAGTATAAAAATGATTTAGCAAAATTTCCACGAATGCTGTGATGTTCAATCACATGCATGTACAAAGAGCAAATAGTCTATTTGCTTTCATGAAATAAGATTATCATTAGTTGTGGTAAACATAAAACTAAAAACATATCATATTTGTAAAAATATATATGGGCCGTATAGGTAATGGCGGAATTGGTGGGGACGTTCATTCTAATGTTCAGTGTGTGTGGAGTGATAAGCAGTACACAAATATCCGGCGGCCACGTAGGATTGCTAGAGTACGCCGCGACGGCTGGATTATCGGTGGTGGTCGTAGTTTACTCCGTCGGACACATCTCCGGCGCACATCTCAACCCTTCAATCACCATTGCTTTTGCCGTCTTTGGCGGATTCCCCTGGTCTCAGGTACAAATATCTAATTAATGCCTCCATATATATATATATATATATTCCCTTACATTAATTTGCCTAGTTTGACCAACTGACTAATTTAATTTCTTCGGTATACATGTATGTTGAAATTTATCGACATTACTAAGAATAATTGTGTTTCAAAACAATTAAAAATAATTTATCGATAAATTTATCAAAACAATCGCAATTCCATACATAGATCTCAAATTTCAATTTAATTTGTGTTTTCATAGGCGAGACTCATATATATCGCTCTTGAGCCTAATTGTGGTTGTCAGGTTCCGTTATATATAACGGCACAAACGCTGGGGGCAACAGCTGCAACGTTAGTTGGGGTGTCAGTCTACGGAGTAAACGCTGATCTAATGGCAACAAAACCTACGTTAAGCTGCGTTTCTGCGTTTTGCGTTGAGCTCGTTGCTACGGGCATCGTCGTATTTCTCGCCTCCGCGTTGCATTGTGGTCCTCATCAAAATGTAAGTGACCAGATCGATGTCTTAATTATAAAAGTATTTTTTGCACATGAAATTTGTATTATATAAAATATTTATTAAAGATTCCTAAGATCAATAAAATAGCCAGTCTGAGGAAATGTACATGTTTATAATCCAAACTCTTCGATTCAAAGACGGTATACGTATATTTAAATGTTATATAATTTCTATGTTATTTTTGTACAGTCGGGTAATTTGACGGGGTTGGTGATTGGAACAGTCATTTCCCTTGGAGTGCTTATTACCGGGTACTTAACTTTAAATCCATTATCGTAAGGAAAATCGCTAATATATATATATATATATATATATATATATAACGTAGCTTTTTATTATTTATGCTCGTGCTTGCATTCGTTTATATTTAGTTAATGTCTTCTTATACTTCCCTTTGACGTTTACGTTCATAAATTCTATTAGAAAAAGCCATAAAAAACTTAAAAAGATTAACTTTTTTTCTATCCTTACCTCAAACACAAAAATCGTAATTGAAATAATTATGGTTTGTTCTAATGTTTTTTTGGGAATACAATATGGTTAGACCGATTTCAGGAGGATCGATGAACCCAGCTCGATCACTAGGACCGGCGGTGGTGGCATGGGATTTTGAGGACATATGGGTTTACCTGACGGCTCCGGTGATCGGAGCCATCATCGGAGTTTTGACGTACAGAACAATTAGCCTCAAGAGCAGGCCTTGCCCTTCTCCACATTCCCCGTCCGTCTCCTCGCTTTTACGCTAATCGCCTCAAAACCTAACTAGTATCTAAATAAGCTAACCTTACTCTACAAATAAACAATTTTACTCTACGTTTAACGTAGGCCATTGGGCCTCTATTGAGACTACTAATAAATTTTTATGTTGCATGGATATTCATATCTTACAAGAATACATTTAAGTCATCATGAATGTGAGAAAGTTCTGCTCAAATTACATATTTTTGTTAAATGTTATGCTAAGAAGATAAAAGGTTATTCACATAAAACGTCCAATCCTTTCATTAGGTCATAAGATCCCATTACGTGATGAGCAAAAAGATCTAGAGAGCTTCTTTTGATAATAATTAATGAAAACAGAGAGCGTCTTGTTGTCGCGCAAAGCAAATGAACAAAAACTCTAATATATTTTAGAAACTGAAAAGAAAACCATATGAAAACTCAAATCCGTTCATTATGTTATAGGAACCTATTACAATACCCATACTACTTAAACGTTACTGAGAAACATAAACTTTTTCTAATGTTATATTACCCCAACTAAAAGTTTAGTGGCCGCAACCTCTGCGACTTGGACCAGAAGCCAACTTACGACTCGACGTAAATTTCACCTTCTTCTTCTTCTCACTGCAGTTCCCAAACTCATCTCTTGAAGCTTCTCCGACCACACTCGTTCTCATTCTCTTCTCTACAACATCTTCACAACCATGATGACTAGCCATGGCAATGGAGCAAATTAAGTAAGTGACCAAGAAAAACACAACTTTACAAAACTTCTTCATCTCCATTTTCTCTCTATCACTACTCTTGAAACTGATAGTTCTTAACAATGATTCGTATTCGTGTATGTATGCATGTTTACATATTTTTATTTGTCTGTACGTGAGTTATTGCAGATTTAGTTAAACGGTTCAATTTTATTGACTGAGTGAGTGAATAGTCCATGAATAGTATGTTTTAGGTTGCTACATTGTATTTAATTCTATTTCAGAGTTTCTAATTTAAGACCAAGAGTAAAATCTCATTAATTCATGATATGTCTGAGTCTGATATTAGAACTTTAAACCATGTGTTTTTAGGTAGACTATAGCTAATTTCCAACTAAATATATTCAAATTTAGATGGTAATTTGAAGAAAATGTTCGATCAGAAGAGGAAATTATTGGATTCTGTGAGACTAACACCTAGGCTAGAATAACTCTAGTAAAAGTAAACGTTTAAAACAATCGATCGTATATATTATGGCAGTCATTGTTTACAAATAAATTAATAATTATGCAAGTCATCAACCACCATTGCGAGACGCATCTCAGGAGCCAGGAGGAGCAGACCTGCCCGCTGGAAGAAACGGAAGGTCTTTCATGTGTTATTTGTTCCTTTTTTTTAAAGTGACAATTGCATACTAAGCCCTCTTTGTTACAAAAAAATCCTAAACTCATGGAAACAGAAAACCTTATACCAAACGCAAACGTTGATTGCAACCGCCTCTATCGATCAAAGCACTAAGGTGGAGTTGAGCGATGAGATCTGTCATCTACGTACTATGTCACTACATTCAGAGTTTGGGAAAATCAATACAAAAAGTCGAGAAAGTAGAAAAAAACTATACAAATCATTGCTTAAGAAGAGAATTAACGATGCTTTTTGCATCTCTTGATTTTTTTTTTTGGATTAAAAAAATGCTTTTGCATCTCTTAACATCAATATCAAATGGATTTTTGAGCTTGACCAGTACGCAATCTCTTCTCTTTTTATTCTCTCTGCTACTGAGGTTCATTGTCCCCAATAAAAATGACATGTGATGTGTTACAAAACCTTAAGACAAATGGCATGGACAGTGCGGAGTTTCTAGCTTCTTCAATTTAATAGTGTATCTCTATAAAATTAATATCATTATTATCCATTTGGAGAATCAATCATTTATGAATTATCAAATCCAGTATTTGGTTCTCGGTGTTGGTTTAGATTTTTTTTTTTTTTTAAGAAAAAATATATGTATAAAAAGAAAACATAATATACATTGAGTTAATTAAAGTTTGACAGAAATGTGTAGTTCTTAACTTGTTATGTTCCGTTTGATCGTTTATGTTATATTTTTCGAAATAGCAAAAATTCAGATTCAAATAGAAAATTTTATTTGGTTCCGGTTTAACTGTGTTACCAAATCAGGTTGTGGCTTTTCGGGTATCTTGTATAATTTTGATCCGATCTAAAGAAATGCTAGCCTATTCTAATGCATTTTGGAGCTACTGTATAATAAAATAATGTCATTATTTAGTGACACCAAATAACCAAAGGTGACGAAGATGATAAGGATAGGACTAAATAGAGTAGAAGAATTTGATGCTTATTAATGCTCCTAATATAGTAATAATTTCAGTCATTTTAGGGTTGGTATAGCAAAAATTAGCGTGTGCTAGTATTCTGATAGTTTTAGTTTGGGTATATCAAAAGTGCTAGTATTCTGATAGTTTTAGTTTGGGTATATCAAACTATGTAACAAGGAAAAAAATAACCGAAACGGATTAGAAGGGGTGAATAAGGTTTATGTTTTGTTCAGTTTGGTTTGTTGATTAACGATTTATCCCTTTATTAAAATCAAAGTTTATAAACCGAAACATCTCTCTCCTTCCTTTTTTTTTTTTTGGGAACATCTCTCTCCTTCTTCCAACTACTTTCATTTGCTACATTAATTGACCTTGCAAATGCTTATCTATATTATTAGAAAAAGGGTCAAAGGCGACAAATCTCTTTTCATAATTTTGTTCACGTTTGTCTTAAAAGAAAACTTGTTTGGCAAAAAAGTATGAGACCGTTGGTTGTCAAATGTCAAAGCAGTAGCCAGTAGGGTTACTTGCATAATTTTTTTCAATATCTTTGTGGTCATTAACCTTTGGATTATAGGAGCATTAGCATACACAGTGCCATTTTCTTAGCTTATCAAATACTTATATGTTCGACTAAATAATTTGTGTACTGTATGTTCCAGTCTGTTAAGTTTGATAAAAATTAACCCGCCACCCTTCAACATAGTTATCTTTTGATTAGTAAAAAGCAAATTAAAACTAGTTGGATGTTTAATTGGACAAATCAAACCAATGAAATAATGATTTACAATGTCATAAAAAAATCTAAATCAAACTGAATAAATATATGAAAACGAATCTTGATTTGATCAAGTGGTTTCAGTTTTTTTTTTTTTTTGGTTGGGTTGTCATCTGTAAACTAAACCAGGTTCGGATCAAATAATGACAACCAATGCTGGATAATTAATCACTTTTAACATAAACTATGATTTCATCAAAAATTCTCTACCATTCATCAGGTTTCAAATCCCATAACAAATACAGCTATTTTCCAATTTTTGTCTAGCATTTATCTGGTACCAAATTATATTATCTACTTTCACAACTACAAGTTACTCATCTTTTGTTACTAATACTTGGATCCTATGGGCTATCGTATATTTGTCCCATTATAGAACAATCTATCTGTTAAAGCAAGGAATCGATTGTTACTTCAGAGAAAATTATTCCCAAAAAGGATTAAACGCAAATTACAATTGTGAAAGATTACATTAACCCCACTAAATCTGTTGTAATAACTAAAGGATTCCCAACAAAATACATTAACACCCTTAAACCCCACTAGTAAAAGCGCACACGGCCGATGGCCCCACCATTATGACCAATCATACTGTTTTATCCCACGCGCTTTTACGCCGTTTCATTTTTCCACGCTTTTCCTGCACGCTCTCAACGACGTGAGGTATTCACACGCGCCTTATGGGCGTGTACCCAAAGACGTAACTTTGTTTTCATTTGCTGGAGAGGAAAAAAAAATACATCAATTAAAGCCGTTTTATCCTAACAAAACAATTAAACGGCTGGTTGCTTGAGTAAGTAAAAGTTTGTAGTTTTCCTTGTCACATAATTTTTTTTCTTTCTATGAATTCTTTGCATTTTTCTTTAGGCTGAACCTGTTATTAGTTATTACTACTTGTAGATTGTATGAAAATATTTGTGCTGGCAATTTAATACAAATTGTAGTTAATTTGTTACTGCTTCTGGATAATATTTGCTATTGACTTCTTAATTAGTCATAAGTATTCACTTTTAAGTTTTGGAAAATCTGAAGTTACCAAATAAGCACAGATTTTTCATTGATTAAAAGATAAAAATAATTAATCTAGGTAAATTGAAGAATTATTGTTTTCGATATGTTTTCTTCCTAAAATAAACAAAGAGGAATTAAATGGACCCATATTTCAAAAACCCACGATTCTCAACCAATAGTCACTCATCTTTCTCTCTCCATCTGAATGTGAACACAAAAAGACAACAAGAGAAGGTTGAGAGTTTTCTTTTTATCTCCTCTTGCTTGAATTCGAACCGAATCGCCATTGTTATTGTAGTAAACCCCTCTTTTGGTCTCTTCCTCTTCTCTTTTCTGAAAAAAAATCTCAACTTTTGATCAGAAATTTTCCATCAAAAAGCGCAACAAAACATCCATCCATGAGCGTTTCCTCGTTTCCCTGACACATGTTTTTCGCATCATTCTTCATAATTTTTTTCTAAAAGGAAGACGAAACTGACCAACCAAGCAAAGCAGCCACTTCTCTTCTCCATTAACAATCCTCAACATGCCTCTGTTTCATTCGCCATCATGTCCCTATTCTTCCTCTCTTTCCTAATTTCTTGAATTCTCAACTTTATTCGAGTTTAGACAAACCTCTCTAGATGTCTAAGAACTCACAAGTTGAAGAAAATGAAGGAGCGAAGCCAATCTGTGAAGCCTTGAAGAGATTCAAGAGGTCGAGGCTCGTGTTCGAGCCTTCTCTAGGAGTGTTGGGTTTTTTCTTGGTTGGGGTGTGTTTGGTCTGGAGCTTTTTCTACTTTGATTACAGAAGCGTGGCTAAAAGCTATGGACTTTCTGACAAATCAGAGAGATTCGTCTGGCTCAAGCTTGACAACAACAACAACAACAGCAACAGTAGTAGTAGTAGTTCCAAGAGAGTTGGGTTTCTGGAAGAGGGTGGAAATGATTGTGATGTGTACGATGGAGATTGGGTTTGGGACGAGTCTTATCCATTGTATCAATCCAAAGATTGTAGATTTCTCGATGAAGGTTTTAGGTGTAGTGAGTATGGAAGGTCTGATTTGTTCTATACCCAGTGGCGATGGCAACCTAGACACTGTAATTTGCCCAGGTAAAGACAAAATTCGATCTTTTTCTCTGATCTTTCACAGTTTCTGCCACTTGGTTCTCCTTGATTGCTAATCCGTGACTACGAATCAAATCGCTTCTCTTGTTGTAATTGTTGTTTGTTCTCGAAAATTTAGATTTTGAATTGAGGTTATTGAGTATTAGCGAAATCAGAGGTTCTTAAGTTTCTCACCTGTTCTACACAGATTGGCTTGAGATTATAAAAAAAAAATCAGATTTTGTTCTCTAGAAAATTTTGGTACAGTATTTTAGGCTAAAACGAAAAGGGTTTTTGGATTGAGATTTTATGAAATCCTTTTCTCTATGAAGAAGAGAAGTTAAGAGCTTCCTTGAGTTGTTTTTTGCTGCTTTCAGCTTTGATGTCGTTTTCTATGGTCTCTTCTCCAGTTGTGTCCGCAAGTTACGGCTTAAGATAAGCACAATCTAGGGTCAGCTCTCTTTTATCTCGTGAACCAGTCATCATCTTTTGCAATTAAAGCCAGTGCCTTTTTGTTCTCTTCTTCTCTTGATTTGATCTTTTATATGGTCCCTTCTTCTTCCATTTCACATTTACATCAAACAGCTATTCCTTGACCAATCAGTGTATGTGCTGTTTTCTTAGAAAGGCTTTTGTACTATATGAACCCGTGAGGATCTTGAAAGATTGCGGGCCAAATAACATGAATTCTGTCATTTTCTCGGTGTGAAAAGAGTCAATTCTGAAACAACTTGTGGTCAGGAATTCAGTTTTTTTTTGTCTTTGAAGACAGTACTTGGCTGATTCTCTGATAATGTTTTGTATAATGGAAAAATGAATCAGATTTGATGCTAAACTGATGCTAGAGAAACTCCGGGACAAGCGACTAGTGTTTGTTGGAGACTCGATAGGAAGAAACCAGTGGGAGTCTCTTCTTTGTCTACTATCTTCTGCGGTCAAGAACGAGAGCTTGGTTTATGAAGTGAACGGAAGTCCCATCACAAAGCATAAAGGGTTCTTGGTGTTCAAATTTGAGGAGTACAACTGCACAGTGGAATACTACAGATCTCCATTTTTGGTTCCTCAGAGCAGACCACCGGCTGGATCACCTGAGAAGGTTAAGACAACGTTGAAACTGGAGACTATGGATTGGACTTCTAGCAAATGGAGAGATGCAGACGTTCTAGTGTTCAATACTGGACATTGGTGGAACTACGGGAAAACTATTAGAACGTAAGTTTTTCCCTCGTAAACCAAGAGTTTGATGTCTCATTAGTTAGTCAGTTTTCTGATTTTTGCTCCAATGACCAAGTCTTGAATGCTGTTACTAACAGGGGATGCTACTTTCAAAAAGGGAACAAAGTAAAATGGAAGATGAATGTAGATGTTGCGTATAAGCTAGCAATGAATACAGTTGTCAAATGGATACAAAGCGAGGTCGATTCAAACAAAACTCAAGTCTTCTTTCGCACATTCGCTCCTGTGCACTTCAGGTCTGTTACGGTTTTAACTGATCAAATGGGTTTATCATTATGATCTGTAGAATGTTCTGCATATTTAGTTTTAATTTGGATGTGTCGTTGGTTGAAAACAGGGGAGGAGATTGGAGAACAGGAGGAACATGTCACATGGAGACATTGCCTGAGATTGGAACCTCATTGGTTTCATCAGAGACATGGGAACAGTTAAAGATCCTTGAAGATGTGTTGTCACATTACTCCAACAGATCAGAGACTGTTAAAATGAAACTGTTGAACATAACGTCAATGGCTGCTCAAAGAAAAGACGGCCACCCATCGCTCTACTATCTCGGTCCGCTTGGTCCTGCACCGCTGCATCGCCAAGACTGTAGCCACTGGTGCCTTCCCGGTGTTCCTGACACATGGAACGAGCTCCTCTATGCATTGTTTATGAAACAAGAAGCTTCTTATTCTTCTGGAAGAGTCGAAGAAGCAAATATTATAGGCAACGTCACAATGTCGTGACGCTGGACAGAACAAGGAAACAACAAACAAAAGCAAGCTCTTGTTTCTTCTGCAATTTCTTTGAAGATGCTGAAAGATCAAAGAGGGTTGAGATTTTTTGATTGGGTGATTAGATTAATTGGTTGGGGATATGTAATTAAGTTGATTATTTTAATCTCTGGACCAGTGTTTTAAAGATAAAAATATCAAATGATGTTCAAAGTTTCATATAGATTGAGTTAACTTTTGTAATTAATGGATTGGCCGTTTATTTTTAATGGGATATAAGAAAACAAATATTATAAAGAGAAGAAAAAGAGAGATAATAGTGGATATATAAGAACATTCTCACTGGGGGTAATTGACAATTAATAAAATTAGCTGTTAAAAAAAATTAGACTATATATTAGCAAGATTTAATTCCAAAATATTATATAATGTATAAAGGAAATAAGCGGAACAGTAGTAGAAATACCAAAATTTATTTTCAGATTAATGGTTTCTCAATCTCATAACATAAAATATTTAAATCATAGAGCATTGCAAGTTTAAGTCACAAAGCATTGCCGAGAACAAAAGTGAGAAACGCAAATAGTTTACTAATAAGCGGAGGCCTTAATGCCTTATGTAGTAGCTTTGCGCTTGCTCACAAGCTTTACTTCTTTTTGAAAGTCATGTTCGTTCAAAACCGGAGCAGCTTAGATATTTTCACGTGCCTGCAAGGTAAGAACATAATAAATATACGAGCTCTTCCAAAGCAAACATCATCCATTACCTTTCACTATTCTTCTTCCTGTTTGTATTGTATCCCCATATACAAACCCTACAAACTTCTGGTATCATCTGATGAGGTCTTCCTTATCGATTATTTGTAGTTCAAGATCTACTTCCTTATGGCAATTGAATTTGTACCTGAAAATTTAGAGTAGTTAGTGAACTCAGCAAAAATATCAGTAGATCAATTACTGAATAGTTAGGAAACAATCACATCCCATGTAGTAGAGTACATGTTGTCAACCATCTGATATTGTCTTTGTATTTTTCAAGTAATTATTCTTTTTCAAAGTTTTCCTATAAGTTTAAAACAAATTGAAATGTCATATATACCAAGCTAGTATAATAAATAATAATTCACTTTATTTTTGACACAAATTCATCAGTAAACTTTTAATGTCATTTACAAATTTATATATTCGCCTCAACGGATAATTGGAATTTGAAATGAGTAACATTGTAGAAAAAAGGTTTTTCTAGTTTTTGTTTTGTAAAGTTTCTCTAATCTTTTATGGTTTTATTGGTTTATATAGTTTAGTAAAATATGACAAATTTTTAAAATCTCATGTTCGACATTTGTGCACAAAAAATAGCTTACTTAAATTCTTTTAAATCTCAGGGTTGGATCTAGTAGTCATTCATCCGACATAAATGCTCCCAATTTTGAGGTCGGACACAACACTTCCTTATTATGAGATCGAGCTTGTTTCTTATTTTTTTTGGTCTATGCTTCTAATTTAGTTTTAGATACTTTAAGTAATATGATATACTATCGGCACTCTTAAATATAATCTACAATAACTAACGCGGTGATAAAATAGAAATTAAAGACTAGTCTAAACTTTTTATTTTCATTAATGTTCATATATACATCAAAAGAGCTTCAATATTTGGTTTCAGGTACTTAGAAAATTTGGTATATCTTGATCCGAGTTGAAACTATATGAAAAAAAAAATGGTTAAGTCAACTATGTAGTTCAAATAATTTCAAGTTTTACATTACTAAAGAAAAAAAAAATTATAACTAGCTAAACCAACTTAACCATACTTCAAACCATACAAATTTTACCGTTAATTATCATTGAAACGAACGAGACATGCACACCACTTCAACCGCACGATCTCCCACCGGTTCCATATCCTTACCCTACTCGATGACTACTTTAAAAAGAGTGTTCGTTGTGTCATTATTATTCCATTAAATGCACCAAAGTCTTTTTATGGATAAGTTTTATGTTTGTTTTTCCGATAATTTAATATTACAATAATAATCACAAAGAGGCCCTTTAAAGGAATCGAATCATTATGGTTCTCACAAAAGACAAGTCGGTGAGGCTAAAAAAAACCCAAGTCGGTGATCGTGATATGACATGAGCCTTAGCAAGAAAGCTCGTGAGTGAATCTGTGATTGTCAATTCTCTCAGTGATTCTCTTCTCAGATACTTTACTCTTATCTTATTCTTCCTTTTGTCATTTGTGATCATGGAGTATTATACTTAACGATAAGCTGAGTTCAATTGAATCTTATATTTGGTTTACTTCGGTTTAAATCTAGGTTTGGGTTTGCTTTTTCCGGAACTTGTCTGTGGAAGTTTAACTGCAAGTTGGAAATATATTGGTGTAGGGTAGAGTAGCTTATCTATACAAAACTTTGTGGTGTTCTATTATTTGCCCTTTTTAATATTTCTGTGGGTGTAAATGATGAAAAACACATATCCAATTCGGATAAGTTTCTACTATACAATATTATACGTTCAAGATATGTATAAAGCAAACACCCGTCGTTCAGTAGTGTGATCACTTGTTAACTGACGTCATTTATCTATGAACATAGTTACACTTTGATGATTTAGATTACGAATGGTTACTCCAGACGAATGAGTGAACATAGCATATAAAAGAACAAATACAAAAATACACTAACGGTTTCTGTATGCTCTGTCTACTCCCCTATCTATGGAATAACCATTCAGAGTCCAAATTTTTATAGTTTATGTAAATCGAAGAGACTAGTCTAGATTCTAAAGTTCCAACCATAGAAGCAAACTATTTTTAATATATATATTGTAAGAAAATTATGTAATATATGAAAAAATTATGGAGATCACTCATAAACTCTTGACTTGGAATCGTAGTTCGAAGTAACCAACTTGACCGGTGTGTGACCCCACTTCCTTTAAATTAAGAGTATCTACAAAACTCCAACCAAATTAAATCATGGAGATAGATTCTTCTTTGTTTTCTTCTTACTCTCTATCTCCAAAAAAAAATCCATATTCCTAATGTCCACTTCAGATGCGACTCACCGGTGAATTTCCTCAATACTAATTTTGTTACATAACCAAACTACCTTGATTCAATTCACCAACTGTTCAAAGCCTCATATTATGATTTACTCTATACTATAACCATATCACTATGTTTTCTTAGAGTCATCTAAATTATCGGTGTTATATAGACAGAGAAACTTATACAGATTAACAGTTTGACAACCGACATGTTTCAATTAGGTCAGTCAAATTCGTTGAAGAGAGGTTTTGAACACTTCACGAGGCTAACAACGAACAATCAACGTATCTCCTTCAAAAGCTAAATAAAGGTTCCAACTTTATTCTCCTAACATGTTGAATGTCGATAAGTAGCTAAAAAATATATATTCAAACCCCACGGTTCCATATAGTTTGGTATATGCATAGGTCACCCATCGTGGACATGCGCTTTTTTTTTTTTTGGATGTAAATGCAAATGGCTGCAAAAAATACTTTTTTTGGTAAAGTTTGAGGGAAAATAATACAGTGGAACAACCATGCGATCTCAAGGTTCTTAGATCGTGTGTCCCAAAAAACAAAATATAGAAGTTTCTAGTGCTTGCAAAAAGAACTTATCTATTTTTACGCAGATGTGTTATGTTATTTTATGAAAAAATTCTAATTGTAAATATAACTAATCATATTATATACAAAATTCAATTTTATCAAAACTGATTTCTACTTTTTTATTTTTTTGAACTAGTTCAAATAAATACTTCGCAAAATAGCATATATGTATTTGAATGTTATTAACTAATCGGATAATATATTTTTGTATCTGAAAGTATTAACTAATAAAAGAAAGTCATGGGATAAGGTAGTTAGGAGTTCCATCCTAAGTGGAGATTATTAGACTATGAACTTTGAGCCATACAAGAAAAGGAATTTTGATTTAGGGAGAGACTAGAGAGAGAGGGATGGGTTTTGTGGATGAGATGTGATGATTTTATCATTTGTAATGAAAAACGAAATAAATTGAGATAGATATGGGTGTTTTGTTCTTGTTGCGGGTTGTGAGCTTTTGATTCAATATCTTTAGGATTTGCAAGTAGTAGGTATAACATCATTGCACAAACCTTCCTTCATGATCCGTTTGTGTGTGGGACCTCACTTATGCCAGATTAGATTACATTATATATTTCTTAAATCTTTAGCTTTGGCCCCACTCTCCCACATGCACTTCTCTCTCTCTCTCCCTCTCTCTCTTAAACACCATCTCTTGCCTATTTATGCCACCCTTTGAACATCCTCCCTCACAACTCCACTTGAACCAATTTTTTTTCTTTCAAAAAACACTTCTTTCTACCGACAACAAAAGGCTAATTGAGAGATAGTTGAAAGATAGAAATATGGCCTTGGAAGTGGCTATGGAGCTTGAGCTTGATGATGATGTCTTCTTTGCAGATATAAGCAAGCAAATCAATCTTTTAATCACAGATGAAGATGAACAAAACCCAATCTCACTTTCCTCTTCTGTCTCTTTCCAGGTTTGTCCAAATTATCAACCCTTCTCTCTCTCTCTTGATTAGTGTATATCTGTGATGTTGATCTTTGAAAACAAAAACAGGGTTTGTTCAGAGAAAACTACCAAACATCAGCAACACCATATATGATGTACCATGAGCAGAATTACAACCTAAGTAGAGAGAGCAAAGGGACAGGAGTGTTCATCCCAAGATGTTCCCAGCCAAGAAGGAAACATAATCATCATCCTCATCATAAGAAGCAAGGGAGATTCGGTTCCCTCATCCCCAAGCAACAGTTTCCTCAGCATGTTTATGACAAAAACAACTACACAACTATCAACAACAACAACCAAGAAAGCATCACCCTTCATGCTTCTACTAACCCAAGAAGAACATACAGAGATGCAGCATCTCTCTTCACTTAGTCTCAATCAAGATTCAAGACATGGATTTGTGTCATTAATTTTCATATTATATATAATTTATTATTGATATTTATAGATTTTATGTTTGTAAAATCAGCAATAAATAAGAATGAAGGGAGAATCATCAAACTAAAGGGACTTGGTGTGATTTACAGAGATCAACTCACTCACTCTTACCATACTATTTTCTCTGATTGTTTTAAGTTAAAGTGAAAACTAAAACCCAAGAAACTAGTCCTCAATGATCAATGGAGGAATTAATCTAGGGATCAGGACACGTCTCATGTGAAATTGGAAAATCTTCCATGTCAGGTCCAGAACCAATCAATCTCTTTGGGACCTCAAACTTACAGAATTTTACAGTTATGTTGGCAACAATGTTTGAATAGACAAAAGTCAGATCTAAAGAGAGAAAAGACTGTCACAGACTCGCACCCACATGCCTACATGCCCATCACTCTCTCTCTTTTTTTCCATTTTGTTATTTTAGTATATTTAATGTCTTTTTATTAAAGATACATAGATTTATTATGTACATTTCTTGATGTAATACTTTTTACGAAAAAAAAAGTCACAGTTTTTTGACATTTATATGTAGCGAGCTGTATGTTTTCTGTCAATAAGCTGTAATTTTCAGAAATTAAGTTTAAAATGCCAAATAAGACTAAGCATCAATATGTGAAAGTATTAACTCAAAAATCTGTTTCTTACAAGTGGCAAAGTAGTAACACACGTAGTCACGACTCACGTATCAAATTCTCTTGTCAAATAGGCATATATTAATTTATTTATATCTAACGGCCGGTTCAGATAGAAATCCTTAACCGGGTTTTTGGATCAATGGTTTTCTCGTACTTTTTTCTCCAGTGAATCAAATCATTTATTGAGTGAACGGAGCTTCACATCGCCGACGAGATCCATGGCGGCGATTTCTACTTTCTTCCTTCTCTTCCTCATTCCCATTATTCCACTCTCGCTTCTCGCTATCTTAGCCCTAATCGTACGCCCTCGTCCAATCAAAATCCCCATCAAATCTCGCCACGTCTTCATCACCGGCGGATCTAGCGGCATCGGTCTTGCCCTCGCCCAACGCGCCGCTTCCGAGGGTGCTCGCGTCTCCATCCTCGCCCGATCCGCCGGAAAGCTCGATGAGGCTAAACAATCCATCAAGCTCGCCACTGGAGTCGAAGTCGCCACGTTTTCCGCCGACGTTCGCGATTACGACGCCGTGTCGAAGGCTATAGACGAATCGGGGCCGATCGATGTGTTGATTGTGAATCAAGGCGTGTTTACGGCGAAGGAGCTGGAGAAGCAAAGTCCAGAGGATGTCAAGTTCACGATTGATGTCAATCTCGTGGGAAGCTTCAACGTGATTAAGGCCGCTTTGCCCGCCATGAAAGCAAGGAGAGACCGTGGACCTGCCTCCATAGCTCTCGTCTCATCTCAGGCCGGTCAGGTTCGTCTCTCTGATTTCCCACCTCCTGATTCATAGTCTCGTAAGGAATCTAGAAAACTATAGGTTTCTTCTGGAGATTCTGGTTAAACTGCAAGCTGAGAACTAAGTAGAGAGTAAGACATTCACAAATTTCAGCTTTTTTTTTATCCTCTAAAATGTTGGATTTACTTAATCAAATCGTGGAATGAGCTTTGTGTAGTGCAATCATGTGGATCTTTGAGTAATGCGGTTTCACAGATAGCATGATAATGTAATTTTTCTTTTTTGTCCAGGTGGGTATTTACGGTTATGCTGCGTATTCAGCGAGCAAGTTTGGGCTTCAAGGTTTGGCACAATCACTGCAACAAGAAGTTATTGCTGATGATATTCATGTCACTCTTATTTTTCCTCCCGATACTGATACACCCGGTTTTGAGGAAGGTAAAAGCAATACTCTTGAGTTTTTTTAGTTTCATTGTGGATGCATAAAGTATTACGAAAGTAAAGCTAGGATTAGGTACTGCCACTGATGAGTATCCGTATTCTAAGTGGATAACGCAATTTAATGCATAAAAAGATTTGGAGACGGACTACATAAGGCTGTACTATAAGATTGGGAGATATGTAGACATCAAACTATTAGTGATCTAGTTGTTATCATGAGATAAAATCTTTGCCCTTATCTGATCTGAATAATTGTATTCTTTGGCAAGCATGTAGTATTTCAATTGCTTCTTTATTGCCGGGTGCGAGAAACTGATACAGTGATGTGTTAAGTACTGAGTACTAACTATGATAGCGTTTAGAATGAAGTTTCTGCGTAATTGTGCTTCACGTAATACTGTTTAGAAGAGAATAGGGGATGCAGAAGGAGATGTATCCGTCGTTGAATAGCATCTGAAAAGAGTTATTTTTTCCTCTTTGAGAATGAAGTGAAAACATTCTTGGCTAATGTTCAGAGTTCCTTGGTTCATACTATGAAGTTGAAAGATGGTGAATAAGCGTTTGGTTGATTATCTTTGTTTTGGTTTCTCAGAACAGAAGAGCAGACCTGAGGTCACTGCCATAATAGCTGCGTCCTCTGGTTCAATGAAAACAGAAGACGTAGCCAGAAAAGCTATGGATGGGATCAAAGCAGGAAAGTTCACTGTCTCATGCAACTTTGAAGGATTCTTACTGTCTCTCGCAACAACCGGCATGTCCCCTCAGAGATCATTTTGGCTTGCTTTTCTTGAAGTTATAACCGCAGGCCCAATAAGACTAATTGCTCTCTTCTTCCAATGGGATTGGTATAACGCCATAGCAAAGTGGAGCAAAACCAAAATGAATAGTAAGTACCTCCAAATACCATCAAGCTATTCAAAATAGTAATTCTTCATGGTTTGACTGCTTTATTGATTGTGCTATATTAACTTTGCTTATCTTTGGTAATTTCAGAGAGTTAAGAGGTGAGAACTTGTTCCTTGACATATCATAAGCTCAAGAATGTTTCTTGAAGTTTTTGGGCAGAAGCTGTAGAAACACTTCTGGGTACACCTTCTCATACTGGGGGTCTCTCAGTCCGCTACCCCGTCTGGCCGGTTATCCAATTCAAATTGTTGATGTTGATGATAGTTTTGTAGTAACTAGTCAAGATTCATGCCGGTCTTAGAACAAGCTCTGTTTTTTTTTTTATAAATTAAAGAACTCAGTTGAATACATACATATATTTTTTATATACATGGTGAAGAAGTGAATATTTTTCACATTTGATGGTTTCGAAAGTAGTCAAGAACTGAATGAAGATGAACCAACAGCCAAGATGCCGAAATCAGTAAAAACTGAGACTTTTAATTTTGGAATCAAAAACAAAAGTCGTAGTACTCTGTTCCAGTGGACTTAAGCAGACAGCGCGCAGTTTGACTCGTTTGTAAGAAAACGGCAAGAAGTTTTTCTTCGGAAAGGTCTTTGAGAAGACTGAGAAGCAGAAGTGCCACAAACGTTGTTCTACACTCAGTCTCATTTTCAGCGATGGCGATGTCTATTCTCAAGCTAAGAAATTCACCGGCTCTGAGATCGGCCGCAAATAGTGTCCGGATCGGGGTTTCATCGAGGGGTTTCTCAAAGCTCTCGGAGGGCACAGACATAACATCGGCGGCGCCTGGCGTTTCGCTCCAGAAAGCTCGCAGCTGGGACGAAGGCGTTTCCTCCAAATTCTCCACCACACCATTGACAGATATCTTCAAGGTTTCGAATTCTCTCTTCCCCTTTTTTTTTCTCCCCAGGAAATTTCGATTCTTGGGTAAATTTCAATTCCTGACATAACGATTGTTGGTATTTGTTGCAGGGGAAGAAAGTCGTCATCTTTGGTCTCCCTGTAAGAAGACTTCTATCTTAGTCATCTTTCTCATGTCTTGACCAGGCTTTTGTGTTCTGATGTTGTGGCGGACTGTTCGTTATCTATGTTCCAGGGGGCTTACACGGGAGTTTGTTCACAGCAGCATGTGCCAAGCTACAAGAGCCAGATTGATAAGTTCAAGGCCAAAGGCATTGATTCCGTCATCTGTGTCTCTGTTAATGATCCATATGCCATAAATGGCTGGGCAGAGAAGCTTGATGCCAAAGATGCAGTAAGTTCAATTAGAGTCTTTTTATATTCCTAACAGCACCCTGATCCGATGGTTAGCTTCAGAAAACTTGATTTTGCATCATAACATATATTATTATTCGGTTCCTGGTTTGGTTGTATAAGAATTGAGTGGTGAAGATGGATCATTTAGGAATCTCCTTACTCCTTTTAGTATTGTTAACGTCTATCTGTTATAGATAGGGCTATATAACTATTATTTCACATTGGTTATTGTCTCAGGCTTACATTCACATCAGTAGATGATATAATATTTGACCCTATGATTAGAAGGATTTCCAGCAGAATGACTTAATGTGATGATCTTGAAACTTTTTTTTGTTTTGTTTTTGAAACTTGTTAATAATATCAGATTGAGTTTTACGGAGATTTTGATGGGAAATTCCATAAAAGCTTGGGGCTGGATAAGGATCTCTCTGCTGCATTGCTCGGGCCTCGGTCTGAGAGGTAAACCGCTGCAAAGTCCATTTGTAGAAAATTCATATCCCTGAATTCATTGATCTTACAGATTTGCTTGGTTTGTGATGTTGATGTGCAGATGGTCGGCTTATGTAGAAGACGGTAAGGTTAAGGCAGTCAACGTGGAAGAAGCACCGTCTGACTTCAAGGTGTCGGGGGCAGAAGTCATTTTAGGACAGATCTAACAAAGTGTTTCGAGAAGTTGTTCTTGCGTCTGTTGTTTCCTCTAAGTTGCAACTGAAAATAAGTTTGATCCGAACATTTTCAAAGGATCACACCGAAGTAACAACTTACTTTTTTTCTTTTTCTTTTGTTTTTTTCTCTTCCATGTTTTCAGGTTCAATAACAGTGAAAATAAAAAAAAATTCTCTCTGTTCCATGTTTTCAGTTTCACTAAAAATTATTTGTTTCTTGCCGTTCTCAGCAGATCTAAACGTTGAGGAAAAAAAAAGGATTAACCTGGCAACTTTGAAGCTGCTTAATATCAATCTAATCACAGTTTGTTCATAACTAGGAAAATTTCGTTGATGAGATTCTATTGGGCTGACTCAGCCCGGCTGAGCCCAAATTCCGAAATGTAATTTTGAGCCCAGAGAAAGGAATGTTCAACCTAAACCCTCTCGTGGCTCCTCTCCACCACTTAAGCTAGCCGTCGCTCCAACCGCAACGCCGGAGGTAAGCCATTTCTTTCTTTCTCATCTTCTTCTCCGGTTCTCGAGCTCTCTTTTTCACCTCATAGGTCTGTGTTTTATGGAACCCATTGTCTGATTTCGGGACTCTGATAAGTTACGAACTTGCTGGGTTTTGATGTCTGGGGTTGGTTTTTCTGTAATCGGAGCGGATCACTAAGTATTATAGACTGTAAGCAATTTCACACTAAAAATCGGATCTTATGAATCTCTGCTTGCTTCTGAAATCATACTATTTGCATTCTTCATTTTGCTCTACTGATCTTGTGGCAAATGATATAATGGATTTGATCTGCAAAGAAACCGTATTGAGCCTAAACTGATACAGTACATATGTGTTCTTGAATTTATTATCTAGTTAAGCACTAATTCCATTGGATAATTGCTCTAGATAGGCCACATCTTCACGGATATATTGATCACACCATGTGAGCATAACCAGTCTCATTCTGTGATTTTTTTTTTTTTTTGTGACACAGGTGAGTTTTTACTGTATCTATCCTGTGAAGATCTGGAGACAGAGAAGACTCTTTTTGGTCACTTGAAATGATCTTGGGTTGATGTTTTGTATGGTAGCAGAGTAATAGAGTCATGAAGCTTATATCGCTTGTCAGGAAAGTTCATTCGCTGCAATGCCAACCCAAAGTAAACTGGTCTGTGCAAGTGCGTTTCTTGCAGCAAGATTCTGTATCGAAAGCTAAACCTAAGAAATACAAGTATCCGTCAGTTTATGACCCATATGGTCCTAGACCTCAACCTTCAAACAAAATCGTGGAGCTAGCTGAGCGAATAGCTGCATTGTCTCCGGAAGAACGAAAACAGATCGGTCCTGCACTCAATGAACACCTGAGTCTACCAAAACAACAGATGATTTCAACGGAAGGCATGAGTATCGGAGCAAAGCAAGATGCTGGTACCGGAAAAGCAGAGGAGAAGAAGGAGAAGACGGCTTTCGATGTGAAGCTGGAGAAGTTTGATGCATCTGCCAAGATCAAAGTGATAAAAGAAGTGAGAGCATTCACGAGTTTGGGTCTCAAGGAAGCGAAAGAGCTTGTGGAGAAAGTCCCGGTCGTGCTTAAACAGGGTTTGACAAAGGAAGAAGCCAATGAAATCATAACAAAGATCAAAGCTGTAGGCGGAGTCGCAGTTATGGAGTAAGTGACTTTGACCCTTGTATTTTTCTTCTGTGTTTGATTTGTTTTTATTTTTGGTATTGTGTTTGATCACATCTTGGCACTTACAGTAGATGTTTTGTAATAACTTAAGTGCTGCCAAATTCTGGTTTTCTCTCACTGATTTTGGTTTCCTTGCATTTCTTGAAATCTATTTACTTGTTCAAGACCTGAGTGTGTTCGATGAATCAAAATGGTTATAGGAATAGATTAATAATGTTTACATGTCATTAACCTAGAATGAGGATTTGTTTCAATTTTCTGATCGACTATTTCAGATTGTTCACCTTGATGTACCTAGATCGAGAATCCCTAACATGAAGTAGAATATTCGAGAATAAATAAAATGTTATTAACCATCATAGTCTCGTATCATATAGCATAAAAGGTGCAAGTCAGAAAGCATTGCAAGTTTTAAGTTATTACAAGTTGAAAAACACAAGAGAAAGAGAAAATAGTTGGCTGATTGGGATTAGCGGGGGCTTTAGGGGCTGGTTTCGCTCTTCATCACGATCTTCTTCTTCTTCTTTTTCAAAGCCTTGTGGAGGGATTGCTTGTGCATGCTGAGTCAGGTGAAAACATTAACATATATGAGCTACAAATCACAATCAAAATCATGAACATTCACAAATCGATAGAGATATGGCGGTAATGATTAAAGAGATACCTTGACTGAGACGTGGAGATAGTTGTCGCCTCAGTCAGCTTGTCCTGTGTTACGAAGTTGTAAGAACCAATGAAATAAGTCGACGTATTTTTTCCAAAGTAGCTTATAGGATACGATCAATTACAAGAATTACAAAGGTTTTCAAAAAATTATATACCTCAGTTTCAGATTCAGGTAAGCATAGCGTATCAGAATGATCACTTTGAATCTCCTTGGCCCTCTGCATTCGAATCTGCTTCCGCCGTTCCCTTTCAATCGCAGGGACATACTTTCTCTCAACGATACGTGGACCATGTGTGGGAAGAGTCTTATTAGAAGCAAAAAGAGAACGACGACGGCGAGTGAGCACCATTATTACTGTGGAAAAAGATCAAAGCCTCCAAAAACAACGGTCATTATTAGGTTTAGGTTCAACGGCTCAGCTTTATGGCCTAAAGTTCATTAGGCTTTTTTTTTCCCTATATTTTCTCTCTATCTATTTTGGTGATTTGGTGTTTTATGTTATGTAATTTTTTTATTTTTATTTTATGTTTTTGAGGGTTTATTCCGTCGGTTTTGTTTTTCTCTATTGGTTTTTTGCTAGAAAGATTTTTTATTTTTTCCGGCTATATATATTTCCCGTAAAGGTTGTCGGACTAAATTTCCGGTTTATCCAGCGTTGTAAGATCTTTTGATATAATAGAATAACTTCAGTGGAAAAAAAAAAACACAGAAACGACGCCGTTGTGGTGATAGGAGCCTCAGCGAATTAGTTATAAAAATGGTCGGAGCAACGTCAAAATCAAAATCGAGCGGACAAGAAAAGCACAACAGAATCAAACACAACTCTCTCTCAAGAGTAAAAGCTAAGCAACCAATTTTCTCACTCTCTTTAACCAATTTTCTCACTCTCTTTTTAACAATAAATAAAAGCCATCGCCAACTAAAAAGAAAAAAGAAAAAAAAATCATCAGAGAGTTCTCGAATCAGTTTCAATGGCGATTAACAAGCTCCCACTTCTTCTCCTTGTTTCCGTCGTCCTTGTCTTCCTCAATCGCCCTGTGCTTAGCGACACCGGTAACATCCTCTCGTTCTCTCTTTCTCTCTCTCATTATTTTCTTGTTGAATTAAATCTCTGTTCTTGTGCTCCTCTCTCTCTTGATAGATTCGCTGTATTTACTTAGGATCTTTAGATCTGGTCTGAATTCTCTTAGGATCTGTTTGTTCACTTCATTTGAAAAGTTCTTCGTTTGATATCACTCACTAAACAACTAATAATTTCTCAAGCATATTGATCTACTTTCCTTGATCTATATTGTTCTTGATAACAAAAAAAAAAAAGAACAGAACATTTACTTTGATTAAAGATTGTGAAAATGCTCCTCCAAATTAATTGGATTTTTTTTTTTTTTCCTCAGATGAAGAGGACGTTCTTTTCACAGGCATCAACAGCTACAGAACATTACAGAATCTAACAATATTAAACAAGAACGAAAACGCAGAATGTCTAGCCGACGAGATCGCTGACCAATTCAAGAATAAGCCATGCACCAACGACACTGGCTCAGCCACAGTACCTGGAACCGAGCCACAGTTCGCAAACTACCCTCAGATTCTAGCTAAATGCCACTTAAACGTCTCAGATACAAGAGACGGCTCGATTATGCCCGCATGTGTTCCTCGTTTAGACTCGAATCTCGTCCTCACAAACTTCACCAAGTCACAGTACTCGATGAATTTAAACGATTCTAAGTTTACAGGAATGGGTATTGGTAAAGAAGATGATTGGATCGTTGTGGTTCTCACTACCAACACACCAGAAGGCAGCTATTCCACAGCTTCAAAGGAGGATTCTAATGGCTTTACCTTTAGTATTGGCCTCTTTAATTATTTGCTAGTTTTCTTGTTGTCCTTTTCTTTCTTCCTCTTTTGAGAGATATCACATGTTTTGAGTTTCATTACAATAATACTTTTGCTTATTATAGTTACTAGTATTTTTTTTTTTTTTTAAATATCTCATCTTATCTTAAGATATTTGTAGTGACTAGTAAGCATCCGACAAAGATTAAAGTTAAGCCATATTGCATGTGATTAGAGAGAGTGTCGGTGAGTTTAGTGATTAGATGCAACGACCGACACATCATCTGAGTTTTTGACACGTGCGGACTTTAATTGGACCAATAAATACTTATGTACGCTAAAGGGCCCAATATATAAGGCCCATTAATATTTTGGGATTTTTAAGGGGTTTCAATATCAATGAAAAAATCAGTAAAACTTGCCTTTAATTTTGAAAAACAGATCGAGTTTCTCTTTCCCTCCTCGAAATTTCCTTCATCCACCACACATCACGAAGCCAGGATGAGTAATCTTCACTGATCTCTACACATTCGCCGTAACGATCCACTTCCGACACCACAATGCAGGATATTCTCGGGTCGGTTCGCCGATCCTTGGTTTTCCGGTCGTCTTTGGCCGGAGACGATGGTAGTGGCGGAGGAGGTCTCAGCGGATTCGTCGGGAAAATTAACTCCAGCATCCGTAGCTCTCGCATCGGCCTCTTCACCAAGCCACCTCCGGGTCTTCCTGCTCCTAGAAAAGAAGAAGCGCCGTCGATTCGGTGGAGGAAAGGGGAATTAATCGGTTGCGGTGCTTTTGGGAGGGTTTACATGGGAATGAACCTCGATTCCGGCGAGCTTCTTGCAATTAAACAGGTCGATTTGAAAATTATTTTTTCTGGTTATCCGTCAATTGTTTTTTTTGCTTTGTGTTTGCTGATTCGTGATCGTGTTTTTTTTTTCCTATATGATGATAGGTTTTAATCGCTCCAAACAGTGCTTCAAAGGAGAAGACTCAGGTAAGTTTCATCACTGTGCTATTCAGTATTTCCAATTTGTGGTTCAATTTTGTGATAAATTTCCAAGTTTAGATAAATCTGTTCCCATTTTTGGTAACAATTACTATTGAATCCTTGTTCTAGGGTCACATCCGAGAGCTTGAGGAAGAAGTACGACTTCTCAAGAACCTTTCGCATCCAAACATTGTTGTGAGTAGACATCCATTAAATTCTGTTTTTCTATATATTTATTGTTTGTGTTCCGCATGCAGTCCCCTTATTATCTTGATTTTTGTTTTTCCTAGAGATATTTGGGTACTGTAAGAGAGAGTGATTCGTTGAATATCTTGATGGAATTTGTTTCCGGTGGTTCAATATCATCTCTGTTGGAGAAGTTTGGATCTTTTCCTGAGCCAGTAAGTCCTGACTACACCTGGAAATTCTGCTAAACTTTGTGCTTGAGCTTCACAGGAGATAAATGTTGTGCTGAACCTTTCTGAATAGGTCATAATAATGTACACAAAGCAACTTTTGCTTGGTCTAGAGTATCTTCACAACAATGGGATCATGCATCGAGATATCAAGGTACTTTCCTCTTTCCAACATATGATTTGCCTGTGGTTGCTCAAAACTCCTGTCGTAACTCTTTCACATTTCTTTAGGGGGCAAATATATTGGTCGATAACAAAGGGTGCATCAGACTCGCAGATTTTGGTGCTTCCAAGAAAGTTGTAGAGCTAGTATGATTGCAGTTCTCTTTCTCTTCAATCATATTCCAATATGTTGCCTCTCTTTTTTAATAACTCCAAAACTTGTGGTTTTTGTGCTTCCAGGCTACTGTAAATGGTGCCAAATCTATGAAGGGAACGCCGTATTGGATGGCTCCTGAAGTCATTCTCCAGACAGGTCATAGCTTGTAAGTATTTCTAGAATACCCTACTAGCTATCTTCTACTTTCTTTTAGCTTCTAAATCTTTGTAAGGTGATAGGTTATAAATGTTCTGGGTAGTGGGAATGGATTGTCGTCTATTTTTCCTTGTGTATTGCAACTTCATTTTCTGACCCTCTTCCTAAATCTGAAGCTCTGCTGATATATGGAGTGTTGGATGCACTGTGATCGAGATGGCTACAGGGAAACCTCCCTGGAGCGAGCAGTATCAGCAGGTAGCATATCCACTTGGTGAAAGGCGCTTTCCAATGTCGTTGATGCATACGCTGCTGTCTTTTAATTTAGAAAACTAAGAAGTAATTTTTTCCAGTTTGCCGCTGTCCTTCATATTGGTAGAACAAAAGCGCATCCACCAATTCCGGAAGACCTTTCACCAGAGGCTAAAGACTTTCTACTGAAATGCTTACACAAGTATGTCATAAGTCTTTTTTCTTCTCCCAGTTCGTTTCTGTCTTTGTAAAGACCGATAGTCCACCTTTCCATCTAAAGTGAGCATTTATGTCTATTGTCCTATTTATAAGAGCTATTATATTTTGCAGGGAACCAAGCTTGAGACTCTCTGCATCCGAATTGCTTCAGGTGTTGTGAATCTCATACCTTCTACATTTCTAACAGTTGTGAAAGTGGTCCATACTCTTAAGACCCAACACAAAGTTTTTTTTGTTCTTTACTGCTGACTTCTGTTTAACATCTGCAGCACCCCTTTGTCACTGGAGAGCACAAAGAATCTTATCCAGCTTCCCGTAGTTCGCTTACGGTTAGTAGATAATGACAATAAACTTTGTACTGGTTCTTCAAACTTCTGACATTCTTTCATATATATCAGGAATGCGGAAACTCAATAGCCACGCAAGGAATAAATGTTAGGCGTTCGTAAGTATCTCTTTGCAACTCTAGTTTCAGTTTATTTGCTATCCATGATTTTGATCTCTTGATTTTTGTTTCACTTACTCTATTTGTCCAGAATAAACTCTTTGATGAGGAGGTCAACCTGTTCAGGCTTGAAGGATGTCTGTGAACTGGGAAGCTTAAGGAGCTCCATTATACACCCAGAGAAGTCAAATAACTCAGGAATCTATTGGCGAGATGGCGACTCTGATGACCTTTGTCAGACCGATATGGATGATCTCTGCAACATTGCATCAGTTAGTAACAATGTTTTGTCACAATCCACAGATTTAAATAAGGTGATAAATATATCCTCCAAATTTTCAAATATGTCTTTATGTGCAGTTATACTGACAGTGGGAAGAAACCTTTTAACTTTTTACAGAGTTTTAATCCCATGTGTGATTCCACGGATAACTGGTCATGCAACTTTGACGAAAGCCCTGAAGTGATGAGAAGTAAATCTAACTTGCTTTCTTACCAAGCTGCTGAAGTCAAAGCTGGGGTTCCATGTGATGAGGAAACCAGCTTAACATTTGCTGGTAGCTCTTCCGTTGCAGAGGACGATTATAAGGCCACAGAGTTGAAAATAAAATCATTTTTGGATGAAAAGGTATGGCCTTTTTATAGCAGCTGGGTGAGAAATCAGATAATAATACTATGCATAATTCATGTTTTCTCAAATTCATTTGCTGAACTTAGGCTGAACAGACCTGCCAAATCGGAAATTTTGAAACTTTGAAGCCACTAAGGAGTCCTAAACTTGGTTAATGTTGAATGCATGCACATAACGAAATTCTCAACCCCATATTATCTTTCCAATTATAATACTCCCTAGTCTTAAATTTAAGACTCTTAATCATCTTGTCTGGTCTACCTAGGATTTCAAATGCATATCTTGTGAGGTTTTGTGATGATATCTGAATCCCGATCACTTATTTTTTTGTCGGTTTATCTATTATCAAGGCTCAAGATTTGAAAAGATTGCAGACCCCTCTGCTCGAAGAATTCCACAATGCTATGAATCCAGGAATACCCCAAGGTGCACTTGGAGACACCAATCGCTACAATTTACCAAACCTAGCAACTATAAGCAAGTCACCTAAACGACTTCCGAGCAGACGACTCTCAGCTATCAGTGATGCCATGCCCAGCCCTGTCAAAAGCTCAAAGCGTACTCTGAACACAAGCAGAGTGATGCAGCCAGGAACTGAACCAACGCAAGTCAACGAGTCAACCAAGAAGGCAGTAACTAATAGCCGTTGGTGAGTTTGCGCGTTCTAAAGTTACTGGTTTATAAAGCCTGGTTTTTCTATTGGTCTTGATGTTTCCTTCTTTGAATCCATCCTCAGTTTTTCAGAGATTCGACGGAAATGGGAAGAAGAACTCTATGAAGAGCTTGAGAGGCATCGAGGCAAGTGTTTTTCTTCGAGTCTAAACAGTTTTAGTAAATTTAAAAAGTCTTTTTTTTTTTTTTGTTTTTTTTTAACTCATTGTAAAACTCACTGCAGAGAATATGCGACACGCTGGTGCAGGAGGGAAGTCTCCGTTATATAAAGGATAGAGAACGGTTAAGAGAAGAACTGTATGTTTCTTTTTTAAGTTAGCCCCAGAGTACTCTGTTTTCTTTCTTTCTTTTTTTTTGGTGGGGTGATTTTCATCACTGTGATAATATTTGATACTGTATATGTAGATAGTTCTTAAACGTTTCATATACTATTGTGTTATATATATATATATATTTTTAAAAAAATCTGACTTAAAACCATCTAAGAGCTTTGTTTGTGAACTGTGTGATGTTGTTCGATTAAGCTATACTTATTCGGATGATTCTATGCTATTGTTAATTTTCAACGTAAAGTTAGATGCGTGACTAAGTTGCTTCATTTTGCTATTTTGATGATGGTTTGTTTTTGATCAGGTATTTCTTGAAACTTCAGACTTTTTTAGTTTGTAGTCATATGATCAATCTAAAAGTAGTTGGTTACATAAAAAAATTACTTTCAAAAGTCATGAGTTGAAATTTGAAAAGGGGATTTGTAAGAATGCTGCTGCAGGAAACTCTGGACCCAAGAATATGAGGAAATGTGTCTATGGAAGTTTATATGTAAAATAAATAAAAATGTCTCACTTTTGAGAGAAAAATATGAAATTTCACAGGGCAAATTCTTTTACTTGTCAAACTTCATGAATCATCATATTGACTGCGAATTTTTCGAAAAAAAAAAAACATTTTGTTTAAATAAGTATACAAACGTTGCAACTCAATTACATGCTGAAATTAAGATCTTGAAATCAATAAGATAATCAACTCAGCTTATATATAGTTTTTTCAGGTTGATTAATTTCTATATATGAATGAAAACGTCAACTAAAGATAATATGAAAGAATTATCATTTTATAACAGTAATTCTCTTCTTTAGAAGAAAGTATACAAATAATTAATTAAAATTAAAATGTATTAAACACATACAAAATGGTCTCTCCTTTAAAAAAGAGAAAAAATATTGACTCTCCGATGTAACGTGTCTATTCTTTGCCTCTCTTCTCTTTTACGTGACCGATCCAGTCAGTCAATCACCCACCAAAAAATAGGAGGAAGAAAATAAACCAAAGTGTTTGATTCAAAATTTTGGTCGAATGATCTACATAGTGTTTGGTTGGAGGTTGAGCTGTCAAAAAAAAAAAAGCTGAGCAAAGTTCGAAAAAAAAAAGAGAAACATGAAGATCTTCTTGCTTTAAAATTCCCTTGATTTTCTCTACCATATCTATTAACAATCAACATTAAGATTTTGTGCTTTCCTCTTTTTTCAGTGTTTGGACCGTATTTGATTGAAGTCTTGACCATTTGTAGATACACTTATGTATATCCCCAAATAAAAGGAAGAAAGATGGACATCTGATTTTTGCGTTTTGTGTACGTCCTCGACAAGTCCCTATCAAATGATTTTAGAGATATAGAGAGAGAGCAAGATACTCCTTTTCTTCGTCACTTTTATTTTTGTTTTTCTTTGCTGTGTTTTTACGATTTACCTGTTGTAATAAGATAAATATGGAAACAAGGTATTTTCGTTAATTTTTGGTTTGGTCTTTGTGTTTTCCAATAAATGTTTACGTACACGTGATCGTTTTTAAAGGCTAAAATATACTAGTTTAGAGAGACTGGTATTCTCTGTTTGACCAAAAAAACAAAAAGAGAGACTGGTATTCGTATGTTGCAGAAAGATCGATGTTTCCGTCAATAGATACCTATGATATGATTGTTTTTTTTTTTTTGTAATAAGGGATTTCCATTAAAAGCATGAGAAGTGTAACATATGATATGATTGTTAGACAATGATAAAACTATAAAAAAGGATCGCTCGATAATTTTTGTGTTTTTGTATTTTCGTTCAAAATTCGAACTTGGAAAAAAACGCAAATAATATGAGGTATTCCCAGATTGGCTGAAAGAGAAAGGCTGAAATTGGTACGTATGTATGCAAATACTATGAAGTATTCTTAGAAACTAACAAATGTTATTAGTTCACGTGGACACAACAGTCACAACTCAATTCTTGTAATCTGATTGGGTCCTACGAATTTTGCAGTGCATTATCCAAACTAAATTCACAAAACTGTTATAGATTTTTTTTTTTTTTTTAAAAGGCTAGGCGTTGTGACTTGCGAGTTGCGATGAATGCTTTTTTTTTCCTTTATTAAAAACACCTTTTAATATTCGTGTCCAAGAATTATAATCTCCCGACTTCTTGTGGGGGACCTCGTTGGTTCAAAATTTCAATTCATGTTTCTTCCTAATCATTATATAATATATATATATATATATATTAAACGAAGATGAACGTCATTAATACATGCACACGTTTTAAATTAACATACAAGACAACTAAGTTAGGACAAGAGTCGACCAATAGAGTTGCTACGATTTGGTTGTGTCGCCATGTTGCACTAGGACACGGGCCCCCGGGTACCCGAAAATCAAAATATACAATGTTTGATGAAAATATCTTTAATACGTATGAAGAAAGAACAAAAATACAAATAATTAAACTGTGGATACCAAACAGTCGTCCCAGCTAATATATATATATATATATATATTGAAAATAATCCACATTTAATTAGCTTTACTGGTTATAGAAACATCGTAGAAAATATGATTTGCCAGAGTAGTACGTATTTGTTTATTTCTGGCAAATTATATTTTCTATGATGTTTGATGTTTCACTAATTTAATAATTTAATTAACCGGTCAAAGAGAGCGACAACATAAAAATCAAAAGGCATCCCACCATTACTAAAAGAACAAAAAAAAAGAAAAATTAAAAATGATTTCATTGTTTAATTTGAAAGGAAAAAGGTTTAGAAGGGCAAATTGGTAAGTTAGGGATAAGTAATGGGCATATACACTTGTAAGTCCGTCCATATTCTTATATCACTCACCAATCCTTTTGCTGTTCTTAGCCACCAAGAAAATACCCAATCCTACTTTTCGTGATGTCATTTAGTTTCTCCTCTAAATTTCCACATTGTTTCATTCTTTCTTTATACGTAGATATATATATATATATATGCACCTTAGTTGTATAATATAAAAGCCGGACCTAATTTTGTAACATACCAAGTAAAGGATTGCGTCACGAATCATATAAGACCAAGTTGATTATGGCTAATAGATTAGATCGATTTAAAAGGGTGGGAACAAGACATGGCATGAACGTAAGCTACTAAGCTTTATTTATCTAAACGTTGATGTAAACTTTTGAGTAATTTAGTTTTATGAGAGACCTTAATTTTCTAAATAAATAAGACGTTTTGTGCAAGTCCTCTACCTGCAGATAAAATTAGTGTTTTCTTTCTTGTTACATTCGATTTTACTGATTTGTCAATTAGCATTCCGTTTATTGAATTAGCGTAAGTTCGTAACATCCAAAATTTTAATCTTACATTTGATAAATTTCATTTTCGAATGGATGAGAGTATGTCTCGGTTTGATATTTGATAGTCCGCGTATTTTGATTGTAACAGGTTTTAACAAAATTGAAGACTTATATTTTTCATTCTATACCAACTACCAAATTTAAATATAAAATACATTGTGCAATTGCAAATGGATAGACGCAGATCCCATGCAAATTGCTTTGCAGAAAAAGAAACGTGAAAAGGATCGCACGTATACACCCAATTTAAACCCCACTAAAATTAGATTAAAAAATAGTTCTTGGTTTAAAGCATATTATAATAAATTACTACTTCATAATTTTAATAGTTTGTTTTTTTTGTAATGTAAAGCCATGCAAGTTAATCGGCAATTACAAATAAACTTAGACATTCTTTTTTAAGATTTTTATTTCCATTGTAAAGTGAAAAAGGGATCGAAGACAACTAAAAAGAAGTAAATTAAAGATCTCAATCAAATACTTTCATGGGAAAGTTGTGGTTCTACATATATTCATTCACATTAGCCATTAGGTTGTATGTTCTATGGGTAGAAATCAAGAAATCGCAATTTTGGTCATATTACGTTAATTTCATAGACTTAAATCCATCCATATATAGAAATCGATGTTGGCAACGAGCAACTTATCGTCTTCTTCCTTTTTTCGATAACTCAAAATTTCTGGCGTTATATTTAAAAATTATTTGAGTCGAAGATCAGAGCAGAGCAGATTAATAAATCTCCTGTATTTGTTTTTCTTATAAATTGAATTATACTCCAGTTGTAAGAAATTATTTAAATTTCAGTTGAAGAATTAACTAAAAAATAAACTAAAAGCCTTTGTGGGGCTGATCGAATCAGAGGCGGAGACTCGGAGGGCATTTAGTATATATGTGACGTCGTCATTGTACGGAACAACAGTCCCTTCTCTTCTTTTTTTTTTTTTTTTCCTTTTTAGCGGCATTTTAACCCTTTTTTAGATCACACATTTTTTATCCCCTTTTTTTATTTTACACTATTCTTCTATATTCGTATAAAAGTTCTTTCAAATATGTGATAAAATCTCCACTACCAACGTTTTTAAACAATAAAATGGCTTCTGCGAATTATTATATGTTTTAGCCTATATTACATCATAAAACATTCGATTATCACAAAAACAAATTATGAGAGGGTTAATTACATCAGAAGAAATCTCATTAAATTATGAAATCATGAATGTATAGTGAATATATTTTTATCAAACAAAAAAAAAAATACACAAACACACTATTCAGTGTTTCTCATTACTTATACATGATAAGAAGATATGATATGTTCTCATTATTTTGTTGAGAACTTGAGATTAACTAGACAGTTACAAATTCATAATACAAAATAAAATAAAATAAAGATATGTCCAATGTTATCTATTCCTTTTGTCATATGACATTCCACATTTAAGACTACTTCATTTTGGTATGATGAAAATGAATACTTCATCTGATATTTAGAAACGTGGAAAGAAGTAAGACAAACACCTGTCCGTAAAATGAAGAAAAAATGGAGCGCAGCCTCTATTATTAGTTCTAGAATGTCCAATTAAATACAATTCTAAGTCTTTAGAGATATGATCAATTTTAAGAAGAAGAAGGCGTGGTTTTACAAACAACAAAAAAACGTGGAGAAACAAGAATAGACAGAGAGAAGTGATGTGTGTTCCCATGATGAAGGCATCTTCGTAGTACAATCGTCCTGCCCAAAATCTCAGTCTGCCACTTCCTTCGGACATTTTATCGAATCACACCTAACCAGTTTCACTAACTGTTCACCACTCCACAACCAAATTGCTTCTATCCCATTTCTTCTCTATATATATTATTTCTTTAGTTGATTTCAGTTTCATTTTATGAGATTATGTCAAATTTCAGTAACTAATTGACTACTAAATTGAGTTCTATTATAATTTTATATTACACATGCGGGGAGATTTGTTTATATAATTTTCAAAAACTAGTTGATAAAACATTAACTGTTTTTTAAATGCAAGGTAAACACAAACTAAAATATTTATGTATTAAATTAATTATCAAGGTCGTTGACAATCAGGTCTTTGTCGGAAGTCTTTTATGTTTTTTAGGAATTAATTTCATCTTCTTAAACCATGTAGAGTGATATAAAAAAAGGGTTGTTATTTATACAAAAACAAAAACACAATGCTGGAAAAAATAGGTGTGAAATTGTGATTACAGAGAGATTGGAAACAGATTATTTTCTTAGGAAGTGGCAACACAAAAAGATTCCCAATTTCGAAATCCTCTGTTTTCTTGATCCACTTCATGACATCTTTTTGATCTTTGTATTTTCTCAATACCCATCACTTCGATTTCTTCCTTTTCTTCAACTTCTTCTTCAACTTCTTCTTCTTCTTTTTCCTCGTATTCTGGAATCTCTTCTTCGTTATCTCTCTCTATCTCGATTATTTCTTCTTCTTCTTCTTCTTCTTCTTCTTCTTCATCTTTGGTCTCTGTCTCTATGCGTTCATCAGAATCAATCAAGATAGCGAGCCGGACGCAGCCATTACTTCGGTCCTGTAAGCACCGATTGCGCGGGGGAGGTTTCGTGGCCGTCATTACCAATCTCCCATTCTCACGGTGGGACTTGACTTGAATGCAACCAAAACCTCTCATACTTGTCAAAGGAGGTGGAAGTGAATCCATCGCATTCCTCTTCCTACCTTGTCGTGATGATACTGATGTCGTCGTCGACGTTCTAGTTTCCATGGTTTGTAGTTCTGATGAAACTAAGAACAAATCTTGATCGTTGATGACATCAGAGCCGGTCTCGCTACCGAGGCTTTCAGTGCACAATGCTAGGCTCTCATCGCTGAGAGTTCTACGTGAAGATGGAGAAGGAACGTATGGTGATAATGTTGTCTTCTCTTTATCATCAGAGCTCGAGTTTGAGAGGGGATCAAGGAAGCTCCAACTTTCCGAGTTAGAGTCCGAGTTAGGACCTGATGAGGACAAGGAGGCTGCATTAGTGGTAGTAGTGTTGTCTTGTGGAGTGATGGATGAGTCTATGAAATGGGATTTGAGAGGAGTGGATAATTGAGGATTGTTAGGAGAAGAGAGCCTGAGTCTTAGAGCTCTTGGCTCAAAGTGTTGAGACTCATGAAAGTAAGATTGAAACCCTTGATATACAACAGTAGCCATGGCTTAGAGTTTTGGACAAAAGATTATGTTATAAGAGATTTTGTTGTTATGTGAAAACAAGGAAGCCGAGACAAGGAGACAAGTAGGAGAGGAGATGAGAGAGGCTTTGGAAGTGAATTTGAGGGATAAGGAGAGGGGAGAAGGTGTTAATTTGTAGTGCCTAAAAGTTACCTTTTATTAAAATATATAATAAAGAAAAAAAAACGAGAAAGAATTGTTTAGTATAGTGTATAGAGAGAGAGAAAGAGATGGTGGGAAAAGAGCTTTTCCACACTACCACTTGACTAAAATGAATATTATTAACTTATGCGACATAATGTATATGAGAATATATATACATTAATAGGTGAATGAATAGAATAGGATCATTGCACAGTTCCATTTGTGTAATATACCTTGAGAACATTTGTGTCTACATCGTTATCAAAAACAAAACAAAAAAACATTTGTGTCTATATCATTTTGATAAAGAGAAACTTTCTTTTTATTTAGTAAAAGGAATACAATTGTAGAAATGAAGGAAGCTGAATCAATCATAGTTTTTTTCACTTAAATAGCAAAAAAAAAAAGATATGATCGAGTCAGAGGCGAGTAAGTATCGATCCGCGTGCATGTGATTTTGTCAGAAAGAGGCTACCCACAAAAAGAAATAAGCCAAAGAGAGTTTCCTATGAATGTAGTAAAACCACAAAATATGGTTTCAGAGCCAACTGTGTTTTCCAATCCAAAAAGTCCGAAAAAACTAATCCAAACACCAAATGAAGTGGTCAAAAATATTTTTATTTTATATGTTTAGATTTAATCAAACCAAACTAAAAACGGAAATAGGTGAAACGTTATTCTAATTCTTGGAACTTCTTATATCAAAGAGAAATGTTAGTAGAATTTTTTTATATAAAAAACTATAGCTAAAATTATATACTTATCCGTTTTTTCAAAAGTGTCGTTTTGATATTTTTAGAGAATAATTTAGAAAATAACTTAAGTGTTTTATCATGCCATTGATTGACTATTATAATTTCAAGATATTTAATTTTTACTCATTTAATTGATGAAAGTGAAATATATAATTATTTTTTATTAGAACTATAAAAATAAACTTATTTTGAAAAAAAAATGAAATTTGAAAGAGGAGGAGTATATTTTTGTTTCCTTTCAGTTTTGTTACTTTTATGTCCTAAACTATAACCAAATAAAACCTAGATTAAAGATACGTATGTCCGGAGCAATGTACAAATTTTTTGTTTTCAGCTTAGCTATGAGGTTTGATATAAGATCTATCGATCTGGCCATAAACCAGAAAACAAAAAAAAAACTAATCATAGCTTCGATTCCAATTGATATCCTGTAGAAATCACTGAGCTTTAGCGGGTTAAACCTTTATGAATAGTAAACTAAAAATTTACAATCTTGTTTTTCCTTTCTGTCAATATATATTTACCTTCCAAAATTTTAAAGAAGCCGACAATTAACAAATCTCGCTTCCCCATGATGATAATGAAAATGACTCTTTGTTTCTTCTATGTCATAAACAAGATCCCGTGTGCCTGTTTAATCAGAAGAAAAAAAGATTCGTGTGCCGGTCGTTTCTCAAATCCAACTTACCAACATGATAACAACAGTCCAACAATGTTGAACTCTTTCGTTAACCACAAAAATAACTTTAATATAAGATTACGGGCATCTATGAAGACGTGAACATTTAGAGGGTAATGTTCGTGAACTCAAAACTGAAAATATGCATGCACCATCTAAAAAAAAAAAAATACAATAGAAAATATAAAAGCCTTAAGAGTGTTTAAAACACGCTCACCCAAGAAAACTGTAGTTGAACGCAAGAAAACATAACCCATTTTCCGCCCACTTGCTATGACTTGAAATGATATAAAATGGCCCTAAATTATACAACTATATTAACAAAAAATAATTTAAAACATAGGAGGGTTATCTTAATTTTAGCATGACTGGTCCTGGCGTTTAAGGACATGTCTCAATATTTACCAAAAAAAATAAAAAGAAGCTTGTTTTGTTGAATTGTATCGTTTAATCTTGTTAACAATGTAAAGTCCCTAAGATTGGGACCTGACACAGATCGACTTGGGTGGTAATGATGAAGTGAAGATTTGAGAGAGTGGTAAACTCCGTTCTAACTCCGTTCTCATGACTTGTATTAGGGAGTGGAATTTCCAAGGCGTTCATATATGATATATTTTAGGTATAATCAAAGGTGTTCATAAGTGATATCTTAACTATCTCATGTATGCATTTATTCGTTTATCTTCATATATTATATTTTGTTTGATGGAGAATAAAAAAAAAAATCACTTACAAAAACTCTCAAAATAGGTTAACCACTATAAATCGTGTGTATTTTTTATTTTTTTGTTGTTGTTTTCTAAAGAGTGAATTTGGAATACATCTTGGATCTTTTATAAAAAAATACACACACTTACATCTTAGATCTGTAAGTATTAGAGGTCTAAATTTATATTCATAACTTTCCGCGCGCTTATGAAAGAGTACGAATACACCTAGGTTTCTACTTTGGAATATTCTCTCTCAAATTCAGGACATTGTGGTTATAAATAGTAATCCAGGTTGGATTAAGTTAACATCAAACTTTGTCCCTTTTCTCTTTGGCTAACCAACACTAAATTGCTTTTACCCTCTCCAAGTCCAACCCATGTTACCCCTATAAATCGTACGGAGTAGCTTATGAAGACACAAAGTTCTAGACTCGTGAATCAGCAATTGATTCCCCACTATCACTTTCGCTCATATGTCTTTGGTGTTATTCAGATGCTTACGCTGAGTGATGTAGGAAAAAAAACCCTAATTAAAACCCTATTCTTTCTGAAAAAGAAATTAAAGGAACAAAACAACACTTGCATACAACTTTTACAAGTAGATTGATGACCTAAAGTCACTAATTATTTACTAGCTCGCTTTTCCTTAACTCTAAGCCATGTGAAATGATGATATAAGCAAAGACGCTCAATGGCAACTGCGTTTGCTTTTGTTTGATAAATATTCATTTTATATCGAGCAGAAACAATACGATAACGCGATGAACTCGTTAAGAGTAAGAGTGTCTAAGTCGCCAAGACCTTTTGAAATCATTGATATCGCAATATCTAGATCTATTGAAGAAAAAAAAAAACAATAGAAATACTGTTCTAAAAACAATATATTTAAAACAAATGATCAAAAAAATTAAAACTGAATAAAAGTCAAGAAAACCTGAAAATCCAAAAAAAAAGAAAAAAACTCTCCAAAATAATCTTAGTTAAAGGATAAAAATGCAAAAGTAATGTTTACCATAATTATGCGCTTCATTATATTTTTATTAATATTTTTAAAAAACTTGCAAACCGGATTTTCTTTTTCTCTATTTCCATTTGAAATTTTTGAATGCTGCTTGATCATGTATTTGTTTCAGCAAAACATAGTAGATTTCACTTGTAAAAGCAATTGGGCCCTAACTTCTTCTTTTACCGTATAACTTGGGAGAAAGAAAGGCTAGCTAGAAAGTGTGAGCCGTTCCTAAATTTGAAGAGAGTGGGAGAGATTTTTGAGATTCTGGGTTTCCTGTAATGGTAAAGCTTTCTCAGTTTGTATACTCTGTGTGCATAAAGAATGTGTATACAAATATAAGCTAGCTAGACACCATCGATCAAATGTGAGCATAATTAACAATATGGTATGCTAGATGTGGGTTGTATATATAATCTATGATCGCTTTAATTAGCTAGCCGACCAAAACTTTTCTAGGTGTATAGCAGACAGAGATATATAGTTTATATATTCTCACAAAGTTCTATGAGAGACTATATATGCATATGTGGTTTGGTACGAATATACCTTAGATATGTATTGTATATGACAAGTAGACCTCAGTTCTTTTCTAGAATGAGTACTCAGCTTCTAGGAGTAACAACATGTTACAATATCTATGTTCCAAGTTGATGATCACGCATTACTAGCTAAGTGCACACTATATACGTGAATCAGAATTTAAGTCTTCGCATTACCAAGCAGATGCAAAGATGATTTGAACAACTAAAGTGTGAGCATACATGAATTTCTCTTCTGGTTTAATCGCATGAGTAAGTTATACATCCTATTCTTATCATATTTTTTCTTATGAAATAAAATGAATTTTTTTTAATAAAAATGAAAACTAATGATTTTCTTTTTTTTTTTTGGTAAAATGATTTTCTTTTTAATGAACTTCAGTCTTTATCAATTAGTTTAGTTTTAGTTAATCCACTCATATCTAATTAATAGTTACATATTATAAAGTCCACTAATTAAATTTAAAAGGATAGATAGTATAAAAAAAGTTTCAGTCTAAAATGATGAGCCGATAAATTCATCATGCTGAATAGTTATATTGAAAAGATGAAAATTATAATTATCTCGGCAACATAAGTCACATATCTACCCAAGATTTTTCGTAGTGCGAAGGAAAGCATTATCGATCTCACATTCAATATGTGGGTATAGTTTATGATATATAGTCCCTATATACTAGTGTTGCCCTACCAAGTACGTACCAGCTACCACCACACAGATAATTCCTCATTTTGTTTGCCAACCCTTCTTCTTGTTAGGATTTGAATTTCCAAATGATCTGACCTTACAGAATTTTTACAAATTAATTTTTCGTTTTTTTTTTCCTGCTCTACTACAATAAATATATAAAAACGCGGACAAAGATTTAATCAGGAAAATAAACTTCGTGGTAAATTAGTATAGTCCTAAAATACGCCCCAACATGTTAAGTAATATCACTATCTTCGACGAACCTGTCGATTAATGTGCAGCCCCGGTCGTCGAATAACACAGTAAGTTCGAAAAATCACGCTCCACAACTCAACACCCCTCTCATGAAGGAATAACGAATGAAAAGATTTATCATTTAGTTTGGTACACTGTTGGAATGAATAAAAGAAAATAATTCAAAAATGGACGATTCTGTAACGTAAGCATGAAAGTAAGAAAGTTATGACATAATTAAATGAAAAAAGGTGGAAAAAGGAGCTGACCTGCAGACGTAATCTGTCGACAAATATCAATCTACATATGTTGAGTCTTTGATCACCACATGTGGTCCTAAAATTTTCGAACCAACGCATAGAAAAGAATTAGAAAGTAGCATAGC